CAAAAAGGGAAATTTTGGCGGGCTAAAACGCTCGCACGTTGCGTGCGTGATTGTTCAGACCGTTGTGTTGTCATTTTTTCCGTTTTTTATTTCTTAATGACCCAAAAGTGATAAAAATAGTAACACAGTTTATGTTCGCGGGTATAAATGTATTTTTGGCCCTTCTCCGACACTGGGTCGGGCCCAAAACATATTTATGCCGGCGAACAGAAACTCTCATTGTTTTATTATGCAGCAGGCGTTAAGTTTACGCACAGCATCTTTCAGGTTCTTTAAAGAAAGGCTGTTGTAATAAAAAAACAGAAAATGACGCAACGAAATTGTCAACAAATTACAAGCTGCTAAGACCAACGGTGTCATAGCTCTTGCAAATGATCATAAACTGGCTCAAGTCAAATGCTTGAATGCACCTTTGTTTAGCTAGTCCGCTTTAAGAAGCTCTACAAAATGTTTCGTTTTCACAGGATGATTTGTTCAGGAATCTTATGCACTATTTGCAATGAGACTAAATACACTATTTGATGTAAAAACTGACTTGTAACAGTTTCAGGCCCTTTCAGGAATTTTTCTTCTCTGATACCACGCCTTGAGTTGCATGATATCAAGCGAGGTAAAAAGCGCGGGAAACACCAGCGAGAAGACACCTCAGGAAGATTTCACGGATGAAATATATCAAACAAACCAGAACCTGAGAACGGTACACAATCGGTCAATCTGTGATTTGAATTGAGCTTAGGTTCACTCGTGCACTTTATCATGTACCCCTGAGGATTTTCAAAAGTTGCGCTGCAGATACCACTGAATTTGATAGCGATCTTCACAAAACTACTTAAGCAGTAGTGAAAATAAGGCCTGAAAAAAATTCAAGCCTGCGGGGGATCTGAAAAGGCCTGAATATTTTTCAGGTCTCATTTCACCACTGCTTAAGTAGTTTTCATTGCTGCGAAGATCGCTTCCAAATTAATTTCCTTAAACGCAGTTCACATATATTATTTTCATATATTTACAGTCGTAGATGACACTATTTCTTACCAAAACTGATATGATGCAATCTAAAGAAGACAAAGTCATATTCAAATCTGGATCAACCTTCAAGCAACTCAGAGATAAAATGGCAGCTAGATACTTCGGCAGAAGTTAATGCCATCTCAAACTTCGCTAATCTTTAGAAAAATTTTCAATTGAGTGTCGAAAAGCCATAACCAAAGTAATCCAATAAGAACCCAAAGTTTAAAAGAAGCGGACTGCTTGAAGCGCGGGAAAACGTGAACGAGTAAGTCGCGATTTTTTTCAGTTTTGTCATAATCGAAAGTAATGCCTGGAGGAAATTTCTCAAACGTCGGTCATGTGTTTCGCCACGTTTGAAACAACAAAAATTTACTTGTCGTAGATTTGTTTTTCGCCTGTTTGAATCTCAAATGACCGATGTATATTGAAGAAAATGCAGTTCCTCTAATTTAAAGCAGTTTTCTGCCGTCTTAAATTACTAACAAGCTACGTATTAGCGTTCGCCATCAAATGACGATGATCCAGAGATTTGCAAATTATGATATACTGTTAATAGAATCTCACGTCAGTCTTTGTCGGTTATAACGTTTTCAAGCGGAAATGTGTAATGTAGCTAAAAATCGAGATCTGTTTACAGGAAAGATGGCTGAATTGAAGTCTATTGACAGCGAACATGGCACTTTTCTGTTGTATACAATGTTATATTCGTATTGTATTTTTCGATTACTCTATGTTTTGTTCGGTATCCCGCGTAGAGAGTAACAATTCTGTTTTCGCTTAAACGCTAATTTTTTTCCTTAATGAGATGGTTTCTTCAGTTCGACTTTGGCCCCTACTAAAACAGAAATTTACATTTTTGATACATACTGAGTTTTAAGCGGCTCCCCACTCAGAAAAGGATGCTAGTCTCCAGAAGTTTCGTCTGAAATTTAATCGTGAGAATATCTTTATTTTTGGAACCATAGTCATTGGGATTTAGTCGGTTTCAGTCGTAAATTGATATGCCACAATCAAATTTAAAACACCAGTGTAAATATCGAAAATGGTCGGGACAATTTCATTTCACTTGCCTAATAAAACTTTTTTCGATAGACATCAATTAATTTAAAGTAACACGAATTTGATTGACAGTTTTTGGATTATAATTTGCCTTGCATTAAAACCATTAAAACCAGAAAGAAAGAAAATGGGACTGATATATTTATGGCACATAACATATTGAATATTCAAGTAAATGCTAAACAGTGAACTTGAGATCTGACTCGAGACTAACAGTTGGAAAGAATGGGTGTCTTGTGATAGAAAATTAGGTCCTCTATCCGTTTTTCCCCGAACTTATTAGGGGGTAACTACACAGCTGTCAGAAAATATGGCCGAAGTTTCAGTGTCGCTGATACAACGCAAAAATAATATGGAGGACGTAAACAAAGGCAACCAAAATTTTCAAGCGTCTAATCTTTAACGAAAAAAAAAATTAATTACGCATAAGCCATAAGTGTATGTCCCCATTTACGCCGAGACTTTTGTCCATAACCAAACGTTTCGTAACTTCAAAGGTCAGCCAAAAGAAGGCGTTGCCATTCAAATGGCAGTTGAAGTTGACAGACATTCTCATCGGTCATCGTGCGATTTTGATGGAAATTCTTTTTATGCGACGCTCTATTCATTAACTATTTCCTGTCCAAAGTGACACTCTCTTCCCAGAGGGCAAGAGATATGGAAAAAAATGATTATCCAAGTTGGGTCACCGTGCGCCATGTTTGCTGCAGCGATTGATGGGTGGAAACAAACAGAGCATGTCGAATATTTCGCAACCCATAAGGATTTGAGGAAGTGCCCCCACAGACTTCACCTCCGTTCTTATTGATAAAACATTCATATTCTGTGAATTCATTTGTAAACGAAAGAAAGGCGCGGAACAACAACAAAACATAATGTTCTACATTGTTACCATACGCGTTCAAAAACAGTCATTTGGTCTTTTCAAATTCCCGCTTTTCACGGATCAGAATTCGGCGCTCTGAGAAACTTTCGCCGCCTTAAGAGAGGAGAAAATTATCGTTCAAAGGCCTCTTTAGTGGATGTTACTTCATGGTAAGTCACAAAATATGGACTCCTAATTTGTCTAAATTCGTCGGTTGCAAGTAGAATGATCATGCATCCCATGATCCCATGATACGGCGCCGATTATCCGAATGTAACATCAATCGCAAGGAGGTAATAAACGTTAAGGGAAAAATGTCGGGATGGCGTATATTACTAAAAAAAAATACACTAGATAAATTATTTTAATTTTTTAATCTCCTAAAACCGTTGTTTACATTAGCCTTCACTTGGTTTGGCGCGAGAAAATATCTAAATTTGGTGAAGTCTGCTAAGTCAATATTCAATGTTTAACTCAAAGCGTTGACCGCAGAAAAATTGAAACGCGAAAAGAGTCGTGCTAAGCTTTTCCGTTTGAAACAAGCAGTCTTTACCTAGATGTTTAACGCGAACAAACACCGCTATCGACTTACTTCTCGAGGAAATTTTCAGACCCTGTGTACTGATTAGTGTAATTTTAGTCATTCGAACACCAACATAATTCTTTACGAAGTCGACATTGAAAAACAAAAAACTGTCGTGACTTAATCGCTAAGGCAGAAAGAAATGCTGTCGGAAAGGTGAAAAATATCAAACTGAAAGAAAAAACAGAAAACTCTGTAAAGTGCGACTCCAGGCAAATTTTCCTGAACGCGTGGGTTTGGGCTCGAAAACACCTGCCCAAGGTTTACGACAATATTTATGTCGGTAAAGGTGAGACCCTGGTGTGAAATTACGCTGAGGACAAAAAGGGAAAAAACATCAGTTACAATAAAATTTATGTTCCCGCACGAAAGACACTGACATCCAAACACGGCAAACACAATGTGTCTTTCGTCTTGGAAAAAACCCACTCGGAGATTTCTCTTGGATTATTTATTGGTCAAAAGAAAAATATACAATTTCAACGAAAAACTTGATTGTTATTTGAGCTTTGCTTGCAAAATACATCAGGACTTGAACAAATTTACGGAGCAACTGAACAAAAAAGATACAAACTGACTTTCTGCGCCTGAACTTAACCTACGCGATGAATTTAGAAAAGCTTCACTGTAATGGCGGATGTCTCTTGACAACTCTATTAAGACCCAAGTGGACGCCTGACATAATACACGACGTCTAGACTCAAAGATGTATCTTGCGCGGGATCTACACTTGCTTGAAAAAGAAAAGTGTTCGCTTCATGCAATGTCAAAGAAACTCAATTGTCAGCGATATAGGTCGGAGAAAACTTGCTTGAGTCAGAGTTCTCTCGAACCAATCATAGTTTCTTCGGTAAATGTTTTTCCCTATACTAAGGGTTCTTGAAAATTGTTCTCAACGAGAGGTTTCCTTTTTCGGTAATATTTTTCTCTAAGGGTTCTTGAAAAATGTTCTCAAAGAGAGTCTCCTCTTTCAAACTAAGAGACTGTCTACGGAAAAACTTGTCATACCTTTTCTATCTACAATGCCAAGAAACTTGAGAACTTCTCGATGAAAATTTGCTCAAGTGAAAGCGGCTCAAGACAAATTATACTACGTGTATCTGTTGTACAAGACACTCAGACCAGTGTCTTCACCCTCTGTTACACCTCCCAACTCAAATTTGTTTTCTGATCGGAGGAAAACGTGTCACGTGCCATGGGTCAACACTCACTAACTCCCCTGGAAGACACCAACTTGAACTTTCGACTCACACGTGATCAGGTCGTGCACTTTGAAACCATGTCAAATGTGCGTTCAGCTGGCGTCAAAACAATCAATTTTTGGCAGTCATAGCAAGACGTTTCGAAATTTTGATATTTTAACTTTAGGTAAAAGCAATTGAAAAAGGTGTATTGCTGATTTTTCACCGAAAGTTCTAAGATTTTTAAATTACTGTTTGGATTTGCAAAATATGAATTCCTATGCTTTCTCATCACTCAACAGCCATGAACAACAAGGGTTCAGAAGCTCTGTTCCAGGCTAGTTCGTCGTGCAAACTTCGTCTTGTGCGCATGCTTGTGGAAGGAGGAACCTCGGTCAATGTTCGTAACGAGCGCCAGGAGACACCACTAATGCTATGCTGTCAATCCAAGACGGACATCGATGAAAAAAGTCGAGTTGTGAGTTACTTACTCAGCCAACAAGCAAAGGTAAATTTGCAAGACGTTGACGGTCGGACAGCTCTGATATACGCTTGCACTTCAAACTCTGGAAAAGGAATCATCCAGGCTTTGATGGATGCAAAGTCTAATCCGTGGATCGAAGATGGAAGTAAAAGTACAGTGTTTGATTATGTAATGAATGCTGGGGATTTAGAGACCACGAGACTTTTAATTAACGCTTGTCGAGAAAACATGGAAATACGAGGAAATTTTCAAATGAAAAACTTAGAAGAATGTCTAGCTAATATGCAGGACATTCGCAAGTTCTCCTGGCCATTGATGGGCCCCAGGTTACGGAGAAATCACATGAATTTGTATGCTGCTGAGAAAGAAGACACTTCCATCTCCAGCGGAAATCTCTTAGGTGCTGATTTAGGGGTTGATGGCGAAAATCCTCAACCTGAGAGACGAAGGAAAAGATCTGTGTGTCACTTTGATCCGCTTGATATTCAAGAAATATTACGTTGCTCAGAACAGGCTAATACCAATAGATCAAAAACAGAAAGTGAACAAGAAGGTAAAAGTGAGACGGAAGGGAAGCGAAAAACCTCCGTTCGTTCACTTTCAGAGGAGGAAAGGTTCAGTGTTCAGATTTCTGATGCAGAAACCTCGCCGCGTGACCCTTCATCTGGGCTTGAAAAACTGCTAAAGCTACAAGATTCTTTCGGCTCTTCAGATTCAAACGAGTCCCCTTGCCCGACAAGTGATAGTCGCAGGGATTCATTGACAACAGTTGGCTTCTCTTCTGCGAATAAACACTCATGGAAAGAGCAAAACTCGATGCAGGAAAATGGTTTTTCTAGTTTAGAAAAGGTAGAAGATATCACAATCAAGGGCGCAAGCGAGGTTTCTTTAGCACCAAAGATGCCTAATGGCGATGATAAGAGTGAAAACGCAAGTTCATTCGCAGGCGATGAGACGCAAAAATCTGCTCATTTAAACGAAAAGAATAGAACAGAAAAAGATTGCGAACAGGAAAAACTTTTCATAACTCGCAATTCCTCCACGAGTGTGATGCTCAACGAGAACTGCTCATCATTTGTCGAGACCTCAATTCAAAGTCTAAGGCAAGTTAATAGGGACTCCGCCGTGGATAGGGCATTTACGGAAAACACAGAAAACAGGTCAAACCGGATTGTATCTCCAGCAACCAGTCAGCAGTCGTCTCCCGTTTTGAGCCCCATAGCATCCCCAAGAGTAACTCGTCGTCAAACTACTGCACTGACGTTTAAACAAACCACGGTAAGTCCTCGAGCATCTCCAGTGCCGCCTATTTTCGACAACAATCGACAAGAAGCAGGAGCACCCATTGTAAGACGGTACACTCTATCTGCAATGGACATGGGCAAGTTACAAAACACGGCTGGTATCAAGACCCTCTTAACACCACCGACACACTCTTCCACCGCTGACATTGACACCAGGAGGGTGGGGCTGGAGGGATGCTTTGCCCCTCCTGGGCTGAGGAAGAGTAAGAGTGATCTGACAGATTGGAAGTCCATTTCACGCAATTTACAGGGTAAAGAGTATGTAGAAGTCGGACCAAGTCCCGGGCCAAGCATTCACAGCTTTCAGCAGCTTGTCGGCAACAACAAGGAAGGAAGTGATATTACTGAGTTCCAGTTACCAAGTATCTCTTCACTGAAGAAAGGAAGTCGTTCAACGATGATCACTACCACAGAGAGCAAAACTCAGAATGCTGAACACAGAATGGACCTGCCATTACCTTGGCCAAATAATGCCGACAAACAACGCCTGTGCTTCTCTGGTCAGGAATTTCCTGTCGATGATCAAAGACGATCACCCAGCCCAGGACGCAACTCGCTCCCCTCATCGCCAAAAGATCCCACAGTGTCATCAACAGCTGGCGCCTATGACTCCGTTGCTATAGCCAAAGTGGCTGATTTGTCACCAAGGGGCTCAGAGAACTCACCGGGAGATGTGTTTCCAGACCTATTCTTCAACTCTCCCACGAGAGCACACTACACAGAGGACAATAATTCCAAGTTGGGGGAAAGCGTAAAAGCAAATTCGACGAATTTCAACCTCAGAAATAACAGAGATGTCCTTGCTTTAAATTCCAACGTTTCCGAGGATCGTAATGCAGTTTCGTCTCCCAATCAGCAGCGAATTAGTCCAAGACTCCGCCCAGCCACACTTCTACCACCGCTGACAATTTCCAACAGGAGATCGCCGACGCATGAACTGGAAGATGGCTATTTCTCGGGGTCACCTTCACCAGCGGATGTTGAAAGTCCACGAAGAAAATCAAGCAATGAGTATCTGCGGTATTCATTTCGACCGATTTCCCCCCGTTCCCCTATTCGCTCACCAAAGTTCAACGCGGGAAAACTATCTCAACCACGTTAGAACTAAGTATTCTATGGAAGATTTAGCGGCAGTGATCGATACAATTCCAAGCTATGACTGACTCATAACTGAAGAAATGGTTTGTTAGACAAAATGTACTAAAATGACTTACAACACTGCACATTAATTAAAGTCACAAAGAATTCATCGCTTAGATTGGGATTCTAAATCATCTCAAATACGAGCAGAACTACAGGAGCAATAGAATCTCACAAATCATGCAACGCTTGAAAAACGTTTTATTTTGCCAGACAGGCCCCTTTGTGCCAGGCGTCGTGCGCAGGACGATTTATAAAGTTAATCCTTTAACTCCCAAGATCTGATTATTAATTCTGCCCACTAGCTGTTACACATTTCCTTGTAAATTCCAAGTTAAAAGAGAATTTCATGTTCGATCGAGATAACAACTTCTTCCCGATAAGATTGAGTGTTATCACTACCTTTTTTCTAAATAATGTGTGGATATCATAGGGAAAAGTTTCGTGTTGATTACTGGCGGGAATAAAAGGGTTAATATAAAGTAAGACTCGTTTTCGAAACGAGAATCTAAAGCTGGTACTTGCTTGTAGCTTTCATTGCACTTCTTTTAGGATTGTTGAATGTGTTAACGTTTACCCCCGCAAAATTTTTTTTCTGTCCTGTGTCAACCTGTGTACATAATTACGAAAGAAAATAAGTAGTAACTAGTTAGGATTTCGACCAAGTAAAAGAAATTTATTTGCAAAGATGTAATTTTTCTTTGCTTAGGGTTAGGGTTGTCTCTGGGTCGATCAGAACGAAATATCTCCTCTCAGAATCTCATGACTATTTGCGCGAAGAACTGAGCACTAGTACCCAGGCTATGCCCCTTCATTACTTCTCGATGCCCTTTAGAACCGGGTAAGCTGCTAGGAACAACCAAGGCTTCTTGGCGAGCTTCCCATAAAAATGAAGGGGGAAGAAAAAGATTTTCTTTAATAGCTACAGATTACTGTCTTTGCAAAGCGCCAAAGTGCCTTCGCAGAAGTAAGAAATGTGAGAGGTACCAAAAACGAAATACGGTAAGTCAAACGAAGAAAGAAAACTCCCGGCTGACCGGTTTCCATCGGCTTTGTTTCACATCAGGCAAACATCTCTAGTTATCCCCAAAAGATGGCTAACTAATTCCGCGAGCAGCACCCCAGTCCAAGTCAAACAGGCTTTTCATCGAGCCATTAGCAAGTTTCTGACACATCTTGAGGGACTTGTTTCTCATAAACACAAAATCTGTATCGGATTTGGTTTTCTTCAATAATGCCTTGAGGCACTCCACTGGGTGTACTGAAACAGAAAAGAGAATTCGTATAGAACCCTCTCTGTTCATCGACCGAACTCAAAATTGAACATCTTTCATATCTTATTTACTCCCGACGACTCTTTTGATAATACTCATTCCAGCATTAAACAGGACGCTTGCCATTTATGAACATTTCAACTGGCACAGTTCATTATCGAGTTCTCTCATAGTTACATTCAGTAGTCGAGGAGCATAACGCGAAATGCGAATGCCTGCGCCGGGTTCAATTCCTTGTAGATGATGGGCGCTCCTGACAAGACAAATAACCCCCTTTTTGAGCGTTTTTCGAGGAGGGTCATAAAACTAAAATCAAAGCTATCAAAACTGCAAAAGAAAGATTAGTATAAGTTTTGATTATGATTGGTTGAGAAAGTGGCGCGATTTTTATGAACCAATCAAATAACGAATTAAAGCAAAACCAAAGCAATTCCGGATTACTTTCCACATTCAATTGAAATTTCTCTAATAAAAGAACAAATGCACAATTCCTCATCTTGTTCTATTCACTCGCGCAACGCTTTTGATATTAGTGACCTTGTCTTTATGCAGGACACGTGTCACGTATAAACCTAGCCATGGTCCAGGTGAGGAGGTTCTCCATAGGCTCGAGCCTAGTTCTTCATAGCTCTGCAGTGGAGCAAAACCGCCCCGAAGGTCGGATTTCGATTCCTCCGATGATCCAGATGTTTTTCTTAAATCATGTTTTGACCGGCGGATGGTATACTAGCATGGAAATGATCCTCGCAGTTAACCAGCAATTGAAAAAAAAGATACTGTCCCTCTGACTCATTTTTTGCTTTTTTTTCTTCAGTTCTCTGAAGTTTCACGTAAATCCTAACGTACCTGGACACTTAAAATGCATTTAACTTAAACAATTTTCAAGCTGCGAGGTGTCTTACTCGGAACGTGTTATGTATTGCACCCATAGATAGTACCTTATAAGACTGTACTTGCTTCTGTCAAAGGCCGGGAAAAACGCATCTGACTCAAATTCTTTGTCTATTTCTGTTAAATAAATTCTTTGACAGTAAGAAGACTCAATTGCTTCCTGCGAAAGAAAATAAGAAAAAAAGTTTTGGTTATGTGAAAAACAAAAGAAGCGAAGAAAGAAAAATGCCTTTCAACTTTATCACAAAAGATGCGAAAAATGCGTTGAGAATATCAGTCACACATTCACCAGCAGTTCATCATACGCCTTTAAGGTCCTCTCCATATTTTCACGTTATGATCTTTTACAAAACAGTTGTAGAACAAAATGGAACCTGTTTGTCAAACATTACGTGCCAGTTGTTTTATACGAGGTCTAACCCACACCACGGTTTTACAAAAGTGGTGGGCTTTGTTAGGGATTCTCTGTAAGAGGGTTGATTTAATCAAATACATATCTTTCCACTGTTAGCTTTCGGCCCTCTTGACAATGTTCACAAAAAATGAATGTTCACATAAAAGGTTTAGCTAAATTGAGGATTTTTTAGTGCGTGGTTTTGTTAAACAACGGCTAAACTTTGTTCTTTGTTTAAATAATCAGACCTACAAGTTTACAACCACTGCAATTTTCAGTTGTGTCCAAAGGAATCTGGGACTACATTGATCAAGAAAACTCAGACTGCCCTCTCAATCAATAACGTGCAAAACTAAAACCATCTCCACTTGGTCGCCTGCCTTTTCCCGCACATTAGGTTGTTTGCTTGTTTCTACGGGAGTCCCTTTCTAGTGATAAGCCGTCGAAATTATTTTGGTTTTGGTTTTAACACACTAAGTTGAAAAGTGCTCTAGGGATCAAAACATGATAGTTAAGATATTTACCTTGTACACATCACCACCACCAAGTACAAAAATTTCTTCCACTGTGTCCAAAAGGGGAGGGAGAGATAACATTTGAACTGCAGACCAGACACTGTTAAAAACATGATGTGCTCCAGGAGGAGGCTCCCTGATTCAAAATAAATAGAAACTAAACACTTGATGTACTGTAACAAACTTTTGTGAAGGAGGGAATTAAGCCAATAGCAGCTACTTAGAGGATAGATTTAACCAATCAAAAAGAGTTGGTTATCTAGTTGTAGCCTTACACAAAAGTCTTTGTATACCTTACATATCTGTTAATTCTATTCAAATTGGTAGAATCCCAGGAACAAAAATGCTGGAAAATAAACCTGCTAAAGTCTGACTCCTCAAAGACCAGATTCTAAACTAACCATTTTTATTGAAACCACTGGTGTGGAGAGAATCAGCACACACAGGGCAGGCTTTCATTGCATAGTGTCAATAATTATCATAAAGTTGCATTTCATTCTGTTATTGGAGCTTTGCACTTGCATAAACTTCCCCGGCCAATTAACATTAACAACTCAACTGATAAAACCAAATTATCTAGGAAACAAAATTGGAGGTCCTCTTCCACTCCATAAGCCTAACAAGAACCCTGCCTATGTTTGCTCACTTGCTGCATTGCTTGTCTCCTCTGAGAAATTTCCTGGTATTGGTTGTAATTTGTTTTGTGAGAGGGATATGAGATGAGTTTTGACCTGATTCAGATCCTCTTTATTTCTATAAACTGAGAAGTCAAAACATGCACAAACAAAATAGAAGGGGTTGATTCCTTGATTGATATGTGTGTTCATATCAAAGGTACACATGGTACTTACTTCAGTGTCTTACTTATAACAATGTTCAGTCTTCCAGGTAAGGGCTGGTCGGTCACATCAAGCGATTCCCAAGTTTTTCTTCCCATTAATACAGCATTCCATTTACCTATTAAACAATCATTAAAAGGCTTGTATTTAACCTCTTCCCCAAAGCCACGTGCCAAAAGATGATTAGAAATCTCAGCAAGCTAGAGGCAGACCAGTAACCTATTTACAGAGTGCAGCTAAAAAAACCAAATTTGCAACATCCAAGATCAAACTAGTAATGAACAGCAGGGTGAAGTTTTTTAATTCAACATAACTCTATTCTTCATTGTGTGGCCCAGGTTAAAATTCTGGCTGATGTCAATCTACTATGTTCTAGAGCGATGAACCCTGAGAAAAAAATCTGACAAAGGGCTCAACACCAGGAAAATTGACTGGCTGTGGGGACAGCTTTATCTGGCTGCTTCCAAAATATCAACAAAAGGAATGACATATATGTTACCATCAAATATTTTCCTTATATTTCTTTTAAAATAAAGATATATTTGAACTTATAAAATGTAGGGGTTAAATGATTAAAAGATTTTACTGATAGAAAACTAATTCATTCATTGACTGGTTCATCAATTCAGGATTCAATCATATTGTGAAACCATAACTTTTAGTAACTGAAGCATATTAGTTTCCCCTCTTAAATGCAGAATAACTGAAGAACTTCAAAAATTTCTAAACCATCGAGGGGAAGGGAAGCAAGTCTCCTTATGCCCTATGTTAAGTATGCCCAGGCACCCAATACTGATGCTCCTATGCTGCAAACCTTAATAAAAATCCTTGCCCTGATAGATTCATATCTTATTTGGGTAGAGTAATAACAGATTTCTAATGGTTCAGAAATTGGGAAGGGCTACAATCAATTTCTCATAAGCAAGTTTATAATACCTTCAAACACTTGGAGCTGTACTTTAGCAGGGTCCATGTGAAACAGGTCACCAACTTTTGTCTCTAAGAAGACCTAGAAACTTTCCTTTACGAAAGCTGATCTTAGGAGCATGAACAGTTACTATTTAAAATGCCTTACTACCTCTAGATCTTGTGTTTTTATCTTTTTATCGATTGTATTTCATATCCACTTTCAGTGGGCTTAAAAGTGTTCAACAACACACCTTGTTCATTAACCTCAGTGGTAATTTTCTTCAAGAACATCAGGTCTGTCCTTAACAAAGGCAAACAAAAATCTTTTAGTTTTGATACAGTCTGTTCCTATAGTAGTTCCTAGTAATAAAATAGTAATAATAGATGAACTTGAGACTTAAAATCTCCTTTTATCTTCCTTCTTAGAAAAAGGTTTTCATGTGATAGAGTGGTACATCAGAAATAAAGCACATGTCATGCTTATTATAATAAATAATAACCCTTATGGAGAGTGCCATCTTCACTAACGATTTAGACGAGAGTCATCTAAGACCACAATCGTTGACATAATTGAAAAAGGTTTGATCATTTTTCTCACACCCAACAAGAAAATTGACAAAACTCTGTACAGTTTTCTTCTATTATTTACCCAACATTTAATGAATAAATGTTAAGAAGCAAGTGAGCTAAAGGCAAAACCATCCATAGAGTTCGTTTCCTTGAAGCAAACAATCAATAGAGTTGAATACATTCAAGCTAAAGCAGGTTTACCTCAGTGAGGGCCAGGGCAATCTCCCGTTTTTCCCAATCCCCATATTTGAGCTTACGGCAGCAACACAGCTCACACAGCGAACACGATTGCCAGAAAAACTTGTTATCATAACTAACAATCGTTCGGTAAACGTTAAATCGTGCGAAATATGTATTAGTCGAAAGAAGGTGCGATTCTGAGCTGATCTATTATTTCGAAGGTACTAAGTACCAAACTTTGTACAATAGTCAGAAAATACTAATGTCTTTCGATCCCTTTGGGAGTGTTAAATTATTTGAGGAAATGTAAAATAACATATAGGCTCCATTTTTAAACCTTCACACGCTTGCCGCTGGTCTCTACACTGCAGACTAAATCGCGCGTCAACATCGCGCAATTAGAGAGTTTAATTTTTTCGGGGAATATACAGAAGTAAATTAAATCTCGGTTTCAGTGTGGTTTATATAAATATTCACCTCCACCTCAGTGAATAACTGTTAATTCCCGTATTTCCTCGAATAAGCGCCCACGCTCGAATAAGCACCCTCACTCAGATAAGCGCCCCCCCTTCCTCCCTCACTTTCTCATATTAGTAGGGATACGAAAAAAACCTGTTTCCATTGCCAAATTATTTATAACTTTCTAACCTTCAACTTCGGCGGAACCACTTTAGGAGGTAGTTTATTTCCTGCTTACAGTTAATTCCACGTGCTTACAGAGTTCCTTTATGTACGTTTATGTACGTTGTCCTATTTCTGCGCTCTTGGTAAATGCCGTCAACTTCTCAGGCACAACTAACCCATCCGTAATTTCCACGGTAACAAAGTTATTGGGATGCGTTTTAATAAAGCAGTTGATGAGGAATGATAGCTCAATCGAAATGGACCCAACAGGCTAAAAGCTGTCAGCGCTATACACATACATCACTTTTTAAGTTTTAATTGCATCGACGTTATACTTCTTGGCTTATTCCCTGTCGTCTTTTTAAGCGAATAAATCCTTTCCCCTCGCTTAGACAAATTTAAGATATTTAAAATATTGAATTTACTTCTACGTGGATAACTGTTTTAGTTTTGTCTTTCTATTTAAGTTTTAGCCAAATTGAAGTTACATTTCATTAAAAGAAAAAAATGTATAAGAACCCCCTTGATTAAGGACCCTCCTTCAAATAAGCACCCCCCACCCCCCAACCCGGCCCCTTTTAAGTACTCGTCGAAATATTGGCCTATTTAGAGTGCTTCCTGTCGTTGTGTCAGTATTGCAATTAATTCGTTTATCTATATGTAAGATTTAATTATAGTTAAGGTTGGAAAGAAGCGTGCACTTGTTGGTTTTTTTTTTTTTTTTAGAAAAGGAAGAGTATAGGTAAAATAAATAACACAAAATTCCGTATATGCGTTTTATTCATCACAACTAAACCACACACTATGATAATATAAAAGAAAATTGAGCCTGATTGAAAATTGATATCTTTCTACTAGTTGTCATGGTAACAATGTAACATATTTGCTCCAGGAGTTACTCCTTTCCCTCTGCTAATTCGAAGCACTTCTTAATACGAGTGAAGCAGCACAATTCACCAGCACAAGTAGGAGAACCTTTTCTGCATATGTGAAGCAAAAATAAGCAGCCTTTCTGCAGGGGAAACAAACGCAAATATGATTAGTTAATACAGACAAATTAAAGTATTCAAAGGGAAAAGAGTTCATGATCATAACTAAGTATTAATTGGACAGTGCTTAAATAGCAGGTCAGGTCTGAAATATTTTACTATCGATGCCACATTTGTTTTCCTAGCTCTGGTAAGATCATTGGAACAATCTTTAATAGAAAGTACGTTGCAACTGCTAACGTGAATAAAAGAAAGCGAGGGCAGATAAAAACAAAATGAAGCAGGAAAAGTTATTGCAATGTAACTGGCGAAGAAAAAGGGGAAAAGGAAAATCCTCCCTATGTATGTATATGTATATACATATTTCTGCAATGGTAAATTGGTGTGCCGTTGGAATCATCATCCTTTAAAGTAAACTGCTTCTGTGTGTAAGATGTTTTACTTAAGATTTTTAAAGGTAAATCGCAGATGTGTATTTTGCGTCAAAAATTTAAAATTTGCAGAATTGCAAGCCAAGCTTACGCCTTGAATGACAGTTACTAAAAATGCATCACAAAAAAGTTGCGTGGCCCAGTTGGAAGGTTTCAAAGAGTTTATCTGCTTTCACCCTTTAACTCCTAAGATCTGATTGTTAATTCTCCCTTCTAGCTGCTACACATTTCCTTGTAAATTAGTATTGAGAATTTGGTGTTGGATCAAGATAAGAATTTTTCCTTGATAAGTTTGAATATTCTTATCACCTAATTGCTGGATAATGTATGAATATCATGGGGAGAAATTACATATTAATCAGACCTGGGTGTTGCACAAATTAAAGAAAAAAAAGAGAAAATCATAGCTGTGACGTTAGTATAATACTGAGCTGCTTTACCTGTAGTGGGGAAAGCTCTGGCAGCGGAGTGGGATGGTTTTCTTTTATACACTTAAAAAAGTTGTCGATGCATCCGAGCTTTTTACATTCGTCATGACCCGCAACCTTCCAACAGACTTGTGCCTTACCCACGCATGCTAGCTGTAATAAGCAACAACAAAATGATCTTTAGACGAGTATTTGACGACCATTTTCCAAAGGAAGGCGATTGTGTTTTGTCGATTATTTCTCAGGGTGAAGATGAGAAAATAATTCTTCAAAGCCAATAAATGTATTGCTCAAGCCATGATGATTTAAGAAAAAAGAGGTTATATAAATATAATACCCAATCTAATTGCCAACTTGGCAGAATTAAAAATTGTGATATGCACACAAGCACAATAACTGACTTTTCACGAAATTTTGGTAATCTGAGAACAAATACAAAATAGGAAGCCGTAAGGAGTATTGCTTCAACTTACAATAAATGGTGGGAGTCCCTCTGGTTTGGCAGGTGCTGTAGCGTTGGGGGCATTGATATCATTAAACGCCAAAGTGTCTTCTGGTAATCCAAAGTCTCTCACAACCTGTGCCATTCTTTCATCATGTCGCTCATCTAGGAATTTGAACACAGCCTTGTGAAAGGGCATCTCAAAAGCCGACACATATGCGACAAAGGCGCCGAGAAGCAAGAGAGTTACAAAAATCTTCATTTTGGCTCCAAGATGTGTGCACTTGACACTGTATCATTGGTAAAACGAACGTGCCTTATATAGAGTCCCACACACCTCACGAACTTTGAAGGTTTTCAGAAACAAAAGCTAATGCCATATCAATCATCGGCTTACACAGCTTTGTTTATCCTGTGATAACCTCGTTAAGCACACTTTTAACTTCATTAGGTGTGTTTCGATGGAAAAGATCCCGCTGAACAATGACACTTCTTTAGATGTTTGAAGGCCGGGAAAAGTCAGTATCACTCTTATCAATAAAGATCATTTTTTTAACTTAAAAAGCCCTTAATGACACCCACTGTTATGAAAATGCATTTTGAAAGTTGAAAAAATGGCCTCCTTTCCTTTCCTGCAAAGTTCAGGTGGCTTTAATAAAAGAAAACGTCAAAACTTCTTTGACGACGATGGTGAGAAAATCTTGGTGAAGTTGAGTGTGTTTGTTTCAGTCACAGCTGAAATGCAGGAGTTTCTGTAAAAGCTGGTCTAGGGCGGCCTATTGTCGACGGTAGGACCCCTTACCGCCGTCTACTTAGCCTGCAAGTAGGCAGTCTCGTTTTTGGGTTTCGCCTAACGGCCCCTATTCGGAGTACAGCCGCCTATCACACCAACCACAGCCGCTTATAGAAAAAAAGATATTAAAACCCCTGAAAGAAATCTTGACGAACTAAAGCAGATTTTTAAATGCATCCTGAGAGGCACTTAGTTATCTTTAGGAAACTCAAAATGAAACGTAGATCGAGACGACCACAGTTTTTTGATTCGTTCTTTAAAACTTGGTATCAGAAAATGCCGACTTCAGTAGCCCTCAACAATTTGCGAGTATTTCTTTTACATACAAGATTTTCATAAAAACTCATAATCTTTACAGCGGCAGGTGTCCAACTTATAGCAAAAAACACAAAATACAAAAAAAAGAAGCTGAGAGATATGTCAAAACAAGTATATTTTAGATACTTCAAATTGAGTGGTAATACGCAATCTTTTGGTTGCAGATATTAGGTTTCGAACAAGTAGCACCAAAAGAAAACCCCGCAGGTCCGAGGGCGCACTGGACCTCCAGATCCGCCACTTCTTTTAGAAACATTCCTTAATTTCAGCTTTATGTGCCTTTAACTCGGTCAGAGTACCTTCATTACCTGACGATGCCGTAGATCGGCGAAAGCTTGGAGTAAAAAAAATAGAAGAGCTCAAAGCCTTGATGAAATCGTCCATTTAATTAACATACTACCGAAGAACAGCTTCAAACGTTTGTTCATCTTTCTGCAGCGTCTTTTTGGAAAGTATAAATTATAGGTTCAGAGCTGCCTGAAACTAGTGATAAATTATGGTGGCTTTGAACTTACACCACAGCTTTTTTTTTAACTTTGCTGAAAGATGAACCTTGACATCTCAGTTATATCTTACCGCAGTTTTGGAGGTCTCAGGTGAAGCTCGGCAATTTAGAAACGTGTAAGACTTTTTTTTGTTGCTGATTGTGTCTTAATTACCACCTGTGGTACAACAAAAGAGTACAATGAAACACGTGGAAACCATGGCAAGGAAATCTTGGTAAAGATAGTTGCTTAAATTATTGTTGTGTTTAACAACAGCAAACTGCTCCTAACGAGGCGGCTGAGTTTTCGAAATGTTCCTCTGATGACACCCTTTCACCTCTGTAATCTGTGGTGTTGTGTAAAGAGAAAAGCTACTCAGTTAAATTGCTTGAAAAATTTTAGCAAATCAGGTTTCAATTTTGTTTGGAGTTTTGATATTTTTCTCGATAAAAATCATGCTGTTAGGTAGGTAAAAATTTTCACTACTCGTATCTTCCTTAAAATAATTTTCTCTATTGTCCGGAAATAATGTTATGTAAACACGAAACTAAGAAAATGAAATTTGACCAGCGTGAAACAAAGAAAAGAATTGAGATCTACTCAGACTAATACAAACTTCATTAATTGTTTTGTTAGTCAACTGCAAATTGTAAGCCAACATAAAACAAAAGAGCATATTAGTGAACAGCAAAGGATACCGAGATTAATTAAAGATCTCCTGATAATCCGACCGGGCATCAGGCAGCTTTGTACGTTTCCGTCTTAAAGTAGGATTTAATATACCCATACATCTGCCAAACTGATCTTATATCAAGCGTTTTATTTCTATCTTAGGGAAACAATTATAGTGTACTGTAACAGCTATAGTGTACTGTAACAGTTATAGTGTACTGTATATTTAATCATAGATGGCAACAACTTGGTATGTCCCTAGACGCCTTTACTACAAATATCCCACACCCTCTGTTCAGACAAAATTCCAACCTTTTGATAGCGTAGTACTGATAGAGGGAAACATTTTGTAGACAGATTCTACTACGTAGTATATCTAATTGAGAAAAAAAATATTAGGAGACAAGATCAGAAATTGTTCCACAGATACTGACGAAAAAAGCTCCTAATTTGAAAAAGTTCAAACGGAATCAAAGAAAATTACACATATTTCTAAGCGGGGAAAAGTTTCATCACTCATGGCGAAGTCTCTTTCGAATGATACAGATGGGTTACTTGACCTTCAACAGACCTGTTATTTTCTCCCCGGTCGATGTATGGAATTATCTACCCCTGTTGTGTAGTTATTGACCTCGTTAACTACAACTCGAGTCTAATCTTGGGATGCTTACCATTTAACTCAATCGAAAACGGAAATTCTGGTCAGAAGCAAAAAGAACAGCAATTGTCCGGAGCGTCCAACCGAAAATTGTGGATCACTAGTTTATTGTCACTTTGGGTTAGGTTAAATGTACAGTTTTTATTATAGCTTATATTGTGGAATGAAATGTAAAACATTGTTTAGCCTGTTCCAAAATTCTTCCTTTATTTCGTTCAAAAGCCCTTTCCTTTATAAGTCCACTTCCAGGATATAAACCTTTCTAAACCCCCTCCCTGCCTCCCCTCCCCCCCTCCCCCACAATATAATTGTGTGAGAACAGGTCTTTAAATTAAGATTTTACGACACGTACGGTAACTAACTGACTGACATATCTATGGCCTAGAGGAAGTCTTAGCATTTCTTCCATTTAATCTTTACTTGCATACTCCTGCTTTAAAAATAGTTACTCCACCAAAGCCTTGCTAACAGAAACGTTTTAATTTTCAAGAACCGAGAGTGATCAAGAGAGAGGTAAATGAAACAATCAGTCCCTCAGAAAGGCTGATGACACAAAAGAGGGGAACAAAAGAAAGAATTAGATGTTGAAATTATATTACTTATTACAAAAGGTTTGATTCCTCTTTTGTTTCCGTCCAAACAAAAAGAGATAAGGGTAAAGTCCCTCAAAGCTGTTTCAACAGTAAAATCAAATGCGTTTGTCCCACGAAGCGTGTGCAGTGCGGTCTCATGGTTTTCTGTGCTGTATATAAACAAACACGCGTTGGTCTGTGCACATCGTGTTTTCCAGAGCACACAGGAGACGAATAGACATGAAGGCAATAGTTGCTTTGCTGTTTCTCTCGGCACTGGCCTTGTATGCTCAGGCGGAGATGGAGTACCATCCACATGCAATTCTAAATTATCTTGAGAGGGAAGATCATGAGATGGTCAGAAAAGTTCGCGGCATCTTGAAACTGCAAGATCCTGGACCCAGCTTTGAACCATCCTTCAAACCATCCTTCAAACCATCTTTCAAGCCATCTTTCAAGCCATCTTTCAAGCCATCTTTCAAGCCATCTTTCAAGCCATCTTTCAAGCCATCTTTCAAGCCATCTTTCACTCCACTGGTCCCACTGCCAATAGTAAGTGGCTGCGTATTTAACAAAATTGAAATTTACTTTTTGCTGGCTTTTCTCCTGCCTGTTGACCAGTGCGTACGCTAAAAATAACAAATGTTACAGGTGAATTTTTTGCGATGAAAATTATCTTGTTTCTGACAGATTCTTACAGAAGCCAACATGAATAAACTCAAAGTCTTAAGACAGATTTCGTTTGCGGCGCCTTTTTCCATATCATGCTTGAGTAACTCATCATATCATCATGGGAATTTTTACATAAACAAGAACTCATCTCCATTTCGTGCACATTTCCAACTAAATTTAAAGAGTAAATGCCTTGTCTCCAAGGGTTTTATTTTTATTTTTTTCTTAGAAAAATAGGACCAAACAGTGGAGTTTAAAATTGAACGAAGTTTTTTTAGGCCCTAGTTCAGATTTTTCAAGACTATCCATTCATGCCCACAGGGTAACCCAAACTCTGAACGTAAATTTATGAGAAAAATGCTAATATTTCAACACAAACTGCTTTACCTTTGTTTTTCTCTTTTCAATAGAAAAAGTGTTTGGCTCAAGCACTGATCTGTCACCATAAAGCTAAAGAAGATGCTTGTGAACATCTCAAGTGTATCAAGCTGACTGGATGTTGTCTAAAAGAAACAGGGATTACATTTAATCCACCTCCCATTGTGGTGGGTACTTAATATCGCTTACTTACCTCCCTTCCTCCCTCCCCTCCCTATCTACCTGCCCTATTTACCCTACTTACTTCCCTCCCTCCCCTCCCTATCTACCTGTCCTATGTACCCTACTTACCTCCCTCCTTCCCCTCCCTATCTACCTGCCCTAATTACTCTACTTACCTCCCTCCCTCCCCTCCCTATCTACCTGTCCTATGTACCCTACTTACTAAGCGACCTTCTCCACCTTCCCTTACTGTGAACGAAATTCTTGCTGAGCTGACGAACCTCTCTGAGTTTTAGTTCAAGCTGCCGAACTTCAACAACAAAAGAAAGTAATATTTTGATGTCTTAATTGTTGGGGTATACAGAGGGGAGCTGTAAAATAGACGGTTCGTAGATGGATATTTCAACTGATTCCAAATACAAAGAACGCCAATTGACATTTGATTTGCACGTGGAGTTTTGATTTAACTGAAGGAAATGATTTTTGCGATGATTCAGTTTATTTTGCGGGACTTAAACTTTCTTTAATGTGATAACTTACTTTCGTATCGCGGGATATTCACAAAAATCAAACTCGCAAAATTTTATGCTATACGATACCTTCTTACCTACCAACCTACCTACTCCTCGCTCTTCATTATTTATTTGTCGAGAAAAAAGACATTTTTCTTCAGAGATTCCAATTCCTGGCAAAGATGGGGTGCACAAATAATGTCCAGCTAGCAATACTTCTTTGTATATAAACCATGACATCCTAAGTCTTTATTGCCATCATTCTTCGCGTAACGACCTCTGTTTTCATTGTCAAAAAGTTCACAATGTAGTTCATCAACCACCGAGAGGAAAAGTAAGCTAATTTAATAGTTTTCTTTGGGTTTTCTTTTCATCTCTGCAGAAGAGATGCCTGCCAGTTATCCCGTGTTGCATGCTGGGAAGCGAGACCTGCGAAGAGAAGCTGTGTTGTTTCGTGCGATTTGGAGAATGTCTGAAAAAACTTGGTGACAAAATTGACGCATAACTCATTTTATCCAAGGGATGGGAAAAAAGGAATTAATCGTTAGACCGAAAAACTACCAGTAGCTTTAGTACGATATCAAGTTGTCATGTGTATACCTTTGTAACATTAAAGAGCCTGATTGTAATAATTCTCTGGTCTGTTCTACTTGTTCTTGTGCCCGTGTTCAAAGCGCTATGACAACCTGCTCTGCTCTTTCCAATATGCAGGACAACCCAGAACAACTTTAAAGGGGTAAGGGGACGATGATCACTTTCATAATTTTTAATTTCAGTCAGCAATTTCCTGTCACTTTCCATCAAATGATTTGTTGTTACGCTGTCGCTTAGACATCTCCACAGCAGAGACTGAACTCCGTCGATATTTTTTTCATCGCACGAGACCTAGACGCGAACATAGCGCGATCTTTACTATGTCAACACTTGTCAACAAGCAAAACAAACATGGCGGCTCGATACGAGCGCGCGATTGTTATCTAAAAGGTGTATTAAGGCAGTATAATCAAAAGAGTAAAGTTTTTATGGTTACTTCCTCGTATGGAGGCCACAGTTTGTGTCGTGGTCTGATCTTATTGTTGACGACCTCTGATAGATATCCGCTTTGTTTCCAGGTTAACATGTTTTCAAACAACTTCCTCGTCACACGGTCTGTCGGATCTTTGTTCAAGCGCCCATCCCGTTTGATTTCGTTAGGTCACCTTACAAAGTGTGTACATGAATTTGGTTATTGTAACACAGTGCGACATCAACATGCTCACGTCCGAGCTTTTCAGGCGAATATCCAGCACACGTTTGTGAAGGTCTTTTGCGTGCTTTAGGTCACCTAGCTGACTGTGAACATGACCCAGAAAAAGGGATAAATTAAAACTAGCTAGGATCAAAATCATGAAAACATCAATGTAATTTGGTGTTAACAACTGAGTTGAAAACGTAAATTGGCCACCGTAAAGAGTAAAAAAGCTGACGTTTTGAGCGTTAGCCCTTCGTCTATCGCTCTGACGAAGGGCTAACGCTCGAAATGTCAGCTATTTTTACCCTTTACGGTGGCTAATTTACGTTTTCAACTCAGTTGTTAACACTAAATTACCTACTATACTCTCCCACCGACGCAGCACCACAGTTTCTTTAGAAACTTGCCCCCTTCAACGTCAATGTGTTACATTCAGCCTAAACCAACAAAAACCAGCGATGTACCTTTAAATTAGACTGACTTTTATTAACGACTATTAGTTAAGTAATTTTAATTTTAAATGTCACCTTGCTAAATTTAACTCTTCTTCTTAAAAACTTATGGCGTTTGTTATTTACACTGAAGTACACGTGAAATATACGAGTGCCAAATAATCAATTAGTTACAGCGTTCAACAGTTCTAAAGTCCTTTAACACGAGTGGATTCAGGTCCCAGGATTTGTGGATGAGGCACCAACTGCTCCTGTTGTGTTGCTGTCACCGAGACTCTAGAGACAACAAAGTAGTAAACGTGTTGATAAAGGAAAGTTAACAAGCACTTAATAGAAAGAAATACTGGAATCAAACAACAATCTCTCTGTTTTTTTTTTTAAATTTCCCTCTATGGCTTATTTGGATCTCAACCCTCATGTGGTTGGCATTTATTTAGTTCACAGGTTAACTAGTAAAGATAGCATGAGTAACCTTGGAATATCACACAATCCAAAAATAACGGCGCGCACAAGTTTCAAAACAGCTGATTTTTGCCTCCAAAGTCACTTAGGGATCTCTCCCTTTCGCTGTGAGCACGTCAGATAACTGAAAACGCAATTTACACTAAAATAAAAAAATTTAAGTACAAAGATTCTACATTATAGTAGAGACAGGTAATTACCTCTTTTGGTAAGTTGTTCATGCGAAACTGTAGTAAGGCCTGTGTAAGGGCATTAGACACATGTAGGGCCATTGATGCATCTTCCTCGCTGGTCACAAGTTTTCCCTTAAAAGAAAGCATGGTCAGTCAGTCAGTCTGTCAGTCAGATATAGAGCTGCTACATTGTAGCCAGCCAGCTAGCCAGCCAACTGACCAGCTAGCCAGATAATCAACGATGCGCACATTCCACTAGCTGCATTGTACATTTCTTACGTTTCCAATGACACAATGCGTCTCAACATTGACCACCAGGGAAACAACCCACTAGGAGTTTAATGTACATGTGTCTCATCACTGCGCACATACAGATATATCTGTTTCATACTACTCACCAAATCTTCAATTGCTCCTTGGAGAAGGCTCATGTTATTTGGAGCACGATCTCTACTGCTAACACTTCCAGCACCACTGCTACTACCACCAGTCACACCTCCTGCGACAGTAGTGGGTGCGTGTCCATATGGGTGAAACCTTTGTTCGTTAGCACTGTGCATCTGCCCATATGGGTCAGACCTTTGATCACTTGTGGTTTGATTAGGATAGGGACTATTAAACTGAAAAAAAAAGAAGCAAAATTAAGCTTAAGAGCCAAAGAGTGATAAACATACAATTCCTCCTTACAGTATCAACCTTAATCAAACATTACAGTCATGAGAATAAAGGAAATTATTATGAACTTAAGGAGTTCCTGATTGTCAGACAAACTCTCCTTGTAAGTATCACAAGGAATGTATAGAGAACAGTATGAAGAACTTGCATACTGATGTTAGGGTGTAAAGGGTTAATTCATACTTACAAACTTTGTCCTTTTTTCCATGCTTGTTACTTATAATGATCTATTTAGTTATATGTTTTTGTCATTTGATTTATTGCCTTGTCCTACTTTAGCTTTATTTAGAAGCCAATTTAATTTACCTCATAATTTGAGCCACTGTTGTTTCCATAGTAACTGTCATAAAATTCGTCACTATTGTCACTGTACTGTGCCAGTCTAGGTGGAGATCTGGGTTTGAATGCCTCTGGGGGTAACATTGGATTCCTGTTTTGACATGATAAACAAAACATGACGACTATGAGAACAGGTAAAAAAGGGTGCAATACTAGCATGTTACAAAACATCATGATAACAAATACTAGAGAAGAGACCAGATAGTGTTGCCAAAATACATCAAATAGTTATATCAAGAGTTGTCTCCAAAAGTGCAACCATGACATCACATGTCATATGCAAGACTACCTCACATAACATGATGACACCACATGAGGTACCAGCAATAGAATATGGGCTGTGTAATATCGCATCATTTATCACATTCCATTTTGAATGACTGAACAGTCATTTCAGATTGTTTTTGTTTTTTGAAAATTAGCCACTGTCAAATGAACATGTTCATACCCTTCTCCATGTCTTCCACTGTTCCATTCTATACTAACATCATCATTTTCACCATATGATCCAGCAGGGAATGTCTGGTTGGTTTGACTCTCATAATAAGGGTAATTCTGACCCCAGGACTGATTCTGCCTTTTCCCACCTGGGGACACTCTTGTTCTACCCCTTCCACCGCGGTTTGATGCTGTAGGCTGTTGCTGGTTGTAACTGTGGGGATTTCCTTGCTGCCCACCTCTTCCTCCCCGCATAGTTGCCTGCCCTCGGCCAGCAAAGGAACCTCCCTGTGCTCCTTGTCCACCCCTCAGATTGACATGTCCTCTGCCTCTTGCACTTTGCCATGGCTGCTTTGCTAAAATTTGAGGAATATTCTTTGTTTTATACTTCATCAAGATTTTTTAAGAAACTATCTGACCGACATTGTAAAATTAGTTTATAAAAGTGATAATAGTTTCAAGTTTACAGAAACATTTAATTACAAACAAGTTCATCCTATATCAACTAAAGAGTCTATCATAATAAAAACAGTTGGCAGTTTCTGTTTTTGAGAAAGATGGCTGACAGCTCTCAAAACTGTCAAATATACAAAAAAAAGATTATTGGCTACATTTGTACGTTGAAAGAAGTTTTATATCAATTTTTGTTGATATGAGAGTCTCTTTACCTCCTCTACCCATTTGGTGTGTAACTGTTTGGTTGTTGGCGACTTGGTTGTTGATGACATTGAAAGGGCTCTTTTCAACTCTAGTTTTCACTTGTTGACGACCTAGCATCATCTCTAGTTTGCGTGCTTCTTCAAGCAGTTTGCTGGATAGTTCTGATCGCTTTTGGACACCCGCGCGGATACTCTGAGCTACATCTGGGACCTTCTCTTTCTAGTAAAGAAGGAGTAAATAACTTAATTTAACTCATGTTTCTTTCAAGTTGTGTGTATTAAGTTAATAGCTCTTATATAAACTCATATAAAATCCCTCAGATGCAAATTCTAGAGAAGCCATCACTGCTGCAGTTACAAGTTGCATGTTTTGACTAGAATCTATTTGCATTTTTTTTACTGTTGAAGACAAAGTCAACAGATGCATCAAACCAATAATAACAGCACCTCAAACAAATAAAGTTTGAAGAGATACTTGTATTTCATCTTTCTCATTTGCTCGATCATTTTAGATTAGGAACTACTAAGATAGGAAGCTAAAAGCTAAAAACAGGAAAATTGTTGTCTTCAACTGATACTGTACAAAAATGTTCTTCAATGTGAAATGGTCAAGGATTGTTCTGATTGTCAAGCAAATAGCAACCTCTCATTTGAATACTACTCTGTTCTAGTATACACCACACAAGTTAATAGTGCTTTTTGCATGCACTGATTAGCAAGTTTGGAAGTTTGGAAGTGCTATTCACTTTTGAGCAGCTGATGAGACAAGACCATGTGTTAATAGTTATTTTTTGGTATATTTAAAGAAACAAACTAATTTCTGGTATCTGGGTGGTATATACTACAACAATTATTTTCCTCAGTGTCAGTCAAAAATCTGGATATTTGCCTCCACTTTGGGGAATAATTGTTAATTATTAAGTGTTGTGAGGGATGGAAGTTGAAACATGATGACAGGCGTGCGATGGAACAAGAAGAAAAGAGACAGCATTTCCCTTTTCCACCAACTTTATCCCCACTGGCATGCCTTAAAAAGGCTCAAAACAACTTTACATGCTTGTTTTACCAATATCAAATTAATTGTTTGTTTTGCTGGACAGCAGCTTCATCAAGAAAATGTGCAGCTTTCTCATTGGTTTCTTAATTGTTTAGGGCAAGAGAAACCAACTGAAAAAAGCTTTGCAAACCATAAGATACATATTACGCTTCTGTAAAAGACAGTCTTTCAATCCCTGCTCTGAAATATGCTGCACAGTTTTATACAGAACAGTCCCTTGCATACTGTACCTCTGAGATTGAAAAGAAAACTTTTATCCTAAGACAATTAACATGCAAAGTATTTCTCCATGAAAGCCTTTGAGAATAAGGAGAAAAATACTGGGCAAAAAGGAACTTTGCCTTTATGCTGGTTCATTGCTTGTTGAGTGACAAACATATGATATTCTGTTTTTTGTTTTGTTTTGTTTTCCTTGCATTTTTAATGATAAAGACAACCTGTGAATGAACAGGAATATGTGTTGAGCTACAAGTAATTTAAACAGTTTTAGCTTTAAATTTTTCAACCAGTTTGGTTTTCATTTTCCATTATCTTGCATTCTCTGTCATATAATGACTGAGAGGGAAAATAAATATTGAACTGGTTGGAAAAAAATTTCAACTACAAGATAATTCATATCATAATGTTAACAATGCATGCCCACTTCATGGATGAACAAAACCAGTAAAAGAAATATTTTTACTGCTGTTCTTGGATTGGGATGCAAAAATCAGCAAAGAAAACTAAAAAAAATGCTTGCAATTACATACACTTTGCATGCTGAGAAAAAAACAATGCTAATACCATGTTTTGGGCCTAAAAGGTTTCCATTCTACAATCTCAGCAGTCTTTCCTACTCACCAGTACATTGAAACGATGTTTGCTTCCAACAAGATGTGGGAACTTCAAGTTGTGATCAAATTTGGAGTCACATAGTTCACAGTGATATCTTGGACTCTGTCCTATAACCTGGATTTCTGTAACATACTCCAGGCCTACAGAACAAGTGGCACAACACGCCAAATTGTAAAACAGGTGAAAATAAACTTCCTAATAAACCATAGATGAATATTTTCACCCATGATATCCACTGCAGTTTGTTACTATGTAATGTGGCAGTTTGAGTTAGACACTCATTTGTCTCCTCCCTCTAATGCCCAGGTTTACATGTACATGTAACACCTGAACCATGTGGTTGGTGTAAATGATTGAAAAATAAACTAGACACAAGTGCTAGTTATCTACATGTGACTTGTGCATAACAAGCCATTGGAAAAACCCCTCCACTTAATTTGCCTCTCCATCTGACCTGTGAAATATTGATACTTGGATTTCCCTAGAACCATCAATCCAGATCTTACTATGCACAGAACAACTGAGAAGCAAGTTAAAATGTCGAGGTTGAAGTAATCAGGGTTCCTACTCCCTTGGACTTCTGAAATACAGCCTAGTCACAAAATACATTTAACATGTATGCTGTAAGTCAAGGTAGTAATGCTGCCAAAAAAAGGAAATTTTGACACATAAAAATTCCTCTAAAAAGGCACAAACATAGGAGACAAACACCTACGTTTCATCATTTTTTGTTGAGCTTCATTAGTACCCTGAATTTTAGCCCTTTAAACCCTCACATCAGAATCCATATTCTCCATGGATTCTGATTCACCGAATAACCCACAGAGAATTTAATAGTTAAGGCTTGTTAGGTTGGTGATCATTTCCTCTGCTCTTATGATGGTAATGAAAGATTCATTAGTATTACTGTTAGGAGAAATTAGATGCAGGTCATCATAGGGTTTAAAGGGCTAACATAACACAACTGCCCACTCTGTAATCCTCATTTAAACAGACATGTCTGCTAAATCACTTATGTCAAACAAATGATTTCCATTCAAATACTAAATACATGATGTTTGTTTTTGATATGCCATTGATCAGCTGCATCTTGCTCTGTAAAGTAGAACATAAACGCCAAGAGCAAGTAAACATGGAGAGGTACTAGGCAGGTACAGTGCACATATCAAAGCATCAAGTGTGATATGGAGTCTGCATTCAGCTAACAAACTCCTGCCATGATTTAGAAGTGAAATACAAACTCCAATCATTGCAGATCACTTACCAATAAGAGGCTCAGGGTATGTAGCAAAGTCTTTAGCCCCTATTGGACCACTCAGGCTGGGCTGCTGCACAGCATGCACTGGCTTTTCATAAGGTTTGCGTGAATGACCAGGCAGATATGCCCCTCCTCTGACAGGACCACCCCCTCCTCTGCCACCCCTATTGAATCCTGTGTTCATTGCTGTGTTCATGAAACCTCTCTCCTGGGCTTTTTGCTGTGCTTTCTCAGCTCCTTGTTTCTCGAGAGCCTGATAGCAAAGTATAAAATACACAACTAGGTAAACTTGCCACTAAAGAAAAGATATAACACAGTCAGCTTTTACTGTGGGAACATCTTGCTAATGCAAACATCTTGCTTGTGACTAAAGCTGCCAAATGCCTATCAAAATCTTAAGACATTTATCACTTTCTTTGGTTTCAACAGCAAAAACATCACACTTGTCTTCTCACTGCAACATACACAAGTCAGTACCTTTAACAATTTAGCAGAATCACCTCAAATTATAGTTTACTTCCTTATTCTTCTCTTTATTAAGCTGCCACTGGTTTTTTTGATGACACACATAGCCAGGAAAACCACACTAAGTGATTAGGAAATTTTGCCAGATGCCACTTAATATACATGAGATTTAGAAGTTTAAAAGTCTTGGTGATTTAAAGGATATTTTATCCCAAATTTGGCTTTCCCTCCCATGTGAAACCAATTTCCTTTGTCCCCAAGGTAAACAAAATCAGCATCTAACTGTACAACCCCACACGATATACAGTGACCTTAATTGCCTTTTTTAAAAAAAAAACATCTATGAAATGCATAGATTCTGAACCCTCAACAATATAAGTTACTGTATATACTGTTCGGCATTTTTATACTTCTACTTACCTTTCTGTGTTTTTGACCAATCAGGTGAGCATTCCAAGCAGAGTCACTATTGCATGTTACTAAACACACCTGTTAAAACAGAGAAGTAAAGTCTTACACCCATAGCAGTAAAATTCCCCCATTTGGCACATGCAGGCATTAGCTGCCAAAGAAAGTATCATAAGAAACCTATCAGAATTCAAAGATGAAATGAAAGGAGTTTGTATGAAGAAGAGTCACAAATGCACCTAAAAGTCCTTTTGCCCAAAGTCATGTCACCTGAAACCAGAGTCATGTGACCCAAAGTTTTTGTCAAGTTGTTCAAAATCCTAAGACATGTCACCCAATTTTTATCACAAGTAAAAACATCAACATGGTATATTTATAGAAACCGGTAAAGGTACTGATTGATTGAACAACCCTTTGTATTAACTTGCGTTACAGAACTTTCAATAGTGAAAGTCCACTGTAAATATGACCTAATTCCAAAACTTTCGAGGTGACTAAAAACTTAGGACGACATGACTCTGGTTGCAGGTGACACGACTTCGAGCGACATGACTTAAGGGCGAATTGACAATAAACCGGACAGATCTTTACCTGACAATTGTACTGAGGAGGGGGCTTTTTTTCCTCTTTCTCCTCTAGTCTCTTTGGAATCTTGATATTAAATTCTTCAATTGCACGCTTTATGTGTCGTGGACTCATGCAATGATACTGGTAAGCCTGTAATAAACGAGAAAATTGAATTGAAAACAGACATTTTGTCTAAACTTTGCGGATATTGAAAGTGGACTGCACAAGGGATTATCATTAAATGCATGGAGCGAATTGTGTGGCATTGAAACCAATCAAGAGCAAGTTTCACCAACCTCCGAACAGTCTGCAGTGTAGTCACATAGTTTACATAAGTAAGGTATTGCTTTATCTGTGTTGATCCATTGATGTCGTGGATCGACTCTCTTCATCCGCGTTTCTGGTGGACCGGGCTGAATCAGCTCAGGCGGTTCGGCGCTTGCAAAGTCACCATAAGGATTCTGTTCTTTACCTTCCGAGACTTCTTGTTTTGCATCATTGGGCGGAACAACCTGGTTGGGATCTCCCTCAGAAACAATTTCCTCACCTGCGTTGGTCGCCATATTGGTCGCCATAGTCCCATAATGCATTTCGTGCAGTAAATGGGGACGATTCTCGTACGCAACCTATGGGGAATGGGCAAAAGTTTAAGCTTACCCTTACCCCAGCAGGAACGCGGATTAAGTCACTCTTGTCCGAAGTGGAAAGCTCACTCTTCAAAGTAAATGAATTGAATAGAAGTATAAAGACAAGAAAAATAGTTTAACAGTAAAAGTTTTGCTTCATTGTGTAAGTACTAAAAAAAACAATTCTCGAACCATTTTTTTTAGCCTCATCAGAAAAAGCCCTATTCTAACAGTATGACAATCCGTTTGATCGACTAGAATGTGATTTTCAACACGCACTATGAAGCTTGAATGCTAATGTGCTTTATTGGGAAAAATTACATTATCATGTGGCGTAGTACAAAAATAAATGTCTTGGGAAGTTGCTCCCAAAATTATGCAATAAGATACAAAAAAAAAAAACCAGTCATGAACAACACAACACGGTGGTCAAACGTCTGCGCACGTTCGAACACATTTAAGAACGCGTTTTCAGGATGTCAATACCAAGTTGTCTTACGAGAGTTAAAAAAAACAACCACAGAAGTGAGCAAGTCGCGATGCTTGAAAACCGTCTAACCCTTGGGGTAAAACTCAAAACAAAATTGTAAATAAACATGAAATCTGTGATTAAATAAGCTTTGTGTACGGAAAGTCTTGTGTTTTCCATTTCCCTATTTTTGTTGCCTTTTACAAATGCCAATGGACGTTTTGATATTTCTTGGCATACTCTGGGTGACAACGGTTACTTCTAATGTTTTCTGCAGCCGGCCAAAATTGACCCCCCTGAACATGCGCTAAATGACTTGGTCACTCGCCTTTTACAACGCTTGACCCGGATGCAAATGCCTACTTTGAATTTCCTTTGCCTCCCCCGTTATATCTACTTTTGTTCGGATTAGCAGCTGTCAGTTACACTGTTTCTGGTTTTATAACACTCAATCGAGAAACGCGTTGCTTGAAGGAAAATACCAAGCTCTTAAACGTACTTCACGGTGGCTCTTTTTTATTGACGATACAGCAGTGTAGTTTATTCACACCATCTGGGGCCCTTTCCTCGAAAGTCTCGTTAACTTAACCGATCCTCAGTAATATTTATCGAGGAATAGTCGATCCCAGGTAAGCGGTGCTTCAGTACAAGTCGGACAATTTCTTTGTTTTTGGTTATTTTATTACCATTCACAGGTATCGTTCTGTATTTGTAAATCAAAAGATCTGTTTTGCTGAATCGGTCACTAAGACTGCAAAACTGTTGATTTAATGGACGGAAAACGGTTAAAACGACGCCCATCTGAGACTGGGCTGTCTGTGTGTTTTGTTTCCGTCCCAGTGTCACCTCCTTCGTCTTTTGACATAAACCTGTGGACAGCTTTAACAATCTTTCCCTTATTTTTATTCTCCGCGTCCTCGTCAACTTCTTCTATTTCAAATCCTACATTGTCGCTCACAGCTGCTCGCATAGATGGCATATCCACACCTCCCACGCCTAGTTGTAGCTTGAGCCCAGAGGACTTGCCACCTGCAGCTACTGAATTCACGCCACTACCCAAGTCATTCAAGGATAGAAGCATGGTGATGCAGCAGGTTGCGGAACACTGCGGGTTTTTGCGCCACATCATAAAGTTGTGTAGCAATACAGCAAGATAGCGACCTGTTGAAAACAAGAAAGCAAGCACTTAGTTGTAAGCGAGGATGTTTTAGTTCTAAGTTCTACGAGCCAATAGAAAGGCGAATGAGAGTACGAACGGATGCACTTAAATGAACTCAAGAAAGAAAAACACACACAAAAACAGCAAACGAAAGCAAAAACAAAAAAAGAAAAACGGACGAATAAAAAAAACCCAGAATAAAATGGTGAGCTAGCGTGGATAGAGCCAATTTATAAAGCTTCACTGAAATTCAACATACCCACAACAAGCAAAATAACCAAAATGTTTGCTCCAACAACGAGAATGTTCACCAGCAATGAATCGACATGTTGATCCACATCGGAAGGGACAGATTCTTTTGGGATCTTCAAAATCACTCCAATACCGAGATTGAGAAATATCACAAGGAGAGATGTCAGCTGCAGTTTGTCCTCAAATTCGTCCCTGATTGGCTTGCGGAAGGCATAAACAATAGCAAACAATCCGGAACAGATCGAGGCCAGACCAACATAAGCTCTGCTCTCACGCCCAATCAGAATAATCCCACAAGTCAACACGAGCTTCCGTATCACCTCTACAAGTTCCCAGTACCATGCGTCATCGTTGTAGTTCTCGTAAAGGAAGCTCATTCCTGAGATTAGCTCTGATTCGTCAATTGACCCCTCTACGAGACAAAGAAAGCAATACTTGCAGGAAGAACTTTGAACAGTGAAAGCGTAAGTCTAGTGGAAACAACATACTAGCCGACATATCGTGACATTAAATTCATTTATCTATGTTAAATAATGGAACCAAACTTTTTGAGGTAATTTTGCTATCGTTTTCATAGTAAAGTAGTTCCATGGTTCCTCTGATGCCCTCAAGTTATCTATGACACATCAAATTTGACTGCAGTCGAAATTGGGGTTGTAAACGATTCTTACGCTTTCAAGATCGTCCAGTTGTCGCGGCTGATCGAGTTCAAGACCTGAAGGTTAAGTTTGTTATGGTTAATGAAATACCCTGTAAGGAAACGTTTAACTGCTTTGACATCGTCAGGAAATAGAACGAACGACACAACTCCAGCAAGTATAAAACTTAAGTACAGGTTTTTTGTAGTTCTGAGTAATTTTTCATCTTTTTTTACTTACTTTGCATTCTTTTCTGTCAATAAATCTACACAACTTCCCTTCAGATTCTAACCGCCGAAGGAGGCCGCGGCCCTATCTCCCCGCCCCCCCCGGCCGAGAACTCAATCTCACCTTCACCATTTTCAACTGCCAGAACTTGTTTTCTCCTACGTCTCCACAAAGCCACAAAGATAAGCGCTGGAAGGAGCACAATGTAAGACGAAGCAACGAAGGCAAACAGTGTGAAAAACTCGTACTTTTCACCCTCGCACTCGACGCTGTAGTCTGCTTTAAGGTAGAACTTGCAGGACGTTTCAGTGCACAGCTTGTGGCAAGCGACTGGGAGGGTCCTTAATATCGCCGAACTAGTGCTTGGGTAAGTTATGAAGAGATATAGAAATACGTTACGATACAGGAACTCTTTCGTTGCGGATAGAGAATCCTTCACTTCTAAAGACTCTGATGTTGGTTTTCTTAAGAGAAAAAGTTTCTTTATCCAATAGCAACCGAACGCAAGAAACATTACGCAAAAATTACTACCAAAAATCACGTACATTTTGCTAAAAGCATTTTGCTTCCAGGACGGAAATAAGCAATGAAGAGGTACAAACTGCAGGACGTTTAGCTGGACTACTTCTGCATAATCACCGATCATAGACAAAGATGATGGCCACTTTACATAGACAAAAGCCTCAACTATCCCGGATGTGACCTGATAGAAGCCAATCACAATCTTTAGCCTGGCTAACAAGATGTCAACCAAAGGACGTTTTTCCTTGGATTTTTCTCTCCTACCGCTCCAAATAAGAATACCTATGAGCAAAACAACACCCCCTCCTAAAAGGCACAGCTGCACGATGACCCAGGTACTGGACGGACAAGACTTACATGAGAGGACCCGTTTATAGAATCCATCCTCGCACACCTCACACAAGGGACCTGTATACCCTTTGGCACATTTCGACTCCAGTCCTCCCAGGCATGCTACAACCTGGGGACATTGGTATGGAATCGGAAGGGTTCCGTTATAAGAGGTGGAATTTCTGAGGTAAGTGTCGTTTTCGATTTTTAGATTTTTGGCAAAAGCTTCATAGGCGCGCCTGTTCATTTGAGAATTCCATTGCCAGTAATATCCTTTCTTTAATGAAACTGATTCATTTAGACAATCTAGGCCTTTGGAGGGACAACTCTCACAGGGACCAAATCGATCGTTGCGGTGGAATCCCTTAATACATTTACAGGCTCTGTGGCCGGAATGAAGATTTGTCCTAGTACCTACAAATAGACAATAGCAGATCATCAGAGCTATTATTTTAACACTATACCCTGTTCTAAAGTTTTCCCCACTCTAATTTTAAATCAAACTTGACAGGTTTAATGTGAGGGGGAAGTGGAAAGTGAGGAAACTTCTGGGTATCAGTATCACAGTAGTTAAAATATAAAATATCTGTAAAGTAAATAATGACTCTGCGTCGACTCTTTATCTTTCCTTGATTTATTCCTCTGTGGTTAGTATCTAAATATATCTTCAGTCGAGAATCACTTCACCTGTGGGGCACACTTCGCAGTCCAGGACTTTTTTTCCCGGCGCATTCTCCGGGGGAACATACGTTCCCAGATTACATCGCAAGCATTCTTCGGCGACGGTTGCCACACTATCGGAATAAAAACCACCTAAAATGAAAATGTTTCGTTAAGAATTGGGAGTAAATTCCTGGGCCCACAAATGGGCCCACAAACTGACTCAAACAGAGACTTGGAAGAATTCAAACTTTCCAGGGATCTGAACAAGACTGTTAAGGTCACATGCCACTTGACATGCAAAATCTATTGTAAACAAAAATCTAGCAGAGTCGCAAGCTAACACTTGTCTCTCTGTGCAATGTGACAAAGAACATTTTGAAAGTTTGCAGAAATTGCACCTCCCCATACAATTAGCTTCTCCATTGATTAATAATGGCAATAAGATCGAGTGGAGTCCAATTCGATCTGTGATCATACGAGTTATTAACAAAATAGGACGACCGCGAAGCGGGGGTCCGATTTGTTTATCACGGGTATGATTACTGACAGAATTGAACGGAAAGAAATCCTGTTACCAATTAATCATAACGATTTTAGTTAGATATTTATCCATTTTGGAAATTGCCTTGTTTTTCTTTGGATAAGTGGTTGTTGCTATGGTTATTGTGATCAATTCTGTGATTGGTGGATTTAGCAGAGTGGACCTAGTATGATTGGCTGCTTCAACTGTCCGATTACAGGTGTCCGATTACAGCTAACTGTCCGATTACAACTATACAGAATGATTAGTGAAAAATGAAGCAGCTGATGCACCAATCACATTTGAGGAAATTGTAATGGTTATGATCTACTGAGGTACCGTAACAGACAAGACGCCGAACATGATATGAAATAGCCTGTGAGGAAGCCTCATTATCAGCACTAGAGGATACACGTTTCTCCGCCCACGAGAAGATTAGAGACGAGTCAGGTAGAGGTTTGCCGGGGGCCTGGCGATAATGTTGCTGATGATGTATACCGTACCGCTGAGAGTGTATACCGTGATTAAAATTACTCCGCGCAGGTAAAATACTCCGTACAAAGAACTCTATTGGTGATTTGTCGCCAACTTGGAATCTGCATAATTTAGTTTAAATAGTTTCGCATCTTCGAATTCTGTATTTATTCGTTTCATAGTGCTAATTTATTCATTTTGTATATCACCCTCGTACTTATATATTCAGGAATCAGATTATGAAAAACCATAAGTCTTCCATGGTAGCACGTTGTCTCTACTCTACAACAGAGCTAGACGTCTTGTAGACTTCTCGCCAGTTCGCGTAGCTTAAGGCCTCGTACTTTCCTGTGGGCGAAGAAACACTCGTGCCAAAACGCTGATAATAAGGGCCTGGTCGCAGGCTAGATATGAAAACACATTAGTTATACCATGTTTATCGCAGGATTTTGTGTTTAAGCAAAGGGGATAACAAGAAGAAACATACATTCTGGACAAACAATAGCTTTCATGCACCTTGATCTCTCTTGTAAGCAATATATCAAAGTTATTTAGAAAATATTGGCGCTTCACTTACTCCACTGGCATGAAAAGGTTCGCTGTGCTGCGACAGGGTCGTGATAGCACCTCTTCGTGACCTACCTGGAGGGCAAGGAATACACTTTGCCATCATAGCTGTGCCGTACTGAAAGTTTTTAAGATGAGGAACGAAAGTTCCTGTCGGACAGGGTGCTCTGTACGTCTGATTCCCGTCGGCAAAACCAGCTTCGGTCAGAGCGACGAAGAGAGCTTTTTGGTCTGCTGAAACACCCTCAGTTGCGTGTTGGGGTGAACTTTAAAATCGTGAAAGAGGCAAAAATAGAAATGTTCATTTTCCATGGCATTGTCGTCCACAAAGGAGGAGTTCTCTTGCAGTACCAAACACATTTTAATATTTTCAAGCTCACGTCTCCTCCTTTACAATATGTAAAAAAAAACCCTTCAGAAGAGGTAATATTGTTTTTTAAAATATGCAGTTATGAAATTTTGCAAATTTAAAAAACAAGAAACAACGCTATTGCGCTAATTTTTTTCAGCCGTAGAGTGCTCCACTAACTGGATCTTCACTCCAACTTTCAGACAACAAAATTAAATACAATATGAGGATTCCTTTCAAGTGCTATTAAATGTATATATTAAACCATTAAACATTTCATTTAATAAACTCAAATTTGTCTCCTTACATATACGTTTTAAGCCTCTTTTGTCCCTCAAAAGCTTTCATGTTTAGTTTTTCCATTTTAGTATTCATCAGATATCTAGAAAGAAGATAGATTTTATTATTTCCAGGGTCATTGTGCGAGTCGTCACTTTTCTTATGACTGTTGACGAGCTGTCTGTAAAACTGAACTGACAAAGGATTTCAAATAAAAACTTGGTTCTAGAATGATAAGCAACAAGGCCCAACAGTTTTTGTCTGGGAGGGTTGGGAGGGAGGGGAACGTATCAAAAAGGATCGGAGGGGAGGGGGGGACTTGAGAAACGTGCACGATATCTTCAACTTACATTATCTTCAGACTGGAATTCGCTATTGTAAAGGCATTTTGCAGCAATGTTGTTATTGGATTGTTCGCTAGATTTCTGAAAGTAAAACATATTCACATGAATGGTAGTTAGAAATGAGTAATTTTAATCATTTAAAACCAAATCAATTTACTTTCGCGGTAGACATAACATGAACAAAAGATTATTTTTCATTTCATTTTCCACAGTTCCGTTCCAGGTATGAAGAAATTAGGATGCGAAAGCAAAGAGACCAGGTAGAGCGCAGCTCAAATGTCTCATCCCAGCCCCTACTCATGCCCTGCGATTCGCGAGGATATAGACTTCAAGGTCCGCTTGGCGATTTTCAGTTAAGGGCGAAGGTCACACGAGGACGAGGAAAGGATTTAGGCGAGAGGAGGAGCCGGCAAACAGGATTAGAAAATCAGTCGCAGACGAATCAACTATTTGACGTATATCTGCAGCTTAGAACTTACATCAGCATAAGCGAAGAAAGGCTCTTGAAGGTCCCTGAATCCACACTCGTAATTTTGTTATCACTTAGAAATCTGTTGATGAAATAAAATGACTCAAAATTATTTTAATTATCATCAAGTCTCAATTAAACTTGACGGATTTGAAACCTCCATGATGAAGTACCACCAGCACTAACGATTAGTTAATGTGAGCACAGTAACTGTCCAAAGATCTGGGTACAAGTAGTCTCCGCAGTCAACTTTCAAAATTTAATCGTCACGCGATGTCTTTAATAGAGAAATTTGATGTCTACAAAGTGAAAGTTTTTTCCTGATCAAATTTGAATTAATACCCCACTAAAAAAATGCTATAAGGCACGTTTAGGCTCCAGGGCATACTTTGAAAAAATGACCTCAGAAATACACCAATAAGGGCCTCTTAAATCTAGGCACAAAATTGCGACTGAAAGGTGAAGCGTTTTTTCTGTGCACGCACGCTTCCGTCTAGTTCTTTAACCCTTGAATCTGTTTCTTATTTATCCTATCGAAGAAATATAACATGAAAATATCGCAATGTGACCAGTTTTCAATAGATTCACTTACAGATATTTAAGAGACGTCAGTTTACCGAGCACGCCGCTGGACAAAGACGCGATATAGTTGTTTGACAGAAACCTGTTAATGGAAGAAATTAAATTGTTTACATCTCAATAAGGTCAATCGCATGGTATTTTTTTGTCAGGGCTTCTCCACGCTTCCAGTCACCGTAAAATAAGGAAAAGAGAATAACTTTCTTCCTTTCTGATCATTCTGAAAGAAAATAAAACACTAGACAAGAAACCCTATAACACGATCTGCAATCCCAGGTTATAGGTTTAGGTTATCAGTACTTTTGGAGCTCTTTTTCGATTGAGTGTCGTAAAACTACTACCAAAGTTATCATAACAGCCAATCAGAGCCAATCAGAGGAGAAGTAAAAATCCCAGCGAGAACTCAAAGAAAACTAGCCGAACGACCTAACACGCGGGAAAACGCGGGCGACCAAGTCGTGATTGGTTTTAGTATTGCTTCTGATTGGTTGAGAGGGTGGTGCGAGTTTTCAGGACCAATCACAGAACGAAGTAAAACTAAATCAATGCAATCCTGGTTTACTTTTGACACTCTATTGAAAATTGTTCTAAGAGCAAATACTTACAAAATAACAAGAGAACTCTCAAGTCCGGAAAATGATCCATCTTCCAATGCAGCGATCTCATTCCTGGCTAGGAATCTGCGAGAAGAAGTCGAACGGAAACTGATTAAGCATATTTCTTTTAGTACCCTCTAGGGAAGAGGGCTTTCAAAGAGAGCATGAAGTGTGATGAGCCTAGCCTCGAAAAAGGAATATGTGCATAGAACTGAAGCCGTGAATGCCAAAAACAAGATATTCCGCATTTTAAAATATTTTTGTGGCGGATGAATACAAGGAAAAATGTTACAGGATAGTGCAGTTGACTTACAATTCTTCCAAGTTGGAGTTATCCCGAAAAGTTCCGTTTTTCAGCTGAGTAATTCGATTCTTTGATAAATACCTACAAAACGAACATTCTAAACTTAATTACGCAACACTCTTTGGAGTAACAAAATTGTCCTTTCAAATGGAGAAGTATGTTTAATGAAGTTAATTTAACTGACAAAATAATTACATTTTTGTGACTTTGAAAAGTGAATTCTAAAACTAAAAAATTTGAAAACGTTCCAAGTGATGGCCGCCTGTGTGCATTTATTATTGAGTCGACTCACAGTTTTTTAACGAGCTTCAAGGATGCAAATGCTGAAGTCTGTAGAGCCTCTATCACGTTATCTGTAAGACCACTGTGCAAAAATAAAAAGTGTTAGACTTTGAATTGATTTCTCAGCATGATTATTCGAATCGATAAGCGAGAGTTCTTTTAACTTACATTTCCGTCACACCTGCCGGAATTTCTTGCGGAACAGAGCTTAAATTTGAAGATTTACAATCCACTTTAAATACACCAGTTTCAGAGACGCATCTACAAGACTTTGGACACTCTGTAAACCAAGGAAGATTTTGAATTAAAGCCAAATATTGATAAAACACCACAAGCAGAAAAAAATCAAGTAGTTCACTCACGTTTAGAGCGTTAGCCCTTCGTCAGAGCGAATGGAGGAATTGTGGGTTGTGTAGTGTGGTGTGAATATAATGACGAAAAAACAAGAATAAATTGTAATAAACTGCTTAATCGTTTGTCTCACGCTTAAAGACAACACGACCGCCTTTCTCGACACATCAGTTACGAGGGAACTAGAGAGACGCCAGACCACCAGTGTCTACAGAAAACCCACTCACACTGATCAGTACTTAGCGTATGATTTACACCACCCTAAATTAGTAAAGTGCGGTATTGTGAGTGTTTGTATGACCGAGCAAAGCGTATGAAAAGAAAATCATCAGTCATCTCAGAGGAAAAGAAACATTTGTCATCAATTCTTGTTTCCGCCAATCGCATTAGATCATCGTGATACAAATGGTAACGCGTAAGCAGTCGACCCCATCGCCTGATGAAGACTAGCAGTAAGCAGTCGAAACGTCGCGATCTACATCTCAAGTGACAACATCGTGGAACAAACGATTAAACAGTTTACTATTATTTACTACCACAATGAGAAATAACCTCTTTTACGATATTAAGAAGAAATTGGTTGAATGAAAAGCACCCGTTGATACCGTGGGGATTAAGAGTGCCGATTTGGAAGATAAATTTTTGTTCTAGGGTTATGCAGCTTACCGAACCGCCAATGTAAAGAGAAAGGCCGCAAACTGCCATATGCTGCTTAGAATGATTAGCAAGGTTAAATTGTCTAGCAACTGGTTCGGATGCTTCCTTGACATTTCTTTCTACGTCGTGAAGTTGTTCTCGGAATCGATCACCTAGTCGTCTTTCTGTTTCACCAATGAATAACTTTTTGAAATAAGTGCAAGTTATGCAGTAAATGACATTGGCGGAGGTGCACGTGAAGTGATCAGTAATCTTAATGGATCTCTTGGGTCCCGACACTTTCTCTACGTTATGAATGAAAGGAAATGTTTTACGTCGTGAGCGAGGATGATAGACTTAACTGCGGGGTTGTGAAGGTGAAATGTGACAATGAATGGAATGTGATTGGTGCTTTCCTTCTGCGCGATATCTACAGCTGTAGGTGGCTATGAACCGTTTGGTGGTTTCGCGTGTGCGGCCAGGTTACTCTCTGTTTTCAAAATGGCCACCGTGCCCCGCTCACAGATCAGCTGTATTCTTTACTTTAGAAAATCTTTTAATAATTATAGCCATAATCATCTCTTTCGTTTCTCGGCTTAACGCGAAGTTATTCTAAGGAATGCAAAAATTCAATACCAACCTGCAACATCAACGTTAGCCGTTGCAACATCAGTGTCGTTCTGTGAGTTGTTGGCTTTACAAGTGTACACACCCTCATCAAGTTGTGAAACGTTTTTTAGCTCTAAAGCTGCAGTTCTTGAACCTTTAACCAACAATTTTCCATTTCGTATCCAAGTAACATCAGCAGCAGGGACGCCTTTTGACCAACAGTTTAGTTTTACGTCTGCACCAATAGGTACCGACTGTGATTCGCTGATAAACATTATACTCGCAGGCACTGGTTATTTTGCGTCGGTAAAAGGAAAAAATATATATCCATATGTATATAGTTTAGGAAAGACTTATCAAAAAATGGTTACCTAAGGCTTCCACTAATGCGTTTTGTTCAAAAGTGCTTAGTTTTCGCTGCGAAGCCGGAAAGCAGAGGCTTTTGACAGCGATGATGAAAATGCGTCACATACTGTGCGTCTTTGGTGTTTTCGTGTGGACGATGACGAAAACGCAGTAGAGTGGCATGAAAACTTTGAGGTTTATCAATTTTGCGTAGTTTTTGCATTTCTTTCGAGTTACCTCAAGCAAAAAAATTTCGCCAAATAGAACGGCACAAACATTTACCACCTAAAATTCAATATAAGACTCTAGAGGAGGGCGAGTGGCAAAACAAGCTTTTTATTACTTTGTTGTTGTGTCTGGAGGAATAAGTTAATACCTTCGAGGATCTCATTTGATTTCGGTGAAATAAATAATTCTATAACTTGACAAGGCATCTAGGTTGAAAAGCGTTGTTAATGTTAGAAATTTTTCCAGTACCTCCCTTGGTATAGTTTTGTGGCTCGAGCAGGAAATTGCAAAAGATAAATCTAAAAAGCAATTTTTGCCATCACGAACTCGACAAATTTATTTTTGCTCAAAAAACAAAAACTTCCATTTCGCAATGTAAAAATTAAAAAAAACGCCCAATTTAATTTTAAACGGTCTTTATGATCCACAAATTAGACGATCATTTCGAATTTCCATTATTGTGGTAAATTTGTATTCCTCTCTTCACGCAAATCAACAAAGGCGGAAATCAGGTAGGAATTGATACTGTACAATGCTATAGATAGATTCTGATAAATATCCTGAAGAAAGTACTACTTATCCTCTTATACAACAGTTCTGCCGTCCAATTACTGGCGTTAAAATTGTTCAAAAAAATCACAGCCTCAGAAATTGAAGTGCTTTATCTGTATTACTTTGTTAGTGATTTTTTCCGAGAAAGTTGTCTCACAGGTTTTTAAAAATCATCTGTTAAGTTTTCAATTTGTAGGAAGTGTTACCCACACTTTCACGCTTTACAGGCCTATTTTTCTCCAAAAGCAGACAACTCGGCCGAGTCCTTCACATTCTTTTTCCTAAACATATGACCTCTACAAGGAAATTTTTCTCAACGAAATTCCTATATTTTGGATGAGAAAGTAAAACTGAAATGATCACATGAAAATACAACGTACTTACCCTTGGTGTTCGTAAACTCAACAGTTACATTGAAGCCTACAAATTGCATGACGTCATCACTGGTAAATATGACAGTCATTTTGGAAGTGGTGGATTGCAACGGTGGAGGAATGTCAACGCCACAGAACGATCCCAACAGTGTCTTATTAGACCCTGCGTTGTCATAGACTTTAACACTGTCGAAACCACAAGACGTATGGTACTCCACCCTAAACGCTTGAAACTGCAGCTTGATGAAGTGGTATTTCTCTGACAAGTTTTCCGGAATCTGGATTGTCCATTGACAATTGGCTCTTGCAGGATATTTATCCGGGAAGTTAGGGGAATGAAATGAACCCTCTTTACTAAGTGTTTGAGGGTCACATTTGAAGACCGAATATGTTGTGTGACTTATGTGACTAGTGTAACTTGTGACTGAAACAGTAAAACCTTCGCGTGAGCCTGGTTAACTAGGCTGTCCAAGATTCCAGGATCTTACCTGGAAGCTTTTGGAACTATCTATTATTTTGTTAAAGGACAGTGATAAAGATAAAAGTAATGACAACAATAAAGGTAATGATAACGACAATAATACTGATAACGATGATAATGATAACGACGACGATGATGATGATAATCAGTGATAATGATGATGATGATAATGATGATGATGATAATGATGATGATGATAATGATGATGATGACAATGATGATGATGATGATAATGATGAAGATGATGATGATAATGATGATGAAGATGATGATAGTAACAACGGCAACGGAAACGGAACTGAAACGATAACGACAACGGCAACGATCACGAGAGCGATGATGGTAACGATGACGTGAACGATAATGGTAACGATAACGGAAACGGAAACGGAAATAACAATAATGAAAATGATATATACAGTGATTATAAACGTGATTATGATAATGCTGATCAGTGATAACTGACAACAATGTTAATGACTTTGACGACTCTGACAGTGATATGAAAGTTGATAATGGTAATGAAATGATAATGATCGTGATGGCGAAGGCAATGGTGATGATAATAACAAAAATCCGTCGAAATCCGACTGAATGACACCCCGGCAAGTTCCCAATCAAAGAGCGCGTTGTATCGATGACAAAACTCACTAGCCAAACAACGATGAACTCAGTGCTTGTTAGTTTCTATCAGTATTTCATTCATGTTTGTCTCACCGGTATACGCCAGAGTTGTTGCTGGTGACTTTGTCACTGGCGGTGGCGTTGAACTTCCTGAAAACCAAAACACATTAGCATAGGTCAATTTTATCTGCCGAATTATGTACGATGATGGAAAAATAGTTGACAGAATATTTGTCATGATATTTTTTTCCCATTGCAACTATAATTATTATCACTTTCTAGGGCATTTTGGGGCATTCAGCAGGCTTAAATGGAGAATTTTGCGGGGCAAAATGTATTTTAGCCCGCTGAAATAAATCAATGAAAAGTAAGAATCAAACAACCGTACAATAAAAAGAGCCAATTAAAATCGAGAAGCCATCGCTATGTTAACGCCGTTTTCTTGCAGCGTTGATGAAAGAAATTAAAGCAAATTTGCGCCATTGCGAAGCATAACAGCGAATAAAACTTGATATCGGCTACATAAACGATTTCTCAGCCGCACAGAAACACGCTTCGGGCATTCTTAGTCGTCCATTTCTGCCTTTAAAACTCGTAGAAGTTCTGTGGCCAGTGGCAAAGTGCACGTAAGTTTTGCAGCTTCAAGCCGAGCGCACTCAGTTCAATCAGCAATTGTGCAGTTAATTTTAACAGCTTTATCGAATATTCCTTTAAGCGGTTTTGAAAACTCAAATGGCGAGATTTTGTAATTTCTCACCAGCTTCGCTTGTTGGTGTATTTTCATTGAAGGAAAATAAAAGCCGTTTCAAAACTTGTAGACGCTCGTGTGATTGTTAAGGCTGTTTCGATGCAATTTTTTCATTTTTATTTTCTCAATGTCCTCTAAAGCGAAAACGATAAGATAGTTCATGTATAAACGGGCATAAATATGTTTTGGGACTTTACGAGAGCTCATTTTAACCCTCGTCTTGCGGTTCGGACTGAAATGAGACTGAGTCTATTGTTATGTTAAACATTGTTTAAATGAAATGAAGTGAATGAGGTTTAGGAGTGACAATCGTGAATTTACAAAATGGTAAGATTTTTACCGTTCAAAATCTCTTTCCCTGTAACTCTGACCAATGTTTCGAAATGGTGTAAATTGTAACGGTGAGGATGGTTTTATTTACGTTAACAGCTTCTTACCTCCATTTAGGGTTTGAGTTATTGGAGCCGTTGTGCACTGAATTAAGAAAGAAAAACAGCAATTTATTGCAGTTGGTCTGTGTTGGCAGTTGGAAAACACACGAAGGAGGCTTTTCACAAAAACTTTTACATCGTTCCTCTGGAAACACCTTTCGAATGAGGACTTTGAATAAAAAGAGAAACTTTCTGACCGACAAATCTAACGGTTAAAGAAAGAATATTCAACTGAATTGTGATAATTTTAGCGATGAACAAATTAATTAACTTTGAGGAATATTCTCTCCATAGTGGGAATTTGTAAATGTTTTGAAGCAAATATTAAACAGACACGAAACGGTGATTTTGTTAAGACTTTCTCTTCATTTCTAACTCTTTACTTGACATACCAAAAACTCGCCTTTTTTCTAATCAATGTTATACCAAATTTCATGGATTTTGAGGAGTTGAGAAAATGGAAAAGGTTTTTATGACAAACCCATAGCAAAATACTGAAATTGAGAATCAACCTTGACCCTTTGAGAGTTAAACTGAATTTGAATCACTATCACTGTTCAAACCTGAATGAAGTTAGGAACGCATTGGAATGTAGATATAACGACCCAAAACCATTTCATCTTCCTCTCTGACAGAGTTTCATTTACCCTTGAATCGAGCATCGGTTATGGAATCGTAACTCCTTCGGTAATTTGGATAAATAATCTATTTTGTCCGGTAATTGATTAAATCACTCCCGCTGGTGTAAGGGCAGCTTGTTGTAATTGGTTGTAATATTCGTAATGGCAGCCACGAAGCACGTAACTGTGCCTAATCGAGTCTTGTTGTGGGTGTTAAATTCAACTATTTTCAACAGTTTCGTACATAAAGAAAGGGGAAAATTAAACAATGCTAATAAAAAAGAGGACACAAAAATGAAATAGAAGGAATCATGCCAGGAACTCTTATTCAACAGTCTTCTATTTTTTTGCTATCCACAAACTTCCTAATTTGACGAACACTAGCCTCAAGATGGTACACACATTTGTATACTAGAAGGATGAAGTAGCAGAAGCCACTTGACTCCAAAGCCATTTTAAGCGCACATTGAATAATTTAAGGCTTAACATCGTTGTAACAATTGAATTTGTTGAATAACAAAATAACTTTCTTAACGTCACCGGCGTGAAGTTTTTACTGGAAAGGACGTTGCTCTGCATCATTTTGTAAAAACGAGGCATTTTGTAATAGCCTACGCATTTGTAATGATAGCTCCGGCATTTTTTTATAATCGTTGGTCTTCGCGTGACGCAGATTGTAATGACCTCAACTTTGTTACAAAAACGCATAAACAAATAAGAAAAAGTGGTATTTTTGAAATGGTACTAAGCTTCTTTTTGGTATAACCAGATCATAGGGCTACAACTTTGATACGTGGCGTTACTTGCATTCAAAAAGGCGTCTTTTCCGTTACAAATAGCTCGCCATCACTCTCTCTCAGTGGGTTCGGTGAGGGGAAGGAGCGCGGGCTCATAATCCCAAACAGAGGCTGGTAATCGAGCCAAACAACCAGGCCCCTGTGCCCATAGAATGGGAAAAACAACACAGCTCGTGACAGAGAAAAAAAAGTTTACCCACAAGAATGTTCAACGTTTGTCACAGCTTCCAGTCATTTCCAGTCAAACCCTCCTATGCGTAAAAGATGAAAACAACAATACACAAGCTTTATTTTTTTAATCAAGTCCCCACTACACTTCACTTCACTTAGCCCTCACAAGATCTGACTGTTAATTTTCCCCTCCAGCTACAACACATTTCCTTGTAAATTAGTTACAAGGTTATGGCGTTAGATCAAGGTAACAACTTCTAACTAATCATTTTGAGTATTATCATTGCCTATTTGCTGGATAATGTTTGGAAATTATAGGGAGAAGTTAATTGCTCATCACTTCTGGAAGTGAACGGGTTAGGGTGATTACACGATATGCGCATTTCTATACAGTACTTCATACTCAATATTAGTCAGGAATATGGTCAATTTATCAGAAGGAAAAGAACACCACGCCTTTACTACAGGCACATGTAAAACCTGTATCCCAACATTTTTCGCTCAAATTTGCTCAGAAGATTACAATTTCCAAACTACCCACTACCCCATCTCATAAAAATGACCTAACAACCCATCCCTCCCCCACCACCACAAGTTGGTCTGCTCTAAAAAACATCAAGTTGATAGTACTCTCAATTCCCAGCGAACCAAAATCATCACCCTTTAGAGTTCTTCTTTACACCAGAATAAATTCAAGACGTCTGATATTCAAATATTAAGAAAATAACTCTGGACCTTATTACAACTGCATAATCTTCAAGAATTACCTTAAACTACAATTTACAGAGGTACATTTGCATTATTATTACTTGACCTTACTAATAAGCCTACTAATGATTGTGCTTCACTGCCTTTGTTAAAATAACTCTAAAATAGTTTGCTTTTCTTTTTTTCTTAGATAAAACTTACGACAAATAGCAAGCGTTTCCTAAAACATACACATAAATAACGATAAAATTACACACTTAGCAGAAATATACCTTGGAATTCTGTATTTCACAGAAATAAACTCTCACAATGTAGCACATAAATTACATGTGATCTTCTAGGTCTAAAAAAAAGTTAGATGAAAAGCTGCTTGTCTGTGAGTGTGCCACTTTTCGTTTAACTAATACCTGGAAACACAACAGAATAACCAAATTAAAGCAACATTACATAAGAAGTCCATTACAATGAAAGGTTTCAAATTAATTAACACTTAAACTCCCAAGATCTGATTGTTAATTCTCCCTTCTGCCTGCAACACATTCCCTCTAAATTAGTCACAGGAGTTTGGTGTTAGATCACCATCATTACCTCTACATGACAAGTTTGAGTATTCTCATTGCCTGTTTGCTGGATAATGAACAGCATGGATGTTATAGGAAAAAGTTACATGTTAATCACTTTGAGGATTTGAAGGATTAAAGGAACAAAAAAACCCAACTGAGAAGGTGTGAATTTTGCACACTAAGCATGCCATATCTCTCATCATGATGAGGATGAGAGATTCTTTAAAACCACTACATTCAAACACTCCACTTGCAGTTTATGGCTAGGCACAGAATAAACTGAGACATTGCAACAAAATCTTTGTGTAACAGTCTCAAGGAAATCCTCTCACCTCTGCGTTTTTTCTCTTAGGTATTGGTTTTCCTTTTCAAGCTGGGTAATTTTTGCATCTTTGGCTCTAAGTTGAGTTTCAAGGAAGACTATCTCTTCTCTCTGATCACTGTAAGCAAGTCTCAACTATCAAAGAAAAAATACAAATAAAGAAAAGATCATTGACATCTGTGCATGTATGTGTTTCAGCACCATGTGTACAGGAATAACATTCAGTGACAAGAAATGTAACCTTCCGTGAGCCAGGGTGGAAGGGGTTAAGAGTACACCCATTCTGTTAGATGGGATGCAAGTGCACATCAGTTATCCCCATGGCAATTGATCACATATCCCCAACAGATTGACTGCGCCCATTTAGACCCCTGAGTGGAGAGGGATGCTGGCAGAGCAAAGTGGTTTACTCATGAATGCAACAGCTGGGGCATGAATCAGGATTCACAAACAAAGAGCAATAGCAACAAGAGGCCTATGTACATTCAACAAGTATTGATCACTTAAATTATGGTAGCACAACTTACAGTGTCAATATCCCAGTTTGCAAAATCCCCTGAGCGCCTTCTACCTCCTCCACTTGGTCGTCTTTTTTCCAAAGAAGACCCTCTACCATTATCTACTGCTTTTGCTGTGACCTAATTCATGATAAAAAAAAAAAACAATAATAATGTTCAAGCTGTCATTCCAACTAACTTATTTGATGGGCTGAATTAGGCATGCATTTTGATTGGTTCTTCCTGATCATCTACTGGAGGACAGACACATAGATGATGTCACCATTACCAACACTTTGCTTCTATATCATACAAAATAAATAGATTCCATGATGCTGTGGGTCTGTAAAGTAATATATCACAGATGATGTCAAAATGAGGAACAGTGTAGCACATCAGCAACACATGCAACTGCACCTTGAGTGTTACTTTCTGGTTCTCACCACATTTTTAAGTCAGTGGGAGATGCAGTAGCTTTATGGTCATTGTATTGGACTCTAGGTTGAGAAGTGCAGGTTTGAGTGCAGGCCAGGTCAATGTGTTGTGTTCTTGGGTAAAACACTTCACTCTCACAGTGCCTCTCTCAATCCAAGATCATAAATGGGTAATGGCAAATTTTTGAAGTCTGAAGAAATGCTGGGGGGAAACCTTGTCATGGACAAGTAATAGATCACAGATGATGTCAAATGTGGTAAGAACATCAGTGACACACTCAGCTGCACCCCATGTGCCACTTCATTTTTCTTACCACATTTTGACATCATCTATGATCTATTACTGAACAGATGCACGGCAACTTGGAATCTATTTGTTAAACAGACCCATGTCAACAAGGGATCCATTTGTTAAATATTTAAACTGATAAATTACCTGGATTGGGTCTCTCTGTTTGGTTTCTGGCTTACTTGACACTTCAGTTGCTCGAACATACTGAACTTCACTCTCTCCATTCTGTCCTCTAGTAGACACATGGTTGGTTTCAGGTGAAGTTGGATAACGTTGTTCTTCATTTCTACTGCTAACTCTTACTGGAGACTTTGGTGGTGACTTTGGTGGTGATTCAGAAGTTGGACTTCTACATGAAAGAAAATTATGGAATGTAATTGCAACAATAAGTACAAAACTTTTCAGTCAAGGTACACCTATGTTTCTCAGTTTTAACTTATTAACACGTACTTGTATACAAAGCAAAACAATCAAAGATTAGGGTCTTTCTATGCAAAAGGCATGAGCAGTATCACATTTGTAAGAGATTGGAATCTGGTTTCTTTGGCAGAAATGAGCACACAGAACACCTACTTTTCTTAAAGAAAATAGAGTCAATTCCTTAAACCTCAGATTTTCTTTCATGGGCAATTCTGTACATGTCACTGTTTCAGCAACTGGTAATCATGCATTACAGTTTTACCACAGTTTAAAATTGTTTTAGAAGTCTGTAAAATTGTCATGCTTGTTCAACTAGCAGTTTAATTAATGTGATGTGGAGCATTGCCATGAAGGAAGTTTCTTTAGGTTAAATGTCATTCCTACTTAGAAGATTAAGCAAGTGCTGTCAATTATTGTCACAATTATAATTTGTATATAGCAATAATGGCATGGTGACAGTTATCATGGTTATGTTGATTCATTTTTAGAGAACAGTGACTGGTACTTTTCCCTGCAGAACATGATCTGTGATAAGATTAGAAGCAGTTGGCTATGCAAAATTGAAACCAGGTTCCACCCTAGCTTGCTAAAACTGGAATCCAGCACCCTATAGGCTGTTTTTCCCCTGTATTACAGCATACTCTCTCCCTTAGAGGAAAAACAAAGCACAGTGTACCTGACAGCCTGGTATTCTGCTCTTCCAGTTGATGCACGCCTGTCCTCTCTCTCTCGCTGTTCTCTTGTTCTCATATCACGGGTCTCTACCTCTCCATCCAAAAGAGGAAAGTCTTTTAGGAGGTCCATGAGGTTTGGATTTCTATTAAGTCCTTGGTCAATCCATTCACGAGCCCTCATGGAAGGTTTATCTGATGGAGTCAATGGATATAAGTCTCGCTGAAGTACACTGGATTGCTGCAAAAATAAAATACACAAAAAACTTTTGGATCAACTCAACCATCTCATATTTTATTCCCCACAAAAGTCATGGTCTCATGAAATTGCACTACAGACTGCAATTGCACAAGTGCATACTGATGATTTATGACAAGTATCTTAAATTTTCAAACAAAAGCATTCTACAGTCTATCAAAAGAAACCAAAATAACATGAAAAGAAAGGCTTGGTGAAGGAAGTAAATTACTACATAAGTCAGTACAGAAAATCGTATTGTTCTTACCCTTCTTGGAACAGTCATGGCAATTGGTTCCACAAAGTTGTTGTTGTGCAGCTTATAAAACCTATAAATCTCACATGCAGTGACATCAACACCTCTCTTTGGCATGACACCAAAGCCACGTTGAGGTGATGAACTACGGTACTCATTTAGGAAGGTGAAATATGGCTCAGATTCTGATACTTCATAGTACCTGATATTGCCATCACCCTGGAAAGAAAATAGTGATATGCATAAGAAATGATTCTTCATTAAAAGAATAGTTATTTATGAAATAATAAGCATTCCTCCATTATAGATCAAAATAGTCCATTTTACAGTTGTGTGCTTGGTTGCCAAGCCTTTGAACAGGAGTGAGGCTAAGGTTGACCTCGTTATAATACAAACCTTGCCGCTTTTCAAATGCAAATTATTTTGTTATCATGCTAACCAGATACTGGTCTCTATCACAACCAGGTCACCTTCAGCCTCACTCCAAATTAAAGGCTTGGCAACTGTACACAACTGTAAAATGGCCTATTGTACCTATGTCATTCCAAACAACAACATGTGTCATGGTAGAAAAGGGACCCACTGTTTTCATTCTTTTAGCATTTCAAATAAGTACCTTTCACATGCAGGTCAAATATGTTATAAAAACAAGGTACATGCTGTATAATTTATTAAAAATATTTAATATCTCTTTTAAAACAACTAAGGTCTGGTAACTATTGGTATGAGATCTTAAACAAGCACTTATTCCATACAAAGATCCAAGGAGATCTGCTAAGTCCTAATGTTCACAAGGCATTGGTACAATAAGAACTCTCTGGCTACCATGCAGAATTCTCCATCTCAAATTTGACCCTTTCACTCCTCAGGGTGACCAACACCCTATTTATCCTTACAGTATCACTGCTGCACCAAACATTATCATTAAATAAAGGAAGTGATCATGAAATAAAACAGCTCTTGGTCATCAAATAAATTCTCCTTCTCTATACCATAGCAAATGTATAAAAAGTAGAATGGAGAATATGCATAATGATGATTTGGTGCAAAGAATTCATGGCCTGGGCAGCCTGAACTATTTTTCATGCAGATACACATGATGATAACTTTGAAAACTACCTTTCCAGCAAGAAAAACAATCCTTGTGTCGTGATCATAATAGGGGAGCAGAACACCTGATGAAGAATCCACACTATCAATTTTGATAGCTTTTTTCAAATTTCTCTGATGGAAGAAAATTACAAAAAAAGTTAATGATGAGTATCTTCTATGTCCTTGAATTTTCTAAGAAATGACACCCATTCAGCACATCTACAAAACTAATTAAAAGCTGAGTAGACTAGAAGAGACAGTAAATCTTTGAGATCAGAAAGATCTGAGTCCATTGAGGAATTGGACCATACAAACTAGTTTTCTGTGCTCTGATGCTCTGCCACTCTGCCACAGAAACCCTCAAGATGGACTGTGCCAAACACCCTATGGTGATTTTGGCCTAATGCAACATCAATTTCTATGATATCTCAGATTTTTTCTTTGTCCTACTCTTGTGACAACAGCAATAGTATCTTTCTTTAATAAAAAGCGTTTGAAATTTCTTACCACATCCCAGATGGCTACTTGTCTCTCGTTCATTCTTGAGAATCCTGTCGTAAAGAGCATGTTCATATCACCAAGAAAAACCACATGAGAGCTCTTATTGCCAGGGTGTCCCAATCCATGCTGAAAAAGCAAAACAATTTTATGAGTTGACATATCAGAGCATGAAAGCCATGTATCTAAGGATAATATTTGTCTCGAAGAATTTTGAAAACAGACATTTCAGAAGGTGGGAGGTGGTGTGGCCCAGTGGTTAGAGTACTGGACTAGTAATCCAGTGGTCCCAGGTTCAAGTCCTCCTCCCTACTGTTCACTGGATTTATTCTTGGTTGCCCAGAGTTCAACTCCATGACTGCACCGTGTAAATAACCAGCTGAATTGCCTCCAGCCAGGTGGGATTTTCAAGCATTTAGTGTTTATTTGAAATATTTGTTTCTCTCTCCTTCATAATGTCTGGCCCACAATGTAAACTACTGGGTCTACCAGTAATTGTGATGGTCATTAAAGTCTATTTTTTTTTTTTTTAAGAAGTGGAGGCCAGTGTTGTTTGGTAGACTTTCAAGAAATTTAGATGTTCTTATTTCCATGGTCATACTTGTACCACAAGTGTGCCAATAGTATTCTACCTTTGTGATGGATGCATTTTTTTGGAACATAAACTTGTTGTTAATATGGACAAGACAAGAATGAATATATCCAGATTGCATCATTTCCTCCTTTCAGATAAACAGGACAAAATATTTGTTTCTGTGAAAAGGTCATTAAGTAAGATGTTTTTTCAATGGTTTCAAAATACTGACAGATCCCTGAAATACATCTAGATCCAATAGGATGTTCCAAAAATGTTTAATGACATTTCCTGGTGTTGTCCATAAGCTACAACTCAGCTTAAAAATGATAAATATTTACAGAAGACACCAAGCATTCAGAGTTTTTTGGGGCAGGGCAATATTATTCTTTATTACAACTTTTTGACCACTTTTAGCCTGATTTATTGGTCCACCTGAAGAAACTAACATAATCAGAATCTTACATCCCTGAAAAATTTGTAGTATACAATAATGATAGTACCTACCGCTGCGAGTCTTCCAGCTCTGGGATCTATAACTCGTATCTTCTTGTCTTTACAAGTGGAAGCCAGTAAACTACCATTGTAATTGAAAGACAGTGAAAAAATTGTATCAGGATGTCCCTTGAGTATTGTTGCAGCTTCTCTGTCATCCACAATATCCCAAATTCTAACTTCATTGTCATACCCAGCACTAGCAATGACCCCTTCAGCACAAGGATGCCATCGAATAATATTGACCTTACGAGAGTGCCCCCTTAAATCAACTAAATGTTCATCAAGGTCCATTGATAGGCCATCTTCAGGAATATGCCATACTTTGATTGAACCATCCTCAGCACTGGAAGCTATTTGTTGGTCATTAAAAGGGTTCCATTGAATATCAAGAACAGGCCGCCCATGTCCAGTTACTTTTGGGGCATCTATAGGAACACGACCAACCTGTCGCATAGCAGAAATAAGAACAATCTCAGTATTCATTTTTAACATTCCTTCACAAAATATGATATCATTCATAAATGGTAGCAGAAGTTAGAGTGATTAGAGGGGCAATACACTAAAGGACCAGCTTAATTCAAAGAGCTGACTTTTTCTTTTTAAGTTGCTGCACCTCATTTGCCACTGTTTTGTTCTTCCCACATTTTGATGTCATCTGAGATGTATTTCTGAACAGCTACAAAAATCTATTTACTTTTCCTTAAATATATATATATATAATCAATTCAAAATTACTTTCAAAATATATTTCTAAGTGCTCTAGTGGAGGGCTAAATGTCTAATCCACTAAGACTGTTGTCTATGCTGACTCTAGGATCAATTTCATCTCAAAAGGCAGACAGCTTTGTGGAGTGTCAATTTCCATTTGCATCAAATTATACTGCCTTCTAAGTGGAACCCAACAAAAAATAATGTATTGGTTAACCACACATGAATCAATATTAATTGTTTGTAATATGACAGCACAAATATCAAAACACAGAAGCATAACTATCAGAAATCTGGGAGTTAAAACAGTATTGCTTATGTTAGTGTCTTAAACAGTCTTAACCTTTTACAGCATAACCATGGGAGTTACTTTCCTCACATGATCTTTAAGTATTTTTTATCTCCATGACCTGAAATAGGTCAGGCTTGTTTTTGCATTGAATTTTAAAGCTTAGTTCATTTCCTTGTCTAAAGTATGCAAGAATGCATTTCTAATTTACATATGTGCCCTTGCACAAATGAAGCTTTAGCCTCAGACTAAATTTAGCTATTCTAAACTCCCAGACATCTCATTGTTACTCCTGACATTGTGATGACACAAACTATCTTTGTGATCTCTCAACTTGACGCAAGTATTCAGAGCCTATCTCTAAAAATCATTCAAAAACACTTGGCCGATCAGCTTGAGAAACTAAACTAGCAACGACTTAATTTTCGTGGCTCAACAATGGAGCTTTTTTTTAATTGTTTATTCATGTTTGCGCAATTAAAACTCCGTAAATTAAAGAAGCTTGTAAAGTTAACAAAAGTTGACGTTACATTGCCTCTGAAAATAACTATTTGAAGACTTCTTGGTATTGTCACTTAAAGGGTTCGAATGGCAAGAAATCGCGAAAGAGTAAACTTTATCATATATTTCATGGCCCAATAACTCTGAAATGTCACACCTTACGAAAAATACACATTCACACATTCGAGAACACAAATTAGCATTAAGAACAAAATAATTGCTCAGTCGCAGCGGAAGAGCATGTTGTTTCAGATAAAAGACTTGGAAACATATAATTAAATGGCTTCTCGTCATGCGAAGATCAAGCTAGATTCACAAAGCTATACTTCACAGAGGTTTTTCTTAGGATTAAGGACGCAATCAAAGGGATAATTTTTAGAAACGATTTGAGAAAACATCATCTTTCTTTCCTTTGAACAACCGATGAACTTTCCATTCCCACAGTTTTACGTCAGAAATTGACATTAGGAACACAATAGTTTTTAAACTGAACCATGATTACTTGAAAAAATATCCATATCTGGCTGATTTTAAGTTGAGAACACACACACCAGTCAATGTGGCTAGAGAGAAGACATCATCTTTTTTGTTTTGACAAATAAAACGAAAACACTTCGCTTTGAATCAGCATGCAACAAACTCGTAACGCGCTCCACAGCAAACTTTGTTGGTTCTAGATCTGGGCGTTCTACTGAAGCGCGAAATTTTGCTAATATTTTGTCAAGCATATAACGAAATCGTGTGTGCTAGAGAATTCTAAGCAAACAGAAAATTATGTAATGATTTGCACAGCAAACTCGACACGCATACATATGGCCTTTTAAACGATGCAAAACGATCTGTCTAATAACACTAAATAAAGTAAAGCGTACCTGTTCGAGCGGTAGAACAAGGAATGTTCCCCCGCCACTCGATTCAACCACGACTGCAATGAATTTAGGATTTACTGCACAATGACTTCCTCCATCCGTCGATTTCGTCGATAACCTGATGGCTTCGTAACATTTATCTTTCTTGAAAGGATTCCCAAATACATGCTTAAACTTAGAGGAGCGAGGCACTTTGAACGAACTCCGGGAGGACATGTTCGCTAAAACGTCAACAACGCTATTGTTTCGAAACTGATCGTGCTACCGCTTGGATTTGCAGGTATCTCTTAAGGCTTCTGACGCTACATACACCGCTCTAAGCAAACAACTTAATTCAACAAGGCAGAAAGACTGCAAAGGCCTTCTTTCCAATCAGTTATTGAATTAGCGTGATATCTTCGGTCTTCTTCTCTCGGCTCATGAAAGCCGTATTGTGATTGGCTATATTCTGCCGCATAAGATAATAGGCCTATTGTTATTGGTTCATTAAACACGCGCGAAAACATTCCTCGTCCTTCGATCGACTAAGTGAAGTCAAAAATTTGCAAATGCCAAACTGTTTACGTTTTCTTCAACTTCTCATCCCTCTGATTTTTGTTTGAGGTTGAAAGCTGGGATATAACATCACAGTTAGCGTGTATCTGATGTCTTTTTACTCTTAGATCAATTACAAGAAAGACGAAATAAGATTTATATTTTTGCTTGTTGCTGACATCAATTTTTACTTACCAGCTCAGTTTGCCTGAGTCAGCTCCTAAAAAATATATTTATAGAAGGTATTTTTTTATTAAAAGAATGTTAGGAAATTAGCTGTTTATTCGATCGTGTCATTTATATGCGAGTCCGAAGCTTATCTCAAGGCCGATTAAAAAAAAGGCACAATTTTGCGCCGCAGTTGCAAATTTTGGCCTATTGTCGTCTAAACTCTGACAAATTAATTGCAAATTCACGCCATTAGCAAAGCTCAAAACAATAACAAATAAGCAAAACAAAAAGGAAATAATTCGCTGTTTTAACTTTCTCTGCTATATAGAAATAACTGTGTTATAAGGACGGAGGCTCGATTTGAATATCAGCATGATCAGGGAAAATGCGATCTTTCCTCTGTGATGTTTGTTCAATATCTTAAGTTTCGAAATGTGATCAAGGCTTATTGAACGTTCGGTCAGCAAAAAAAAAAAAAAAAACAGATCGGTAATTGTTACAAGAAGGTGAAGTTACTTATGGCACTAGACAAATCCCTCTTGCAGACAATAATCGTAAGTGTCACTTTTCTTTGACTTGTTTACCTAGACAACGCAACAAAAGTAATATTAAACTAACTATATGTATTTTTCTCAGCTTCTAGAATCAGCCTCAGCATTCCAAAAATGGTTAGTTTGATTTCAGTTGAATCATTTCGGCTACCGACTAACTTCAATGTATGACTTGTTATAAGACCCCATTAACGTTATTAAAACTGTTAAAACGGTTCGGTTTCCACGGATTCTGACCTCTATTACGACCTCCATCTCAAGTGCATTTGTAAGACCCCCTTGTAGTCTCCTATTTCATTGCCATGGAAAAAACATGATTGACAATAGAGGAAATACCCCAGCGCTATGATTCGAAATAAATATACATCCCAATGCGGCGACCTGGTTAGTGTGAGCAATAGACCACTTGGCGCTTACATAGATTTGTTACAAAATAAAATGAATAAAAATAACTAAAAAATCAAAATTCTATCGCGTTTTCTAAATTACTTTTTAGAAAAGCATATGCTGCGGTGGATGCACACTTCCGGGTCTCTTTGTTCGTTTTGTGTCAATTTCCTCTTGTCTTTGTTTTTTCTTTGTTTTTTTTTGTTTTCAAGGCGAAAAAGTTTTAGATTTAAATTTTTCTTTGAGGAGAGGGGTTATAGAGCCTTTCGATTTAAAATCGTTTCAAGGAGTCTTCTGCAAACCTAACAACAGCTATAGATATATAGCTACTAAACGAAACACTAAGAGCGCTTTGATCGGCTAAATTGATGTCTTTATCAGCTCGGCACAAAACCCTTTTTAGGATGAAAGACGAAGGGTACAAACAGGAAAATGTTTGAATATAGTTACAAAACATGTGTACTTAGTGCATCTTGAATGCTGGAGCAGGAATGCTCTTAGCACGAGGAAAATCTCCCAGTCTAGTATAATATGGACTTTAAGGTTGCCGACTACGGTTGGCTGCGACGGTTGGATGTGTCTTCGGTAGACTGGGTCGAGTACCATTTAAGAGCGCGAAAGTTTAACGCTTGTTGTCCTTTAAGATTTCGCCGACAGACTGAAGACGGTGGTTAACTTGCCCTTCGAAGATGTCTTTTGAAGATGTCAGAAACGCGCTAGTAGTGGCTTATGCCAATGATTCCCTAGATGATGAAGAGTTTTTGATTCTTTACGATTTTTACGTGTCCGTTAATACACTATATATATATATTGGAATTTTGATCCGTTTTGTTTTGATTCATTCGAGTGTCTCTAAGTCCAGCAGCCGAACAGGGTTTCTAAAATACCCCGTATCTGGCAATTAAATTTCTTCACAAACTACCTTTGGAAAGATCTTTCAAAATTCTAAGAATAACAGATGTTTGTTTAGAAATGTCAAGCGATTTCAGAAATTATTTAAGTTTTTAGTGGACCAATTTTCTGCTCACATGAAGCATTTCCATGCTCGTTTTTTAGACCTGACCCCTAAATCTATTAGTACCGTTGAGACCTGGCTGTTAAAAATCATACAAGACTTTGAGAATAATTAGCTTAGCATCAGTGACAGATAATTCATTGTACTAGAATGAGAGTCTCAGATAATTCCCTCTATTGGACTGAGAGTCTCAGCTCGAATTAAGAATACTGATTACTACTCTTTCTCTGTCATTGGTTGAAAATTGAAACAATAAATGCTTGCATATACAGTCTTCTGTGGTTACCTCAAAGAGAATAACCGCAATATGGTCAGAATGGTAAAATTTCAGAGCTGTTCTCGGATCATGATAGCGCTTGAAAAACATAACCTTTGTGTCGGCAAAGGACAATGGACAATGCGCCATACCTCTCGGAAGAAAGCCGGGTGTGCGCGCTCTCCGATCCCTCCCTGCACATGACTGGCGTCAAAATACAACTTAGTGTCATTCACAGGGTAAAACTAAGGAGTAAAAAAAGGGAAGCGCCCATTATCTGAATGGTGATCTGCGCTTATGCGGGTTTGACACTACCTTAATTTCTCTTAATCAAAAACGTATACTTTGCCATCAGGTTGTGTACAGTAGAGATGAAAGAAATAAAATTTGAGCAGGGACACTCTCCAAAATGCTACACGACTAAATAACAAATAAAAATCATCCGCAGGGATAGCTCAATCGCGTTTTTAACAACTGGCCAAAAGCGATCCTCCCACAGATAAATTGTTTAGGAAACTGGTATTCGGGCATGTGCCATTTGTTCAATTACATCGCTTTTTATCCCATTTCTAGTCGTTTCGTTTTGTTTGAGGGAGGGTTAAAGTTACCACTGGGAAAGTTATAACCATAGAACCTTTTGCGTTTTATGAGTATTTAAGCCCGACTTGCTCCTGATATTGGAAATTGAAATAAATGGTATTAATACTCACAATCTACGAAGAATTGCCTCCGGGCACGCCCTCATTAGATGCATTTCGGCAAGAGCGTCACTCAGCCAGTAGTAAAGTATAAAGCTTTGAGCAACGCGAGCCGCCGAGAGGTTTACCCCGGTTTTTAATAATAATAATATATAATAATAAAGGTTTATTAGCGTATCCATCGGAGGGGTGGCTCTTCTATACTACAAACTAACTATAAACTAATTAAAAATCTATCATTATTACAATATTGCTAATACTGCATACTGCATTTTACATATAAAAATTATCTAAGGCTTCTATTTAAGGATCAACTTACTTATTTAAGAGGTGATCATAATTAACCAATGTAATTATATACAAATACTAGCTAAGGCATTTAGCAGCGACGATCAGCTTTTGTACTACATATGGCTGATTATTCTAGTCGGTGTATTGTCGCTTTCGCTTGTGAGGAAAAATAGTGTTTACATTTTTTTAAATTTTTTTAAAAAATTTTCCAGTTCCTTTGCGTTCTTTAGCAGTTTGTTAAACACTTATGCTGCACAGTCTTGAAAGGTTCCAGAGACCTGTAGTACAACTAAATTGAGTACTAATGAGGATCGCAAAGTGCGCTGGTAAACACGCACCTCCAAGGAGAGATATGGAGGCCATTTTTCACAATTCAGCGCCTTGTAATCGAGTTTGCACAGGTTCCAGTTCATGTTATGGTTGACAGGCAGCCAGTCCAATTTCAATCTATCTGACAAGTCTACATATTCGCCAGTGGACACGCTGTAGCCGATTAATAAAATAATTTGGCACTTGATGAAATAAAACATCATTATAACCGATTCTTGACAGAACAAGACATTCAGCCATTTTTTTTCTTGCATGGAAGAGTGCAACATGCTTCATTTTTCTGAGTACACCGCTGAGCAAGCGTACCGTAACATACGGATGTTTTAGATAAAATGTGGCGGTTCCGTTTTCAGTACTCATGTAGCTCTGATCCAAGGAGTTTGGCTGACTTTACCCCCTCAAGATTAATTCCATTTGCGTTGAGACGCGACTGATAATCCTGGAGACTGTGAACACAGGCAAGCTGTTCGGTTCAAGCTGTTTGGTCTTGATCTGTTAATACTGGAAAACTTCTCCACGAGTCGTTTCAAATGTTCCAGTAAGCGAAAAAAAGCGCGTCCTGCAGAGCTAATGTTGAGGGCCTGCTCACAGGCTAACTTTGAACCCTTTAGCCCTTAAGAGTGACTAGTATCTAATTTCTCCTTATTATATCACCCCTGAATCAGACATGAAAGTTATGAGACTAGAAGAAATGATCACCAACTAAAGCAGCTCTTGACTGTTAAACAAATTCTCCTTGTCAACCTCTTTGAGAATGTATGGAGAGCAGTATGGAGAATATGCACACTGATGTTGGTGGGGGGGGGGTAAAAAGGTTAAACAAACACGCCACGATTTATACAATAAATATCCACGAGTTTTATTTAATCCAGTTTAGTGTGGAATCTCACACCCGTTTGCATTTACGATATAAAGTCAACTGGGACTTACAAAAGCTTTTTACTTAAAATAATATACACACCACAGCCTTTTACAAGAGTTATAACTTATTGCATATATCTTCCACTTAGCGGTTTTAACGTACCTGCGACTCAAGTAAAGAGCAGTATAAAAGATAAGCAAACGCATGCAGATGTTGGGACCCTTTGGAACACTGCGGTCAAACATTGGGCATGCGCAAGAGGTCAATTTTGGCCTGCTGCGGACCAAATTCCCGAGGAAATTTTTTAAGGAAACGTAAGATACAACCGCTTTCAGAAAAAACTGACACTAACATAGAAATCTGTAAAAGGAAACAAACGCTGTGAAAAGAAAAATTTAAAACTTTTGGAACACAAAGCTTGCTTAGTGACATATGTTTTGGGCTTTGAAAAAGTTTCAAGTTTTTAAAACACTGTGACTTACTTGCTTTTTTGGTTATTTATTACTCTAGTTGACAACTTGGGGAAGTTGGCTTGCGGCTTGTAGATATAAAACTCCTGCGCATGCCCTACGTTTGACAGCTGTGTTGGATAGAAGACCGGACACGAGAAGGGGACAGAAATCGAGCCTTTGTCCAAGCATTGTTTCTCTCAGTCTACTAACACCGCTACAAGACAGCTCTTTGTGTCAGTTTTAGAGTTACACATCTAGCAACCATAGACTTTTAGTAATAAATATACGTGAACAAGTACAACACGTTAGTTAATACAGTTATAATTAACATTTTGAATGTACATGCGTGTTGCAATTGTCTTTGTACCAACGTAATCCTCACAACTGTTCTGTAATCGATGTGAAGAAAAACGGAAGGGTTTTGCAATCTCAAATACTCCAATCCCCAACCCTTTTTAACTGCTTGCTTATAGCATGATACTACCTTTCTTGAAAACGCATTGATATATTTTAATATAACACAATACCGTTTCTTACACTTTATAAATCCAATATTCTGTGCAATTTAATAATAAACAGTTTAAGTATTAAATTAGAATACTTCTTGTAAAAATATTCCTCTTATGCATCATTGTTTACTTGTACCAAGCATTACTTCGTACATGACCTTGGTTTCTGAAACAATAAAAAACACAAATTGTACATAAAGATCAGAATGAAAATACAACTACATGTTTGATTTGCAGTCTATGACACACAAGTTTTGATCATCATTTTGTAACAATTTTCTTACAAAGTAGCCACTATCTTCAATACACCTCAGGATGGCTGCAAAATCTTTAAGCAAGTTGCAATATTTCTCCAATAGCTGACTAAGTAAATTGACATCTATGGACATTCTAAATTTTTGACTAAGAAGGAATTATTCAAGAGAAAGCATTTTGACTTTGCTTGAAATATTTATAAGTATGTTTTCTGTACCCAGTACTAAGCAGGCTCAGTTTGTTTTAAAGGAATATTTTTCTTGAAACACACTTAAGACAAATCGATGACTGATCATCTTTTGTTTTGAATTAAAAGATTGGGAGAAAAATTAGAGTACTGTTCATCATACATTAATGATCAATGAAAACCTCCCTTTGCCATCTTTCAAAATAAGCAACAAGTTGCTAGTGTTTCATGAGTACATTTGGAAATAACTACAATTTTCAAATGGAATACTTACATAAGGTGTTCTCTGGCCATATTTGCTGCAGAATGTCACTTGACATTTACGCTTGTGCCCTGTGCGCTGGTCAAAGGACTGGCACATGTCAAATGCTGGAATGTACACATGAAGTGATGCTGCAGTGTCAGAATGGCTGACATTCTCCACACGATGAAGACCTATGCTATCTACATACAAAACAAAAACAAACAGCAGTTTGTACAGAAACTTCCTAAATGACTTGTACTTAGTTTCAAAAATTAACATGTATGTTAATGGTTAGACTAAAAATACAAACCAATGAAAATAACTTGCGAGTTTTCAAATCTAAATGCAAAAAAAGATCTTTAGAGAGCCAATTTTCCAGGAAGCAAACATGATTAACACCTAAAACTACAGCCCTATTTTCATAAAAGTAATTTTAGTGGGTCTGATTAATTCTTCTCAATTAACAACAAGCAGAAGCACACTTTCAGTGAGGATGACAACCCCTTCAATTTAAGATGATTCAGTCACAAAAAGAATTACAAAGCCTGTAAATTACTGAGAAACTAAGCCCAAGAAAGAATGCTGTTCCAAGATCAAGAACAAAACCATGCCCCTCTATGCATGGTATTAATTGCTAGTGTATACTCAATCAGGTGGGTGAATTTTACATACAGTTGGAATCAAAAGGTAAGAAGTGACATTAGCTTGAAAACTTTAACCCTTTAACCCCTCAGAGTGACTAGCATGTAATTTCTCCCTACAATATATCCCCTGGATCAAACATTAAGGTGTTGAGAATAACAGAAATGGTCACCAACTAAAGAAGCTCTTGATTGTTAAACAAATTCTCCTTGTCAGTACCAGAAGGAAATTATGGAGAATATGAATGCTGATGTTAGGGTGTAAAGGGTTAAGGGTGAGCATTGAAGTTGATCTCCCTCTACCCTTGGACATACCATTGATGTAGTTAACTTCATTTGTCTTATATAATCTTGATCCTGTTGGTTCCAAAGGCTTTTCTGGCTCAGATTTTGATGGCCATGCAAATTGAGTTTCTTTCAATCTTCCATCTAACACTTTTAGGAAGCAGTGGGCATCAGCATGATCATGGATAGAACTGAAACAAAACAAATTTCCAATTCCTGAGCACAAATTCCAGTTTTGGAGTATGCTAACAAAACAGGGCACATTCCTATTTGGAGCAAGGTTAAGTTTATTGATCACGACCCCCACTGGTACACACGTAGGGTCAAAGAGGCTATCCATATAAGACTTCATCCCAACGACATTAATAGGGATGATGCAATTGACATTCCTGAAGCTTGGATACCCACAATCAAACAACACAACAGCCAATTTATAAGGACCTATTAGGGAACACCATCTAACAACCCCAACAATAATGAGGATTGAAATGCACCAATAGCAGCCTACCAACATGCTACAAATAGGGACATGTAAACAATCAACTTCATGACCTGGTCAAGACTAGTAATATTGAAGTATCACGATCAACATCAAAAGTGACTATTGTGAGACAAATGAACAATGTTCATTTCCTATCTTACACCACGCTGAGCAATGAACACATATTTCATTACATTGAGGTGATTCAGTACTCCATTTTCTTTGTTAACACTTTCTCCTGAAACAAACACCACGATAGTATTTGGAGCTTTTCCAACGTATTATCAAAATACTGGAAGGTGCCACCTTTCTGCATGCAGACAGTTTTACCATAGATGGTAAATTAAGTCAATATTTTGTTTAGTATTTGAAGTTTTATCAAACACTTCCTTTTAATTTTACAACAGCACTTATCTATGAATGTTACTCCTTAAAAATTGTTCTAACACATGTATTGTTTTCAGAAAAAATGTCAACCTTTTAAAAAATTTGAATTATATCATGTTAAAACATAGGCATGCTGTGCATGTGAGAGTTATTTTTTGGAGGGTGGGTGGATTGCTTGAAACATTGTAAGTGATGTCTACATTCTTACAAAAGGAAAGAAGAATATTAGCATGGAAAAGGACAAAAATGTTGAATTAACTCACACACATATATTATTTGGTAGATTGTGTGTGTTGTGTGAATAACTGTAACCAGAAATAAACTTTATTGGTGCCATGGATACCTGTTAGTACAACATGCAGACTGCAGACCGGATACAAAATGTAGACTAGGCACAAAAAATGTTGCCTGCAGACTGCAGAGTGGGTACAAAATGCAGACTGAGAATCTAAAGAGTTTTTTATCTGGTATGGTGATATCATGTCATCTTGCAACTTACCAAGCATCATGCAATCGCTTTTCTGCAATCACCTTTCACGATTATTTGCATTATTGTGGAATATTCCTGGCCCTTTTTTTGATGAAAATCGATCGCAACATAATTTCAAGCCTTTATAGAGTCTTCTCACTTTGCGCGCGAGTTGGTTGGTGTGATGTCTGTACAGATTTTACCAACATAATAAAAGTAGATGTAGATGTAAATGAGATGTCACTATTGAATATTTAACACGCGAAACATTCGAGAAACAGTTGACAGCTTTGCATGTGGTCCGTATTATCATCTTTTTTAAATGATATGTGTTTATTTTGTTGACAAAAATGTGGACCAAAACCAGAAATATGGACCAAGACCAAAAATGCAGACCAAGACCAAAACTGTTCCTTCGACTTGATATATTTTCGACATTTGTAGATCACATCACAATAACTTACCTCCGTAAATCATTCATTGCAGATAGCAAAATCAAATAAACATGCTAACAATGGTATCTGAATTCATCCTTGGCCAAACACAAATGACTCCACAAGATCACTTTCTACAGGCATCGAAAACATACACAAAATCACCCATTTAACAATCCACTCTCTCCGAATCCCCCATTACTTCATTGAAATTTGAACAACCCTCAAACCAAAGAACAAAATGACACTCTGATTGGTGCAAGATACATACCCTAATGCGGTAATCTGATTGGTGCAAGATACATACCTTAAACAATCTGATTGGTGCGAGCAACATACCACTCTCTGTACGCTAACATAGATGTTATTTTTTTTAATTACAAAAATAACTCAGAAATAAAAACTTAACATCTGCAAAATGTGAAAGCTCTAATTTAAGTATCTAGTTTGTGGTGATCATGACTCAGTCTTGACAAATTTCTTGATTTCATGGCTCAAAGTTAACCTTGAGCGTTGTTCACTATTACCATATTTATTCACTTATAAGGCGCACTCAGTTACAAGATGCACCCTAAACTTTTGAAGACAGTTGTGACAAGTAAGCAAAATGACAGTTTCACATTAATACCCTGTTATAAGGTGCACCGGGAATTACAGGAAATTTTGTTGACCATATTTGCTGTACTTACAACAATTAGCTTCCAGAAGTTACTAATTACAGTGCTCTCATTCTCAAAACAAAAGCTTAAAAGTCACACATTACATACAATAGCAAAAAAGTCGCATATGGAAAATAGCATGAAAGTCACACTTTTTAATTCACTCAAGTCATCCTTCTCAGGAGACAGTGTTTTAAGTTATGAATACTAATTGTCTGTCTTTACGTTTATAAATAATACTCATCTGACAGATCTTTCATTTATAGTTGCAAAACTCATCTTAATCTTTGAGCATTCGTTCAGTGTACTGTAAATTTTCAGTAATTATGCCAAGCACTCGTCATCATTCCTATGATCTAAACTTTAAGTTGAAGATCATAGCAGAAGCAGAAGCTGTGAACAACAATCGTGAAATTGCTCGCGAATATGGCTTATTGGAATTGATGGTCCGTAAATGGAGAACAAATCAGATAAAGTCAATGATCAATGTTGTTTGTCTTTTGTTTATTCATTTAACAGTATTTATTTACTTTCTCACTTCAGTTTATTTGGGAAATTTGGAAAAGTTATATTTTGTTGCGCGAAAATACTCAGTTATAAGACGCACCCCAAGTTTTGAGCAGATTTTGATCAAACAAGCATATTTTCTTGTAAAAAATGGTGCGCCTTATAAATGAATAAATACGGTACTTCTCTTATGGCTTTTGGGTCTCAACCATTTCAAACCAATTTGGATTTGGTCTCTCTTTTGCATGTCTGACATAATCTGAGATATAGGTAGACTGTATTAGTTGTTCAACATGTTAGCTTCACAAATTTGAAGGTTCAGAGTCACGAAACTTTGCAATACCTTGTTCTCCAATGACTTTCACCTGAGAAATTAGTTTGGAAAAAATGTTTAAAGGAGACCATACAGTCAAGGTATTATTGATTTGTTGTTCCATAAAAATCATTTTCATGTTTTTTTTTTTATGGGGAGCCATTTGTGCCAAAAAATATCAATCTCTAGGGATAAAACTCAATTGTTAGTGCTAGCATATCAACCTCTAGTGATTGAAATCAATTTTTAGCCTTAAAATATCAATCACTTGTGGTAAAACTCAATCATTAGTGCTAAAATATCAATCACTAGAGATTATACTCAATTGTTAGTACTAAAGTATCAGTTGCTTGTGATAAAACTCAATCTTTGGTGCTAAAAAGTATTAATTGCTAGAGATAAAACTCAATCATAAGTGCTAGTATTGATTTGTTATCAATTTTAACTAGAACCAGTCTCCTGCTTGTTAAGCAAAGATGAACCAATCAAATCTTGCTTACTTTCTAATGATCAAGTTTTATCACTAGCAATTAATATTTTAGCACTAACAATCGAGTTTTCTCACTAGCTATTGATATTTTTGGCATAAATGGCTCCCCATAATCTCCGTGATACTTCAGGCCTGGATAGCAATATAAGAAGAATATTCTTTGACTTTCAAGGTATTCACCATATTCAAAGTTATCTAACCGGAATTTGACATTCCTTGTGAATTTTTATCTCCCCGTCTAGAGTTCTTGATAAATTAACATGCTGAAAAAAAAATTTACATTGTCCTAAAGAACAAAACTGACCTTTAGAACCTTCATTTGCATGCTTTTCACGTGCAAAATGCATGGATGCAATTGGCCTATTAACACATGCAAACCTACGTGTTTAATTTTATATGGACTTCATGATATGTGTAAATAATTACAGTTATCAACAACCGTCTTCTTCCATTGAACTTTTTCATGCATGTTTGTTACTTTACTACGAGTTATGAGGTTGGCAACAAAGAGTGTTTTATGGGAAAAATTCAGAAGAGAACGAGATTAGTAACGTCTGGACGATTGTTCACGTCAATACAATTTCGCCGGTTGCAAACGTAGCACTTACTAAATGCCACAAAGACTAATAGCTTTCAAAAAAAAGAGGCAAACATTAATTTTTCAATTGAAGTGATACCAGGCTAAGAAAAATACCTCACGTAAAAGTAAAAAAGGCGTTTCATTCAATGAAACCTTTGTGAGACTAAATTAACCGCAAAGCTTACCTTCCCTGACCTTCTCCCCAGCACAATACGATCACGTTAAATTTGCCATTTCCTTCATCTACCAAGTTTCGAGTGTACCTATGACATAGAGAAAATATTTACAAACAGCAAGAGAACAACAACTGGTACATCTGTACATAGAATAAATAATCCAACACAACGTTAAAAGTTTCCTAATGACCTGTGTGGGTCGTATGTAGCATATTTTGCCCAATCCGCGGGGTTCGATTGATAGGACTCCAGAAATGAAATAACCTGCTCTACGTCGACACAATCGTCGTCAAAAAGAACATGAAGACCTTTCACCATGTCATCTACCGTTATGGGTGGCTCTAAACACTTTTTTGGGTCCATAACAACGGAAATTTTCTCGCGACCAACTACAGGTCTTCGCGGCCAACGCAATTTACTATACCAAACACGTGCGCGCGCAACAGTTGTTGTCAGTGACGTCAATAGGAGGTTCACACCCCCGACCCCGCCTCCAGATTTCGACAACCCAGGAATAAAGCCAAAATCAACAATAAATTCTGTGACCGACTAAGGTATATATACGGTATCAACATCCCTCCGCCCGGATCTAAGCTTGGCAGCTTAGCCTGACCTTGTATTTCATCGTTCGTGAAAAAGACTCGCCAGCAACTGATTGGCCTCAAAATGATTGAAGATTAAGAGTTCGTGGATTGACATTTCGAAAAACCCTATTGTATCAGGAATCCTACTAGAATAAATAGAAAAAACATGAAACATGAATTAATTTTAGTGGACTATGACAACATTTTCCTTCCATCTTTCTAGGAAAAATAAGCTCACCTTGATTGTGTTGCCATTTGAATAAATAAATCCTTTACCCCTGAAGTTTTCTGCAACAGGAACTATATAACTGCAAGGACTTTGGTGATTGAAAAGGGTGCAGAATGCGTCAAGCATGTCCAGGTTTATCTCGCTCTCGGTCACTCTCACAAAGACTTCCATAGATTATTTCAAGATTTTTTCTAATCTACTCTACGAAAGTTACCTTCTTCGTCCCTCAGAGAGTCAAATAATTGTCTCCAGGAGTTTCTTTCTTTTGACGTTCTAGAGAACACGAACAGGTTTTAATCTGAGAAGACGCGAAGGTGATCCATTACGTAGTACTCACGAGACTGATTCACAATACCGAAAATTTCGAATTTTCCTTTGAATTCCCACTACGCGAAGTGAATGTAGCATGTCCGACCCATCCATCCTTTTTCGTTGCGATTTTCGCCCCGCATAAAGCACAGGCGAAGAAAAAAAAACAATCGCATTGGACATTGTACCCTGAATATTCGGGAGAATTGTTATTAGAAACATTAGCAGCCAGGCTAGATTAGCTTGGTAACCGCGCTCTGTGCACGAGGTTTAGAAATCTAAACTGAGTGTTTCACTGTCTGTGAACAAGGAACATTGCCTATACTTTTGTTTCCCTTACTAGCTACTGGTCCTGATCAGTGATCTTTACCGTAATCTAATATGGCAACAACTGAAGAAACCCTGGCTGAGTATGAGAAAATGTTTGCGAACCGTTTTACGAGTGAAGATGAGGAGTACATGAAAACGGTTAATAAGACACAGGCTTCCCCTCCATGTCTGACAGACTGGCTAAACTCCGGATACAGGGATAGGTAAAGAGCTTTCCTTCAATTTTAACTACGATTTAACCTGTTTATTCTTTTTTAGTAGCCCTCTCAACGGAAAAAGAGACATTTTGGACTCAAAAATATGCATTCGAGGGGTCCAAAATTTCGTTGGCCTCATTGGAAAACATTCCAACATGCCCTGTGTCAAAACTTTGGTTGAGATACAAAATGTGTTTTCTGTGTGGTATGGTTCTCATCTCCTAAGACGAGAACAGCAACTTGTTATAAGTCTGTAGTTGAACTTGAGGTACATTTTATTCATTACAAGCTCTATTAAAGATATACATGCATCATTGAGCTGGGAATCCTTCTTTGAGAGTTTCTCAACTTTCTTTTAAAGGTTTCAATCTAAACCCTTTAACTCCTATGAGTGACCAAGACATAATTTCTCCTTACAATATTGATACAATATCAAGCAAATAAGTTATAAGAATAAAGAAAAATATAAACTAGGAGATTTTAAATTGATCCTATATCAAGTTTTCATGAGCATTGTATGGCAAACAGTAAGGAGGATTACTGATGAGATCTGGCAGTGAAAGGGTTAAAGGCCACTTATTCATATCTATGACTGTGTATTTGCTCTCTTACAGCCGCTTTCAAAGCTATAGTGGTGGCAATGACAGCAGGAACTATGAAAGGTCCAGACATGATAGCGGACGTGACCATGGCAGACGACATGGCGAGCATGGAGACCGTCATGGAGGTGACAGACATGATTCATATCATCACCGAGATGGAGACAGGTAAGATCATACTATGAAAAACTTGGAACTTCATTTGTAGTAGGTACACATGGTTTGAAGATTGTTTATTTCTCTTAAAATAATGTGGAGTGTTGCAGGAGTATAGAAGGGAAAATACTAGTATTTTCTCCAAGGAAAATTTTTGCATCACATCGGGTGAACCACATTGGTATATGGAAGCAATAAAAAGTCAGCCTTACGATGGAGAGATGCGATTGCCTAAGGGTTATTGCACTGGACTCTGGATCCAAGGGTCCTGGTATAAGACCTGAACAGGTTATTGTCTTGTGTTCTCTGGCAAAACACTTTGTCTTGTCAGTGCCTCTCTCCACTCAGTTGTTGTAATGGGTACCGGCAAATTTTCAGGGAAGCCAGGTGAAATGCTGGGGGGTAACCTTGCGATACACTGGCATCCCATTTTACTCCTAAACTCTTCATGCTATGGAACCTTGACTAAGCTGCGGCCACAGACTTTACATTACAGTGCCACTAAAGTTAGGGGGAGGCAAATAATGATAAAAATATAATTAACTATTCACATTACATCATTTTTTCAACTATACCCTGGAAATTTTGGGCAAGAAGCTTGCTATGCCATAGAATGTAAACTTGAATACCAGCCTATGAAAAAGTGCATAATGTTATCAGAGATGCCCTTATGTGCCAATAACTGTTGGGGTAGACATTTTTTGCCCATAGTGTTGACCTGAAAGATCATCAAAACTGAAGAAAGGGTTCTCTTTTGCTTGAATACAGATATGGAGGTCGTTATAGAGATGACCGTGGTCACAGAGCTTACAATGATCGTCAGAAACCTGCAACAGAATATGGTTCTCGTGGATACTATGAGTTTTTCTATTGATAGAAGATCTGATATCAGTCAGAACACTTCAGTTAAAGAAACATTGACACTGTGCTTTAAGAATGTATAAGTTGGCTGCTGATGTGTCCAAAGAACTTTTCTTTTAACTAAGATCATCATTGAAAGAATGAGCAAAAAGAGGAGCTAGAGAAGATTTCATGGATGGGGAAAGGGTTTGATGTATTTTTTCCTGCTGCATGGTTGTTCTCTCTCTTCAAGCTCATTTGTACATACTTGCTTTTTTTATTTTGCTTGCTTAAACTGGAAAGTATGAACAGCTGTAGACAGGCTAGTCAGCTATTTTTCATGTTAATACAAGACTTTGCCAAACAGAGGCCATACAGCACTTAAGGTAAAATTCAGTCAAATTGTTAGAGCACTTCTTATACGACTGTCTTTGTTCAGTTTTAATTTAGAGTATAGAACATTCTCAGATAGCTGAGTGCAAGCTTTAGATGTGTATGCCTAGACGCAACCTTAAGTTCACTTGTGTCACATATCTGAGTGTTGACCAGGAAACTATCAACTGGGATCATCATCCAATTATGGGAGATGTCACATTTATTAACTTGTGTGGTAGACAATCAGATACTTTACTGTGCAAATAAAAAATCATGGAAATCCAGGTTATTTATAAGTCAATCAATTTGAGGCCTCAACAGCCCCCCTCCATGGGTAGCCCCTGGCCATTTGAACTGTTGAAGATTAGTTTGTTTAGATTCCCCCCCCCCCCCCCAAAAAAAAAAAAAAAAAAAAAAAAAAAAATTGTGTTCAAATGCCCTGCCCCAATTTTTTTTGTAAGGAGCAAGGGCAGCAACCAAGAATTTCTGCACAAGCTGTAACGCCTGGACCTTGAAGACCTTTTCTTCTGAACCATTTGCTTTTGAAAGTGTTCTATTTACCTTAAACACCTCCATATTTAAAGATTCACTGGAAAGACTTAATACTTCTGGTTCAAATTCCCCACCCAGTCAGGCAAGGTTCAAATTCCCCACCCAGTCAGGCAAGGTTCAAATTCCCCACCACCCGAGCATTGACAACGGTCAAATGCTGAGTTACCCAAGGGGGAGGGATGTTGAAGCTTTGAATCAATCTGCACATTTGTCTTGTACATGTAGTCCAGTATGATTAGATCCCTGATGAAATGCAGCTGTATATGTGTATTTTTCCTTAGTATAATAAGTTCTATGTTCAGTATGCAATAAATTATCGTGGAAGAAAGACGTTCTTAGTGTCATGAGTGAAGGAGGAGGAAAAGATCTGAGCCCCTCTTTCCCCACTCAAGTGGAATCGAACCCTGCACCTTAGACCTTTGAGTTAAATGTTTCTAGGGTCCTCATTCTCTGTGAGAGGGAAAGACCCTTAGCAGTTGAGCTACCAACTTAATTGACTTCAACAGCAATATAGAGCAGCACTGGCATTTTGCAATCATTTTCTGTTAGGGAGCCTTAGGTATCTGCAATCTTTGACCCCTACCCAAGGATCTGAAGATTTATCCTTGTCAGTCTTCCTGTTCGTATTTAACGATGGATCCAATACTTCCAACTCGGGTGCCTGGAAAGTGCCATGCAGTTGACGTCTTTTGAATTTCATTTTCAGCCCAATTAACCGAGCAACCACGGCCCAGCTAGCAGCGGTCGGTGTGACCGTATCTTCAGCTTTTTGAAATTTTTGTAAATAAGGACTTCGGGAATGATCGTTAGTGGATCGGTCTTCACATTTAACACGACTGTAAACATCGGAGACTTTGCCTCTGCGGATGTTTTTCACTAATCTCCTCTCGCATTTCTGTAAAGTCATTCCTTTCCCAAACCTTTCGTTTTCAATTTCTTTTAGCGAGTCATCCGTGGATGTTTTCTTGGATTTTGGAATGGATCTTACTGACAGTAACTTCGCATCTTCGTCAAAATGAACCATTTTACGTTCCCTGTTATCATTCGTTGCAGAGCTCTTTAGAATTCCAACCGATCCTGTCAATGTGATGAAATAAGGTTTCCTATCTTCTTCCGAACTTGTCTCAGAAGTATTTGGTTTTGAAGCAAGTTTTATTCCCAAGCGCATTGTTTGACGGTCGATAGATGTTGTGGAGTGATCTTTTTTATTAATTTCTCCAAGAAACCATTTTTTTGGCGTCGGTTTTTGGGATATTGCAGGAAGACGGTCTCCTATGTGGGCGCGAGCAGATGCGGATCGCTTTCCATCTAATTTAGCCTCTTGCCTCGAGAGAAATTTCACTTTCTTAAATGACAGAAATGCTTTTTCTTTTTCCTTTTGCTTTTGAATTGAACTACGATATTTTTCGAGCTGATTTTGGTTTTGGGTTTTAAGTACCTCTGTCTGTCGTTCCTGCTCCGTAGCTAAAGCAAAAACGAATGTTACAGAATCCATACCTGGTCTCTTGTAAGCCCGCACTGCTTAAAATGTACGTGCCTCTAAAGTGAAGCTGTTTTAAGATTACTGTTGCATTGACGCTTTCCTTATTTATTTTCTTTAATTGTAGTGTTGTGGTCGTTTATAGATCGTAATCACTGTTTTTACAGCGTTAATGAGGTCGTTACCCAAACAAGGTTCACCAACTGCGATACCCACAGTGTTCAAAAAGGTGTGTACTGAATTCTGATTTACATATCTTTTTTCTTCTATGCTTTCACGTTGTCGAAGAACTGTACATAAAATGGAAGTAAAACTATACTAATCAATTCAGAGAGTTTTCCAAAGTTTTTGTCTTTCAAAATGTAATGACCAGACTGAGCCTACAGCAGTAAGTTTTAGTGGCGTTGTGGTTTTGTCAGTGAAAAAAGTACGAAGGTGGGCGGATTCCTTATTCTAAAACTCAACGAATTTGACAACAAGAGAATGGCTTAATGAACACTTTGTGCTGTGGAACAAAACTAACAGTCACTAATGGAAAAGCTTTTAATCTGTGACGCCATAAGGTGACACCACCTACAAACAATGGGGCGATCCCGCTCGCTTTAAAAGAACATTATCACTTGATTCAAAGTTTACCTTTGTCCATCAAAATCCTTTTTTGATTTTTTTCTAGTTTGACTCGATGTAAGCTTGTATATTAATTGACCTGGAAGACATTAACTATGTATGCTTCATAAATAATGACATCCATAAATTCCGAAGTGTGGAAATCCGAAGTAGAAACTTCAACAGCTGATCATTAGAAAGCTTTCTAAGAAATGACTTGTCAGTCGTACGCAGATAAATTATTGTGAAGATCGAAATCTTATAATGACAGCTTATCATTCAATGGCAGCGCCGGACTCAAATCGTAAGTCGAAATGCTGCATCCAGCAATCGCTATGGACACGGTTATAAGACGCACGTGATTTGACTTTATCGAAACTGACACGCTCACCATTATCTAAATCTTTTAAGAAAGCTCTATTGCTGGACAAAAAGAACTTCGAAGCATAATACTCTAAGTTTATAACAAACTAATGTCATTATCACCGTCAGTGCCTCTGTCACTGTTAATGTCATTGTCACCACCAACGTCGATGTCGGTGTCACTATCGACGTGAATGTCAATATCATCGTCAATGTCTGTGTCAACGTGAATGTCTATGTCAATGTTGATGTCATTATCATTTACAACCATGAACCAAACCATATTTATATCGAAAGATCTGTGGTTCGGCGGGATTCCTTGATAAAGACTACACATATGCCATTCACATTTTCGTTTTGCATGGAATTTTTTGCTTATTTTATGTTTCTCTTCTCTCCCCCCCCGCTTGCTTTATTTTGAATCGCTAGTACAAATTTTATCTTAGATTCATTTTTCGTTCTAGTGAAATTCTAGTTACCGTTTTCCCGCGTCTATCAAGCCATGCAAAGCTCGTATTTGTGTCTTTGCCTTTTTATTCCGATCTATTTCTTCTCATTCATATCGTTTCCGACTTTATTTCTTATTACTAGTTATTTTCCCTTTCAAAATGTGCCTATTATGGAAACCACACAGGTAAAATTGAAATAAAATTGTTCCTTTGAGACAAGTGACTGTTTATTTCTGTTTGTTGCCTACAATCGTGTAATCTTTCAAATTGCCATTTGGCGTTTGTTTCACATATTTCAGGACCCTAATTCTTTTTAATTTCGTTCTTCGCAAATCGCATTAGAAAAGAAAGCGGATTAAGGGTTTAGAGCCGTATTTGAAGCAAATCGAAAAAGTAATAGATTGCTTTCCATCAAGCCTACTTCTTTGTTTTGAGAAGTGACATGTTCCCTTCGGGGAACTGACGAGTTAGTATAATAGCACTAATCTGTTTAGCTGCATCACAATAAATTATTAGCTAGTGAACTAAAGTGAAAAAGAAAACAACCTTAGCACATTTCTAGTGATTGATGAGATTATTTGTTCACGTGGCTTTTTGAATTATGTTTGTAACTCCTTCTTGACTCTGATCGTGCGCACTTTAGTGATAGTCTGCGTCAGAATTACATTTCACTGACCAATTAGCTTTACGACAAAAGTTATTCGTTTCAACCATGGTTTAGTGACCTGAATGGTAATTGTAGATCTTTACTTTCTTGGTCACGGTGTTGGTGCTTCTCCGTTTAAAGTAACTGAAATTTCAAAACCTCTCAGGTTATACGTCAGTAAAGGAGTTCCACGCGGTTGGCTTTAAGACCAGAACACTTAATTTTTGTTAATTGACCATATCACAGTTATTCTTGCAAATACCTATAGATCTCTTGTCTGGGCTAAATGTGCGTCGTAAAGCGATTGAGACGTGACAATTATTTTCGATTAAGGTCGCAGACAAATAGGCGCGAGAAAGTACTTTCCAAGTCATTAATTCTTAGCGAAATTTAAAAGCTTTAAGAGTGTGTCAGATCTACTGAAAGACCCAGTTGTACTTTGGAATACAACAAAGAGGTATTAATTGGTAAACTCATCCATCATACTCGAAAAGGGGATTATTAAAAAAAGTGCAAACTTTTAATGAATGGCAAAGTTTGCTTAAGTAACGTTTATCGAGAGGTTGGCCACTTCGCCGCTGTGCTTAGAGTGAAAGGACCCGTCAGCTATGAAATAAACATTAGGACGATCGAAGACGAAATAGTCCGGCTCAACCATGGCCATGGGAACTTGTAGTAGAGAATACAAAAGAGCTGTCATGCGAAATACAGCAGCAGGAGGTAACTTGCAGAATAGTTTAGACAGCCTCGAAGATCAGAAGAAGCGTCTCGTGCGCTCTTTTGAGGAGAAGAAGCTGAATTTTATAGAAAAAAAAGGAACACTTCCAAAACTTTTCTCTTCGCTCGGGCACACTGGAGGAATGGAGCGCAGCAAACGTGGTCAACTAACGAAACAGCTTTCAGATAGTTCAGCGTTAAATGAGTCTCGTGAAAGGAGATTGAAGGAAACATTCTCATCTACGAACGACATGGTGAATTTTAACAAGCAAAACCATCAAATATCAAATACTGCAGCAGAGCAAGACGACACTCTGTTGCCGCCTGCCATAGGATCCGGTGCACGACTACAATACTCTGCGGGGCGAAGGAGACACAGCGATAACCTCTCGAGCGAGAAGCCGAAAACACCATTAGCACCAACCCTCTCGTTACCATCAGAATCAACAGAATGGAAAGAAGAGCAGGAGGCATATGGCTCCGACCCAGAGCTGGGTACATTCAAGACCAGATTAAGAGTTCCAGCTCCTTACACAAGTCTGGGGACGCAGTTGCCACTTTCACCACTTCTACAAAGGAAGGCCTCACGCCCCTCCAAGCCTCAGTTAAGTCCTTTAGACGTGGCAGCAGAAAGGCAATGTGTATCGCTGCCTGCCTCTCCCCGTTTTCAGCGCCGACGTGCAGAGAGCTGGGACCAGGCAAAAAGCCAAGAGTTGAGGTTAAATGATTTTGCAGAGTTCTCGAGCGAAGGACCGAAACTTCGCTCGATGAGCTTGGCTTGTGAGAAAATCGAAAGCGGCAAACAGGTAACTCTTCTCATTATATGAATTCTGTTTGAGATGAGTAAAGGGGTGCAGGGGGGCATGGTTTTAGAAATACATCTGATCTAATTACGAAGTACATTTTTTTTTTACTTGGTCACGGCTGAGTTAGTTGAGAATACGAATGGCCTGTAAATGAGCCTGTACAACACGATAACTAACCAGCCTTATCTGCGCGAACTCGAATCTGGTCGAGGGGAGAATATTTGTAATGCTAGCTCTATAGGCGTTCACAAATTTTATCAATTTTTTGCCTTAGTGTTGATACTGAAAGACGCATCACTGCAGGGGGTAATTTCTTGAGTTTAAGTCTTAAAGTAGTGCCAGACATAAACAAAATTAATTTGTACTTTGTACTCTCTGTGTACAAGTTTTATTATGTAAATGATTGTAAGTGGTGTTTGTCCCGTATTGTAAATTGCTCTTCTGTGACTCAGTTGAATGTCTCTAGTAAGGAGAGTCACGAAGTGCAAACAAGTTCGCGAGACCCTTCGATTTTGGACAGACCATTTTCTACTCTTCTAACTGGGGCTAACATCCTAGACTGTGTACCACGGTCCGGATACCGAAACATGAAAATCTAAAGGTCACGGAATATATTTTGGTTTCATATCTCTCTTAGTACTGAGTTGTTTCATTAAAAGCCGGTTACTAGCGATCTACCACCGCTTAAGACCTCTTATCGCCGTCTGCTTCTCCTGCGAGCAGGCTGATCAGTTTGGGTTTCGCCTTTGGCCCCTTTTCAAGGAACAGCTGATTGTTACATCATCGACAGCCGCTTATGGGAAAAAGTTATTAATACCTATAAAACCATATCATGCATAGAAATGTTCAAATGTCATTAGAGATTTACAAAGTTCAAACAGGAAGCTTATCTTTTTCGACATTTAAAAAATGAAAAGCTCAAAATGAGTACGAAAAAAAAATACTACAATAGGTTAAAAACATATTTTTTAATAATTCAACTCTCAAATTTGCAACAACAATAGCACTAATATTAGTATGGTTCTCATGGGATTTATAACGCTTAGAGCTGATTACTTTGATCTATTTTTTACACATTTAAAACAAGACTAAACTAGGAAATTGATAGCCTTGAATCAATCTGCTGCTTTTCTGACCTGTACCCTCTCTCTTTGACTTGCACAAAAGTTTAATTAAAAAGCGCGAGAATTACGACTGAGAACTCAAGTTGCACGAGTGTAAGTGACGCAATTGTCACTCTAGGAAACGCTAATGAGTTTACTTCTTTTTGTTTGACCCTGGAATAAGATAAGGGAAGTACCGACCACTCATTCGCACATTCCTCGTTTTAATAGTTGTTTGGGCGAGGCTTTATCATCAAATGTTTGGTTTTAACACATTGACGATAAGTAGATCAAGCCGTAAAACGATTGGTAAAATGACTACTGTCTTCCGGCTGTTGTGAATTCCCTCACGGGACGCATAAAGGGATTTTATTTCTTTTGTTTTTTGCAACAAAGAGCTTGAGATGTGAGCGTTGAGTCATTCTCGAAAAGAAGCTTTAAGCTAACTGCAAACTGCTATCTTAACTACTAAGTTGTGTTTCAATCATCTTGAAAGTGGCAAAAAGTTCCTTAGTTCTGTATGGTCTCAATGGCGCATAGCATATCCTTCAAAGACTTGATCAAGAACGATGCCATGTCTAGCGATAAGATTAAAAAGGCTATTGACATTAATTCTATCTACGACGAAGACTTGAGGAAAGATCTTTCAACTCTACAGAAAGAAAGAAAGTCTTTAATGCAATCGTTGACCAAAAAGAAGCTAGATTTCATTCGTAAATGCAAACTACCATCAATTCACCAAACACACTCGCAGACGGAGTCTGACAACGCAGCAATCCAGAAAAAAGTTGCCGAGTTCTGTTTTGGTTCCTCTAGTAATTCTACACCTCAGCGCAACACTGCTTCACCGGCGCCTTCAGAAGCGCGCCCTTGGAGTCAACCTTCGAGTAAAGAAATGGGTAAATTATATTACCGCCAAAGAAGTTTCACGTCTGAAAAAGATTTCATGTTAGAAGAAGATGACACATTAGAACAGGGGGACATCAATCGTTTTCCAAGTGCTGATCAAGGAGCAACAAACGCCATAAAGGCAAGGAATGCCTCTGGTTCAACAAGTTTTAAGATTTCCTCGCCAGGAATAGGCCTACCAGCAACACGTTCTCCAACACTATCTCGGTTAAGTAATTTAAATGACTTGGTCCAAAACCGATCTCTACCGAATTCGCCCATTGTCCTAAGACGACGCGCTTTCACGTTGGACTCGAACTTTGGTAGAAGTCAGAGTACTGATTTTAAAGTTGCCTTGGGGCGATCACAATCAACTCCAGCAACTAAACAAGGTATGCGACATCGAACGGAGTCATCGCCAATTGACCTCGAGGTAAGTTTGCTCTATGGGAATCTGGATTTGTCGCGTGGAGTGATTTTGTGATAAGCATTGCATGATCATGATGTACAAACTCGAGAAAATAATTTTTGTCCGATCTTGGTGTGAGTAGGTTGATCAATATCGACTGCACGAATAGAGACTACGATTTCCTTTCTACAAGCAGGATTCAGCATGACAACACCATTTCTTTTAAAATTTATAGCCACATGTCATAATTTATCAAACATATGTGTAACGCCAGAGGAAATTCGTAAGCTACCTATTGAAACCTCCTGGATAGAAAAGGTTTTGTCTTGAATATATTGTTGTATACAAATGGGCAATTTATGTCCAAACTGACCATTTCTGTAAGATGAACATTCTTGAATACTGAAAGAGTGTCCAGAGCCTAATTCCAGAGGGGCACAAACTTCGCACTTTCTTTTTATTGACTCTTAGGCCACAAAATGGGTGGATGGTTTTTTTTGATAATTATGATAAATGATGGATTAAATATCATAATCAGTTGATGTTCTGTTCCAACATTGTAGTGCTCCTAGACTTTGTCAGGTAAAGTTAACAAATCTGATCATGTAGTTGGCAATTTTGTTCAGATCCTGCGCTTGAATCAGCCCTTCATTCTTGAGAATCTTTGGTGGATAATTTTATCTCTGTTGTCACTTAACAAGAGGATTTAAACAAAGAGGCTCTTTCCATATATTCAACTGAGCCACAGAAGAGCAATTTACAATACGGGGCAAACATCACTTACAATCATTTACATAATAAAGCTTGTACACAGAGAGTACAAAATACAAATAAATTTTGTTTATGTCTGACACTACTTTAAGACTTAAACTCAAGAAATTACCCCCTGCAGTGATGCGTCTTTCAGTATCAACGCTAACGCAAAAATTGATAAAATTTGTGAACGCCCATAGACACAAAATACAGTCAACAATTATTTCATAACTGACTCTGTTTAATAATTTCATAATTCCAAGTTCAATGAGAGGTACAGTAGGTCACAATACAACTGCACCACTAAACACACCAAATTTTATTTTAACCTATAAATCTCTCAGAATGGGAAACACCAGCGGGCAGACTCAGCGCGCAGACTCAGGGTCAAGCGGTCCAGGCTCGAGACCCATGGCTCTCCAAGTTATAATATTATGCTCTTGGGGAAGACACTGTACCGCACAATGTCTGTCTTCATCCAGGAATGTGAATAGGGACCAAACCTTTCGATAAACCGGGGAGGGGTGGTGAGGGGGATTTGTTTTAAACTAGTATCCCATTTATGAGAAGAAGCGTTAGTCCTAGTTGTATCATGTTACGAAAACTGTTATAGGCTCTAGCGCCTTATGAGTTAGCTGGAGTGTATGTTTTACATTTTACCTTATAGCTCTTTGAGTATTGGGGTTAACCTTATTTTGAAAATAAGAATTTCTCCCCATTTATGTAAATTCATTAACTAGTAGAAAGCTTATGTCTTTCAATATCAATTCACGACCCTCCAATTAATTCTACATTCATGTATCTAACAACCAAACCAATCCTAGGACCTGGTGAGGATAGATTAAGTTTAGTGAAAGTAGGTTAAGTGGCAAGCATGGCTACTTGACCTGTGTGTAAAGAAATTGTATCTCTTATGGTTCAAGTTATTTCTGGATTAAAAAACTTCAGAAGAGTTTGATTTTTTTCCCCTTGTCTAGTATCTAAAAAGGAAAATTGAAAAAAAGAATTTGAGAAAAAAAAATGAACCACAGCACATCCAATCTCCTCCTGTGCTTTCTGCACTGCTTGTTCACTTTTATATCTCATGCTCCAGTTGAAATTTCATATCAAAACCAGGTTCCTTGTCCTGATTGTTCTTTGCTGTCCACGTTTCAGGATGTAGGGAAGCTGCCACCGCGTGTACCAGCGTCACCACAAATTTCCCCACGAAGACAGCGCGGTTTTCAACCTCTTGGGGCTGACCAATTACAGTCTTCTCCTCAAGAGGGTTCATTTATTTTACCAAAACTGGAAGCACGAGGTTCATTATCTAGTATGTTGGACGAAAATGGGAAAGAGAGAGTCCAGAGACGAGTGTTCAGTCTAGTGGCAGATAATGCTACAAGAGAAACATCCCCGCGGAGAGAAGCACTCGAACTACAAAATCTGTCTCCCAGGACAGAAAGAAAACTCAGGAACTTCTTAAATTCCGAGAACGGATGGCTAACCGGGTTTTCCTCTAAGCATGAGGGGCTTGAAGATATAGTGGAAGATGGCAAAGGCCTACAAAGACCAGAAGCAGAAGACGAGGAGTGTACTTGGAACAGCGATATTGATGACGATGATGACGAAACAATTGGTCAAAAGAAGATTCATTCACTGGAGGAGATTAAACACACGCGTTATCTGCGCATGAAGTCACCAGTTCATTGGCTACCGAAAATGGGAAATGTGCCAAAGCATTTGCTTTCGTCGTCGATTATTGTAGGACACACGAAAGTAGGTTTCGAATCAATTTCCCGACCTCAGAGAGATAAAGATGTCGATAACCTTGATGAGAGCGTGAGCTGTGATGAAATAGAAAACAGCGAGGAGGGGAATGAAACTGATGGAGAATCCAAACTGGAGCCAAAGAAAAACGAAAACAACAATGAAACTTATTGGGATAATTCAGAGCTTAAGGAGAACTCAACTAGCGGTTGCAATTAGTGTTGCTCAGGCTGGATGAAGGGTTTCTTTCATACATCGCACACCCTACGGGCTACCTGTAACACAGCAGTCAAACATCGGGCATGCGCGAGGAATCATTTCTGACCGGCTGCGCGCCAATTTCCCAATTTCAAAGGAGAACAATTTTCAGAAAAAGCCAAAGAAAACTGAAAAGTTCATAGAAATCTGTAAAAGGAAGCAATAGTACGGAAAAGGAAAACTCGAGACATCGAACCCAAAGCTTAATCCGGCAGGGGTATACTGTTGATTTACGATTCTGTTTTGATCTTTACGGAAAAAGTTCTACCTAGCTATTTTGCACATGTACAGATGTTTGACCGCTGTGTTGCCCTCTGCGCACTCAGTCAGGTACTAAGCAACCAATTTGAATTAGACTTTCTTGGATATAAAAAAAAAACCAAAAGTACACTTGTTTCTTGAATGAACATATATGTTCAACACCAATAAGTGCACTTTTACTCAGAATGCCTGATCTAATTACAATGAATTTCTTTTGATGACTGTACATTTGCTTTAGATAACAATCCCTGTAAGTATAGGCAATCACATGATTTCGAGTGCAATTTGGAATAAACAAGCACGAGTAAATTTTTTCAAAGACTAACAAAATTTGTGGTCTATGAAAAAATTAATAAGTGCTTATTTATTCCAAATTGCACGAGAAAATTCATGTGATTACGTATTAATAACATATATGAAAAAAATACGAGATAGCTTATCACAATTATGTAGAAGCAAAGCGCGCATCAAGTGGAAAAATAATTTATTCAAACCCTGCAAGTGACACTATGCGTTCGGTCAAAACAACCGCGTACGATTTAAACAATGATATAGAATGAAATTTTCATATCTTTAAGGCGCAAAAATTTCAAATTCCGGCTTAACAGTTCAAGGATTTGTTCAGTTTGTGTCCGAATCACTTTTCGATGGTTTAATTTCGGCGTAGAATTGCTCGAGAAAAGTGTCAAGGTGGGTCGGGTCGTAATTTTCGATTTCCTTGGCAATTCCCTTCTCTAAACACCACTTTTTCCAAACCGACAACCAAAGAGCAATGCTTTCTATAGTGTTTTCGTTGTTAGAGCTGTTTTTCAGCTGCTCTATTGTTGTTGCGGTGGCGAAAGAAAACCAACTTAAAACGCCGGCCATCGTTTAACTCGCAAATTTTCAGCGTATCCAAGTGTTGCGACATCCAAGGCTCGCATTTCATTGGCTATCTGTGAGTTTCTTTGATTATTGACCAATCAGAATGTCTGGTTTGTTACTTCTTTGCACTGAATTAACCCTCCTCTGCATTGAATTACCTGAAAAATGCATGTATCTTAACCAATCAGAACTGGGTAATTTTTTCATGCATATTATTAACGCAGAAATAAAAGATGAGATCGATAAACGGCCTTTATAGGAACATAACTAATATCTTTGTATGAAATGTTGCGCAGTGAAACAAAAAGTTATTCTGATTCAAATAATTTTCAGTTCCCCAGTGATTTCCAGGTTGATCTGACTTTAAAATCTGGATAGGAGTTTTAGAACCCAATATACCTTGTGCTTAAGTACGTCGGGAAACCCAATTTCAAGCCTCGCATTCATGGTGTAAATTGGTGAATTTTAGTGGTAAAGTATCCCCAAAACGCTGAAATCAAAATAACACTCACATGAAAACAGAAAAGATTCATGAAGGTTTTGGTGCGAAAAAGGCTGTGGGGTAAATGTTTAATAAATGACGTCTTCGTGCTGAAGAGCTTTTGGCACTTGACTCGTAACCAGTCGTCTTTTCTTTACCTAGTCATGGGAGACTAACTAGCACTTTCACGATGTTAAAGTGGAAGACCGGGGACGAGTCAAGATTGGCACTTATCCCGTTTTAGCCGTATCAAGAAAAGCGGATTAGCTTAAAGTTAAGCGGGCTTTGTTTAACGATTAACAATGACCATATATGACGACTTTGGAACAATGGCGGAAACAGCTTTAAAATACACGGGGATTTTTCAAAATTTCCGATTATCATACGAGCGGCAGATTTATACCATCAGCAAAACTGATGATAAGACAAATCCTCCCCGTGGGGGTGATTCTGGTAGATTTTTTAGGATGCAAATAGTCACGGTGGGGTGGATGGTGGGGCGACTGTAGCTTTCGTATCTGAAGTAAAGAGATTTCACCGTTTTTTCCTTTACATTGCTTAAAACTGGCGAAAGATATATTCAATTAGAGGCTCACTGTGCGATACAAAGGTGATGAGAGCATGTGTAACCTGGTATTAACGTCCGAAGCCTACCACGCCGTTGAATCATATAGAAGACTATCGTCATTTGTTCGATTGTTTAATGTGCGTGTATTTAAATTTCGCGCTGCGTGAATGAGATTTTGTTCCTGATGTGCACAAAAAAGTTCATATTCTCCTTCCTCTAGCGTGTGATTTAAACCTGGTAATAACGTCCGAAGCCTCGCGCTTCGTTAATTCATGTAGTTTTACGGGTATCATTCTCTTTCCGTATTTCAATTCAACGAAAGGAGTTAAAAAAAAACAATGGCGTAGAAATAGTCGCACACGCTGGTCAATTTCTCCCATTTAACTCGACTGTTCAATCCGATTATATTTAAATTTCGCGCTTCGTAAGCAAGAAAAACTGAATAATCTCCTCCCACAATTTTTTTGTGTTTACACAAGCCGACATCTAATTGATACCTATTCATCCTTTTGTGTGATAGCAGGAGGTGAGATTTTTTTTCGCATAGTCATGTTCTGCTAATTTCTCTCTTTTTTTTTTGCTCAACAGGTTACGTGTATTCAATCACGTCACTGACGCTGTCAGATTCATCTACCAAATTTTAGGGCAATCGAATCTCGCGCTACGAAAGTTATTCTTTTTTCTTGGTTTGCTACGAAAGTTATCCTATTTTCTTGGTTTGCATAAAGCGCAATTTAACGTTGAGGCGCTTTGAAAACACTAGCAATCGCAAACAGTTCTCTCAAAGTTTTTCACATCTTCTTAAAGGTTACGTCCGTGTCCAGCGCGTTTACAACGCACTTATCTCTTTCTATTGAAGTGTACGAAGCTGAAATCAGGAGACTGAGAGGCGAAAATGAGTTTTTAAGACATCAGAACAACTCGTTGGTCGTCCTGCTAAATGACGCCCAAGAACGCAAAAGGGCATCGTTTAATGCCTCGCAAAAGCGATTCTTCGAGTTGACAAAGGCAGCCAGAAACAACAAAAAGAGGAGGATAAAAAACCTTGTGGTGCAATCGCTAAAAGGACTCCAAGAGTTTGTTCCCATCGAGGTTTGTTCGTTTTTACCTTATTTCATATTCTTTGTTGCTACACCGCTAGAGTTACTGATTGATTTTATTTCAATTATTAATACGGTTACCTCCGCAAATAATTATCAAGCCACCGTTTCATCACGCTTGTATTCCCTCAGGTAGCCGGGTGCTACTCTACAAAAATTTTTTTCAGCTTGAATATACATATTTCGACGAATTTTGGACTTAGACTCGTACTAAAATTATCAAAAACGTTTGGAGTAGAGACAGTATTGAAAACCGATTATTTGAGACTTGAAACCGCAGTAGAGTGCACACGGATGACGACGGATATCTGAAAATCTAAACTCCGTGTAGGATTTTTAATAGTTAATTTATAAGTACTTGATCTAAATTTATCATTCGAGTGTATGGAATGAGTGCACAAGACAGTTTTTAACTTGTAAAATTCCCTCTCAATACTGTTTATTAACACATCCTTTGATCTGTTTCAGATCAAGTTTAACGTACAAGGAGAGGAAATTGTTATTCCCCTTGGTTCTGTTGAGGAAGAAATACACCATCCTCGGTAGAGACAACGCAGCACAGATGTTGCCGTGGCATATGAAACTGCATAAGTGTTAATAAGTACTTAGAACCTCTCGGCCCAGATCTACTGACAAACCCTACGTTTGGAAGAAGCCGAGGAACAGTAACACAGAACTGAGTAATACGAAACGAAACGATTAACGAAGGGACACCGTCATCAGGGCAAAACAAAACAAATTTCAGGCCTCGTATATGCCACCGCAGTAACTTTAAGCCTTTTACTGTGACAAGAAAACGATCATCAAATGTAATGAAAAAAAATACATTGCCGAGACCAACCACAGGTGTTCAATTCAAGTTCATCAAAACTGGGATTGCCGAGACCAACCGAGGTGTAACGGTTGATAATACTGGGTTTACTCAAGTTCCTTTCTATTGATTAATCTTGCATTTGTAAAGACAAAATAATTCATATTTATAACGTTACCGTGGTAAAAATGTGTATTAAACTTCGGCCTTCATCAGGTGAAATATTTATTTCTTTTTAAATTTTAAAGATTTATACGCATTTTCAACCAAAGTAACGTTCTCATTTTTCCCTATTATGAATTCACCTTCACCATCATCCCACGAAACTAGCCCTTTCTTCATTTACCAGAAGTTAATAGGAAAACAAGAAACGAAAATAGCCAAAAAATCCTGGAGAATATTGGATATGGCCTGAGAGTAACACCATAAATCCGAAGGTAAAAACAAAGCTAGTCTTACGTGTAAAGTAAAAAAAACTGCTTATCTTAAAACAAGGCCCCAAACGCTGCGAAGAGCTAAAAACCCTTCGATTAGGCTGACCACTCGCTGAAGAGGAAGGTCCTGAAAGGAAAGAAAAAGCGGTAGAAGTAGAAGACGCGGACTCCTTTCGATCCGCGGGGCGGAAACGACTACGCCTGTCCTAGGTTTTTCTCTCAGCTCTTCTCTCCGCCTTGTACATCCTCTTTTCGTCATCGGAATTTGAAGTCAGCTCGTCCGAGAGGTATTCTTTCACCGTTGACTGGCCAAAATCACTCTTATCGGCCATTTTAATCACCTTAAATCACCTTTATCCTCTTAGAAACAACCTCAGTACCTGCGTCCAAAGCGGCCTTGACCTTGTCGTGGGATTTTGCTTTCAAAGCGTCGGATGCTTCGTTAAATCTGACTAGCACTTGAATGATATGATCCAGCTGCTGTTGGTTTCTCTTTCTCTTTCTCTTACAGGTGTAACTTTCTCGAAGCGCCTTTTTGATGGCTTGCTCGACAGTGGAACTATTCTCCTCAGAAAACCGCTTAGCGAAACCGCCCAGATCTTCGATAACCCGCGTAAGGTTATCGGTTAAAGCACCAATAGACTTGGCAACGGAAGACTTAATTAACTGGTTAACGGAGGGGCTGATTGAAGTGCCTGAGCCGTCGTTAACAGTAACAGTAGAAATCGAAGACCCTTGCTCCTGTTCCTTGGGCATAGCGATGGCTAAAACGAAACTATGGGTCGTAGGCGTTTGCAGAAACGAAGGGTGAATACAAATGAACAAGACACCTATATAACCGTGCGCAAAATACTTAACACCACTTAAATACCGAGGTACAAACAGACACTATAAAACACCTAATTAACCATATAAGAACGTGCAGAAAACAAATATCTGCTAAACTGCGAACCGCAGATATTTTTGCATTCTGTGGCTCTTCCGATATGAGAAAACGAGCGGGGAAGCTGCCAGAGGTAATCATTTCTAGTATTCATTACACAAGTGAAAAGTGCTTTTTGCGTGTTGCGAGTTGTGTATGTATTTTATTTGTAAATGACGAAAAACTTTGTTAGTTTGTTTCGTACGCGCTGATTGATTAGCAAGTACTATTTACGACTGAGCAGTGGAAAAGTCAAAATCGCGCGTCAAGAATTTCCAACCCGTTTTATGGTATATTGACAGAAATTAATTAATTTTTTGGTTTCTGTATATGTGAAAGCAATTATCCTTCTATTTGTTAATAAATAATTGGCGCTTGTGACATAGTAATGCCTTAGATTATCTGACCTGTTAGCAGTCTCCTCGCCCTAATCCTCTCTAATTCCGAGCGGAACATTGGTGTTCCTTACATTGACAAATAGTATAGTCAATATTATACCGCTGAACGACTAATTCGATGGCTTAAAAGAACATGGCTGCCATGATGGCGGCCCTTTGCGTTCGAAAATTGGGAGTTTTCCAACCTTTTAAATGTGAGTAGATCTCGAAGTTTGTTTCAAATTCAACATTAATTGTAGTGAGTTATATCAACTAGTTCTAAAAGCGAAACATAAGTCTTTTGATTGGTTGTTTATCATGCTAAAATGTTTCATCATGTTTACCATGCTAGTCTGCAATTTTGTGAACAAATGTTTCATCATGTTTATTGTACCTCAAAATCGGATCTGGTTGGGTTACGAATTCTCTCGGGATCTGCGACTCGATCGAGTTGAGATACCGTATTTAATCGATTAACCGCGCACCGCGGCGTTGATTCAATTTTTCTTGATTCGAGTGCGGCGTTTATTCGAGGGCAGCGTTTATTTAAAATCAAATTTATTCATTCTAAACAATAGTATGGTAACTGACCATTTTAATTTAGGCGTTTATTAAAATTTCTGCTCTAAAATGTGGCGTTTATTCGAGAACGGCGTTTAATCGATTAAATACGGTAATTTAGTTTCTAGTGTGGGTCAGGGGTTGATAGATACATCAGTCATTAGACCTAGGAAAAAGAAAAAGATTATGTTTTAAAGTGCTAGTTTTGTGCAACAGGTCTGCCAGTGCTTGTTATACAGAGCCGAACAGCAGCCAAGAAGTCTGCAGGTCATACAAAGAATCGTCAGCATCACAATAGAAGAAGAAAAGGCAAAGGATATGGACCAAGGAGGACCGAAGGTAAGCTCGATATTTTAACTCATAAGGATTCGATTACCATGCATTTGCTCGTGTATTTATTGTGAAACACTGCCACTACTACTACTCTATCTTGGGTAAAAGTTTAGTCTTTTTCAACAATTCTACTCTCAGCATTAAAGCTTTGGTCATATTTAGTTTGGGGGCAGCTTGTTGGAATAATTGAAAGTTGAAGTCAAACACTTGCACGGCAGAGAGCTTCACTGACAATAGCTACCTGACTTAAAATTATTTTGTAAAATCTCTCTTCTGCCTATGTTGGGCTTTGTTCCTATTCTCTTTTGTGGGTGGGTTGGGGAGCTAACAAGAAAACCTCTGTTTTATTTAGCTCCCTAATTTACAAAGTAATCTTACCATCTTGATACTAGTTAAAAACATTTTTAATCAATCAACAATACTGTAAAATGAAAATATCATTATAATTTAATGTAATAATTGATTTATGTGAATAAAGCATTGTCCTGTCTTGTCTTGTCTTGTCCTGTCTTACAGCAGAGTTGTTTGGTGCATTAATCATTTAAATCTGATTTTTTGTTCTACCCTAAGTTCATTGACAGGATTTGCTCTGTTTCTGTTTGCACATAAATCAATAAAACTGATGGTGCATCTTATAACCAAGTATTTTCATGAAACTTTCCAGTTGGGAACTTAACATTGTCACTTTCTCAAGTTGGGGATGTGTTTTAAAACCAAAGAACCATGTTACTATACAAGGACTCTGACAGGATGTTGAGGGTTAAGTACTAATCAAAATTTATGTAGCAAAAGGGTTGACTTTGTATTAAGGAGCCAATTTAGATAACTGAACAGTGGAATTTGATTGTTGACAGATGTAACCATTTCTCTCTGAATTTAACAGGAGAACGTGTCACACCAGGGACAATGCTTTTGAAGCAGAAAAAGACAGAGGTCAAATATCACCCAGGATTAAATGTAAGTTTATGTGGTTTACAGCAACAGCAGTGATTTTCAAGGGGCTAAGAGGAACGCTTCAAGTTCAGCAAAATACAGAGCAAGAAGTCATTATATAGCAATAGCAAGTGAAAGATTCTTTTGTTGGGGATTTTTGGTTTAAATCACAGTTCCTTAATTGTCATCATTTATAGTCATCATTTACTTATTTGATTGTATTAACTTAGAGCATTTTCTTGGTATGCGGTAATTTCTCCCCCAGTCACTTCGCTCCAACCAAAAGTCAGTTCACTCCATAATCGAAGTCACTTCAGTCCATACAAAAGTGACTTTGCTACATGTAAGAAATCAGTAAACTTTTTGTTTTGATGTTGGAGTTGGACTGATTTTGAACTTATGTCAGTTTAGATTTATTAACTAATGCAGCATCCAGTCATGTTCGCTTACACTTGGTAACTTAAAATATAATTTCCTAATTTTTGCATCAACAACATCGGCATGGTATCAAGATTGTATTTATAAATCGTATGACTATAAAATACAATCTTGTAAACATATATACACTTCTTGAAATTTGAGCACATTTTGAGTGCATCAATAACTTTGGCATGGCATGATGGACAGAGAGAGATTAGGGTGAGGGAAACAAACAATTACAAACATGTTGTCAAGATCATTTAACATCAGTTAGGCAAATAGAATCTTGTAAGCATATATACACTTGACTTGTAACATAGAGCGAAGTAACTTTAGCATGGAGCAAAGTGACTTGGATTATGGAGCAAACTGACTTTTGGTTGGAGCAAAGTGACTGGGGGCAAAATGACCGTAAACCATTTTCTTGGTTCACTGATGAAGCAGGTGTTTAGAAATTTGCAGAAGAAGAGAACATTAAAGAATAAATGACTGTGACTATATGAAAATCATATACATGAACGCTTAAGTAGAGTTCATTACTGCAAAGGTTGCCTCATATATTCACAGTCATTTACTCATCACTTCACAGGTTTATTAAATACCAACATAATGACTACCTCCCAGTTTGCTTGTTGGGCATTGCAGTGCATTTTACAGGCTGAAATGGAGATTTTGGTATTTTGTTGGGTGATTGTTCAAACTGTTTTCCATTCATTTTTTTCAGTTCTTACTTTATCAATGCCCTTCAAAGTGATAATAGTAATAAAGTTTATTTTTGGGGGGCATAAATATATTTTAGGTGCCTTTCAGGGTCATTTTGACCCTTCCCATCAATTTGAACTGAAATATGTTTGAGTTAGGCTTCTCTTAACTATATAATTGCCTTGTGGCTTTCAGTTTAGAGATGCTGAGTACATTATGATTTGAATGAATTTTTTTTTTTTTAAACTGAAATATGTTTGAGTTAGGCTCCTCTTAACTATATAATTGCCTTGTGGCTTTCAGTTTAGAGGTGCTGAGTACATTATGATTTGAATGAAATTTATTTTTTTTTTAACTTTCTTTGTTAGGTTGGTCTTGGTAAAGACAATACTTTGTTTGCATTAGTGGAGGGATTTGTGAAATATAGCAGTGAGCGTGCTGTACCATATCATTGGTGTCTGGGTCAGCAGGAACCAGTTGAGGAAAAGAAGTATATTAGTGTTGTGGCAAGGGAGCCATTTAGAGGACACAAACTTGTTCCAGTGCGAGATGTGTATAAAATTGCTGACCAATAATGTGCATAGTGTCTGAATGGTTTTTACCTTAGGGATATTTATAGATTATAATCATCAAACCTCTCTAAGATGGACACATAAAGGATTGTGAACATGTGCCAGTCTTATTAAGCTTTTAAGGAACTAGAAGGAGCATGGGCATAATCTTAGTGTTATCTGTGAGGGCTATGTCTTTAAAAAGTGAATTGTCTGAGAAGAGTGCTTCATTCAGAAAGTGTCTTCTATTGCATTTTTTCACAGAAAATATCGCTACTAATCATAACTGTTAAAAGCTGTTATTTTTTAAATTGTGTCTCCACTGTTCCAAGAAGATTTTAGAAAAATTTTTCAAAGATTTCAAAACCTTGGATGGAGAGATTTCTCATCACTTTCAATGCCAGTATGTAAATGTAAGGAAAATAAAATTCCTGGACCAATGAAGTTTGTGTATCAACTAAGATATTACGAACGCCCAGATTGGATCAATCAAATTATTGCACCGTAAACCCTAGAAAATTGTAAAAGAAATAAACCGAAATTTCCATCAGTTTACCAGCGTAATAAACCACCGTAAACCCTAAAAATTGCACCTTAAACCTTAGAAAATTGTAAAAGAAATAAACCAAAATTTCCATCAGTTTACCAGCGTAATAACCCACTCGAGATGTTAGGAGAACACGAAAAAAGTGGGTTATTACGCCAGTTAGCCAATGGAAAGTGCGGTTTATTTCTCAAGTACCCAATGGAGAACAGTAATTCGTGTACTAGGGGTATCATTGTGCTAAATATTAGGAAAGAAAACGCCCTTCACAGTCATAAGTTGTCTCGGTGGTTGAGAGTGACTTCCCAGTTCTCTCGAGTGTGGGTAAGAGAAATGTCTTCGAATTGCCATATTGCGCTTATCCTCCTAAGAAAAAGACAGAATAAATCATAAATTTTTTGCATGAAGAAATGAAAATTAAAGTTAATGCGAATTGCATTTCAGTTTGATGTTATCAGCGGGTGAAACAGGAATATTAAACGTAAGAAAAGTCAGCGGAGAAAGGATTGATGGCCACCGTAAAAACTCTCAAAGCTGACGTTTTGAACGTTAGCCCTTTCGTCAGAGCGAAGGCTCGAAACGTCAGCTTTGAAACTCAACCCAGTTGATAAAACCAAGATTGTCTCGTTTCCATCCAGTTTGATTGAGTTCATCAGTCCAATCCCTATTCATGTTTCATCAGCTGAAAACTTCTCTGAGAAATGTGTAAGCATGAAAGCCATTTAAACTCATTGTTAACCCTCACACCCCTAAGAGTGATTAGCATCTTAATTCTCTCAGTATCAGCCCTGAATTAAACATGAAGGCAACGAGAGGAAAGGGAATGATCAGCAGTTTAAACGGGTCCTGCGTTCATCATATTCCGTTCCGATTACAGGGGTGTATATTCTACATTCGATCAACGCTTTACAAATTAGGTTTGCCTGGTGCTAACGAATTAGACTAGTAAGGGGTCAAAGTTGGAGACCAGGCCGGGCCAATGCGCTGTGTTCTTGGGCAACTCATTTTATTCTCATGTTGCCTCTTTCCGCCTAAGAGTATTCAGCATGTAGGTACTATGGCGGACTGTCAGATAAACTTGATGATATCAAGTTGCAGAGGTTTACAAGGTTTTGTAATGGAGTAGCCCCTGCTCATGAACATGGATTTTTTATTATCATTGCTGGTAATTCAGGTAAAGCTAAACATTGTCTCATACCTGGTGAAGGGGTCTTGAAACGGTGTCGCCGTTTTGGTTAGATTCTGAAGTTACCTCACTTCGCCTCATCATGTATGATGAAGCGCGTTTGCGTATCTGAATTGGAGGAGATCCAGGCGTCTCCTTGCTTTCCTGCATTGGGTCTTGTTCGTTTGCGTGCAGAGTAAATGTCCTAAAATAACCTTGTTGCATTTGAGTGCGCGGAGAATATACAGGGCTAGAGCTGTTACTTTGTATCGTAGGCTCCTTGTTAATGTTTAAGTTGTCAAAGCGGCGATGAAGTTTATTCGGCGTGATTGGAGAGGCATTTTGGTTTTGAGTCTCCTTTGGGTCGCTGAGGACGGCAGATTGAGAAATTTGGCCAGGATATATGATCCTTGATAAGTCCTTCACTGTTAATTTTGGAACACTCATTGGGTGTGCTTTTCTGTTTCCAAGAGGTACATTTAAACCATCTTTGTTTTCATGGTGACTGCTACTGATAAACAACTGCGAAGACATACCACCTCTATGATCCAAAGAAGTCTTGTAATTATCTGCTCTGCTAAATCTTTCGTTGTTTGTTGTTGAGCTCTCATCCGAAAGTCCTTCCCTCTCCGATTCTCCTCTGCTTGTTCGAAGAACAGGTAGTTTGCTAAATTTTCGTTTCATAAAAGATTCCTTCCTTTGTTCCCAGGAATGCGCGAGTTTCTTTCGTTGACCTTGGATAGATTTCAAATCTTTCTGTAAAGTGTCCCCTTGAACAGAGTTCCGCATTGTTGCTTTCATCAAATTTCGACTGAAAGTGAAGTGCCCAGCTTTTTTCTCGGGTTCTTCCGCCATTGTAGGTTATTTTGCTAAGCGAGTTATCGCGGCAGTTTTAATGAACCAAACTTGAAAACATTGACGGCCAATCAATTCCTAGGCTTTGAAAATTAGCCTAATCGTGTTTTAGGTGAGCTTATGTTCCTTTGTTAACCAATTCTATTCAAGCCTATTTTATCTCGGATAATAAACCTCTCAGAGGATTAATCCGTTGTTTATGAAGATTTAGAACAAAAACTAACATCTTTTCAACTTCTCTATTATTGAGTATTCTTTCCACGGTTATGAGCAAGAAAATTAAAAAGCGACGTCTGCGCTAAAGAAAAACTGGAAGCATTTTCAGTTCATAAAGTTTTTGTTTAAAGGGAAACTATTAAGTTTCACGCAATACAGTCAACTGAACAGGAAATAACATAAAGTTCGTATTCACCAAAGTGGAGTCTGATTAAACGATTTTACATGCAGGTTCGACAATTCAGTAATTTGAAACGGTTTATACAAAGGACTATTCTAGGCCTTCAGTTAGTAAAATGAAGCCAAATAGTAAACAACGGGGTGAAATCGGTGGAGTGAAAAACTGAGGGAAGTCTGAGTCGGGTCGCTTAAAGAATGCCATCATTAGGCGACCCGATCCAGACCTCCATCGCTTTTTTAACCGCCGCTTCTGTCGCGTCGTTTAATATTTCGCTCGATTATCAGCCGCTGCGCCGGAAACGAAACTGCGCTATTTCGAACTCTCAAGGGAACGAAAATTTGATGAGGATATTAAACATTTATTCCACGAGCGCTCGTTGAATATCAGACGATGGATAGCCGACGAGGCGAGTAGGGCCGAGTTGGCCATTATCATCTCATATCCCACAAACGCGAGTGGAATAATTGTTTGGTTAAAAACGCCCCAAAATAAAGCTAGATAAATCTAGACAAATCGTCCCAACTTTATTTTGTAAGAACTAACAGAATGGTACATAATCCGTTCCAATTTTACTTTGTAAGAACAAACAGAATGTTACAATGTACAAAAACACTTCCGGTTTACCTCGTCTTCATGCACGCGCATGGTATAATGGCTCATAATCCATGATGGCTATGCCAATGAAAACTCTTAAATTGCATTATCCAATGATCCAGTTTTTAATGAAACGGTCAAGCCCACCATCTAAGTCTATGGAGTTTATGGGTATGACGTCGAGTTACTCAGATATTTTGCTTTTGTCTTGCGCTCGTGACAAAACGAATAACATTTTCTGTATTCTTTATTTAATTATTCCGAGATCGAGATCTCGCATACTTTTCTTCTTCTCCTTTTCAAATCTCAAGAAATTTTGCCACTCGGTTCGCAATTGCAACTAAAACTGTAAAAATCTGTGAACAGGCTTTTACAGGAATTGCAATTGTCTAAGCTTGTTAAAAATGGCCTTGGACGAGTATCCCTTATATGGAATTAATTCACTAAAAGAGCAGGAAAATCTTGCCGTGACGAGCCGTGGCGTTCACCATCTGTTTCCCCCGTGTAATATCGACAAAAGCTTGCGAAGAAGTCAAGGTTTCGAGATGAAAAAGAAAAATTTTCTTTCAAAGTTTGATTGCCGCTGTTGAATCTAAATAATTGGAACAATATCAGCTTATGCTGATTCACCTGAAATACTAGGCCAGGTATGAAGAACTTGGCTCATGTGTAGTTCTCAGTACTGGACGAAATGATGACTGGAGCAAAAGAGGTAAAGCGCAAACTGTTGTGGACTAATCGGTGACAACACGAGTTTAAGGTTCCCATTATAATAATCGAGGAGACTCCGAGAAAAAAGTATACCCAATGTATAAAACTTTGCTTTATCAAGTTTTGAGTAAAACAATTACTGCAGTTGTTAGGAGAAAATCTAGCTTGCGTGATACGTTTTCAATGGTGCGTATGTCTATGACAGTGTTTTGTTGTGCAAGGTGTTTTTCATACTTACCGTTTAGAAGTTTTTCTATGATTATTTTCGAAGATAATTTCTTCTTTTTGTTTTCAATTTTGGTGACCACTTACGAACAGGTACAGAATATAATATTTCAACTTCAAACGCACCCTACAAAAGCCCTCTATACTGATTAACTTTGCCTTAATCGATCGCGCTGCATCCGGTTCAGTGGCCAGCTACATCTATTTTCAGAGAAAAAAAAGTTTTATTCAAGAGTTTTGCAGTTTGTAGTCTTGAACTTGGTTGAAATTTGATCACATGATATTTAATGAAAAATAAATAAATATATAATTCACTGATTCAATAATCAATGTTCTTAGACGCAAAGTAATCTAGTACTCAGATCGTACATATGCACCGCTTATCCGCAAAAGGTCTGGGTACGAGACTGAAAGTAATCATTCAACCTCTACCTAAAAAAGCTCTCATGAAAAAAAACGTTTGAATTCACTTACAATGTCTTTGCTTGTCAATATAAATTATGTGTAATCGAAGTTTTTTAATAAGTCGTGGCTGAAATTGGGAAGGTGGCAAAGGATTGACAGACAATGCATGTGTTTTCATTATTGGCGAAAAGCAATCCGACGCAGAAAATCCGTGCATCACACGCATAATGAGGAAATTCATTTACTGCATGGGCCCATTCAGATTGCAGGATTTGATTACTCCAACGCCCTCTTGTGCACCGAGTCAAAAGCATAAATAACATTCATGAACATTTGGTAAACAGCAACGCTAAATACTGATATACTTATTAATATTTGAGTCTTTTTTATTGCATAAGTTAGTTACAAATTGAAACGCACTGCTTTTCTTAATTTTTTTTCACCTTTTATTAACATAGTTAGATTTAAACCTAGAACATGCAAATATGCGTTGTGTAGCGGCAGTTTTCTATTAGCAAAAATTCCAAAAAAAAAATTCAAATTTTAACGCATCGCAAAACTTGTGTCTTATGGAGGCAAATTCAACTAGTCAACAAACTTTTGCATTTTATAAAGTGGGTAATGTTGCTCTTCGCCCAAGTCTTCTTGAAATATGAAGCGATGGCGAAGTTGCTGCAATAGAGATCCTTCTAGGCTTGAAACTTTGCAGTTGAGCTCGCACGTTTTCGTTTTCTCCCTCATCTGTCAGACGCGGAAGTCTACAAACGTTGTTCTCATCTGTGAAAGGAGTATCATAAATATCATTGGAAAATTTATCTGAATGGCTCTTTTTCTTAACTGAGCCCAGGGAAGACACACTGATGAGTTCAGGGTCCTGTTTGTTGCTTGGACTCAAGGATCTTGGATGAAAATTTAGCCTGTCAGAAAATTGACGCCAAATAGGGGCGTCCTTGCCCTCGTCAGTTGAAGGGGCTTTCTGCCGCCCAAAACTCACTGAACGAGTTCCTGTCGTCTCAATATTTGGCAAGCTTAGTCTTCTTTTTGCCCTTTCTCTGATGAATTCTCTTTTCCTCTCCGATAGCTGGTTTAAAGTCATCAGTTTCTCTTTGTCTAGTTGTCGCTCAATGACTGAGAAGTTCTCGTCGAGTTTAACATTCCTTTGAATGGCTTTTTTCATGTCTTGAGTCAATCTTGTTCTTTTTATAAATTCCCTCATGTTTTCTTGCCAGTAAGAAAAATACGACCAAATCCTGCACTGTTATGATTATTTCACAAGTGAAGTCTATAGTGTCTCGCAGGTCTGTTTTGAAGTGTTTTGACTTAATTTTACAGCCAGCGAGCACGAACAATCAAGACATGTTTCGCAATGAAAAGAATTAATTAGCTTCACAGATTGATTTTAAAATTCTCCTTACATTTTTACACCAAGCTAAGGCTGAAGGACCTTGTGGGGTCGTAAGAATTCAACACATTGTTATACAGACATTTTTCTATAAATAATGACCGTGGTTCCAAAATGACGAGGACTCGAAGATAAAGCTTAAGCACACTGGACTTGTTAACTTGCGCTTAATTGGATTTGATCATTGTGTTCAATTACACTTGACGTATTGATGAACAAGGAGAAAAGTTTTTTACTCGAAAGATTAGAGGGGTTTTAGTCAATTGCAGCGGAAAATCTTGCACTAACTCAACCGGTGAAGCTTAAGACAGCTTAATGACTTAATTGATCGCTTTTTTTTTTTTAATAAGAGGCTTTTTGACGCTATTGTTCGCTGGGTTTCAAGAGGGACATAACAATGAAAATATTTATCAATGCAAAATTTAACATTTATGACCCGAGTAAAGTTGCTCGGTTTTTTACCTGAAATTTTTGAGATAATCCTGCCCATATTTACATGTAATCAAATTTTAGAAAGGTAGAAAATTACAGCAGGTTTTCTATCTCTTTGAAACTATCTAAACTTAAATTATTTGAACTATTGCAGAAGCTCACAGGTTCCAGACTATTGTCACCTTGTCACCATTATCCGTGTCTAATGTTCTCGGCCACTCATGCGTTGAAATTGTTGCTTTAGAAGCTTTGATAAAAACAAAGTAATTAATTTCCAGCTTTAATTACAGTCAAAGGTAATATATATCTTTAAAATTAGCTTGAGTGCCGTGGTTGATTTTACGCGCTTTAGATTCCTACGTCATATATACCCTTATGCTTCGGTAATTTTTGTAGCTGTATATGAAACTTGGAATCCAATGCAATGAAAATATCAACCTTTTAGACAAGAATAGCAAAATTAAATGAAAACGTGGGGGGGCTTTTATTCTTCTCAATTACCAAATGATATTATTATCACACACTAATTATTTGTTTATCATATCGCTTTTTTACCGTTCTCGGAACGTTTCATAGACCGGTCGGCTTTGCGTTTTTGTTTTATGTCTTTAGGCTCATTTATCCACTTTTGAAAAAACTACTGAAAATGAACACAGACTGCACCAAAACGGAACATAACATGTGATGTAACATGCATGTCGTAATATTTTGACGTGCCAAAGGTGAGGTTGCATTTCTAAGCTAATTTCTTCACATATGGTCAAGAGTAATGGTGTACGTGTATTTTCTCTAGTCATATTCAGCTGGTATCCTAAGTAAATGTAACTAAACCAAAGGATGCAGCTGAAATTGATGTTGTCTTCTCGTGCCGCGTGATACACTTCCGCGATGCTCACGTTTCCCCTTTTGTTGCCTCTCTGACACAGATCACATCATGTTTAGGCTTATTCAAAGATAATAATTTGCAGAGACACGGATTGTTCCTCATGGGAATCATTCAATGTAGTGGTGTGAAAAATAGCAATCACGATTTCCAAATTGGGTTCCTTTTCACTCTAACCATTTCGATTCATAGTCAATTTTTGGTGAGGAGTCAACACGAAAGTAAACGAGTAGAGAAGGGCTTGTGTCTCAGGTTCCAACTGGTTTCATGAGTAAACGTAGCGAAGCTTAAGGGTGTGGCTGACATTGATGTTCCCTGCTCGTGCTGCGTGATACACTTCTCCGATGCTCACGTTTGCCCTTTGTTATCTTATTATCGTTGGACCCTGATCCCGATATTCAAAAATAATATGCAGGGACACAGGTTATGTTCCTCATGGGAATCATTCAAGGCTCAGATGTTATTAATAATAATTAAACCATCACGATCTTGAAATTGGATTCCTCTGATCCTTTTTCGGTGCACAATAAAATTTTTGGCATGGAGTCTAAGGAAAATCTCAACAACCGAGTAAAAGGGAAGAAACTTTTCTGTTTAAGCGATCAAGTGTTCCAGAATATATAATCGCGGCGTGTTAAGTCCTAAAAGAATTCACAAAGGTGTCATTCTTTTGTCAAATCTTTTCAATTCAAAGCTATCCAAATATCCACTTAATCTTATTAAGCCTTTGTGTTCGCAAGAGCTTTGATCTTCAAAGCGGCAATTTAGCGGTTATCATAATTATTACTTTCGGGCTTGTGCATTGTGCATTGCTGGTTTTTAGGGGGGGGCTGCTAAATGATAAGAAAATTTTTCGTGCTCAAATTTATTTCTGTTTGATTCGGTAAATGTCTCAAAACTAATGATGTTCTTATTTAAAGAAAGTACAACGCTTTATGAGGAATACGCTGAGACGTCTGTAATGAGACGGTTTCACGATATAAATGGATGTCATTTTCAATATCAACCGGTTGTAAAACATTGAACAATTTTGATTTCTAAGAATGTCGCTACTACTGTACCCCAATGGGCAACAGGAAAAAAACTAGCGTGTTGTGAACTACGACAAGGGTTGTCATTAAGATGAGAAAATAAATTTGAACTCATTTTTTAATCACTTTCTTCCAGAGACTAATACAGGAGTCAACATTGCTAAAAAGAACGCTCAAATTTTTCCAAGGTAATTAACCTCTTTTCATAAATTATTTTCATTGATCAATAATCTTGTAAAAGTGAATTAACAATTATTTTGACGAGTGTATTTGTCAATAAGTAATATCCCAGTTTGTGTGTATTCGTTTGAAAGTGAAGCCACCAAGCGCGTATCGCCTTGGACTACCTCGGTATCGTCGTCGAATCTTCTAGAGTTGATGCATGGTTGCTCGCCTTTTGAATCGGCTTCTAATGCTCGGATCACGTGGAGTTTCGAAAGCAGCGAATGAAATTCGTCTTGATTTATGAATCTCTGGGCCACATTTAGCGCTTTGGTGATTATCATTTAAGCTGGGTAGTTTATCTATGTAACTGGCTCGAGAAGATTTCCTTCCATTCTTCAACGATATTTTCCCAGAAAGTTCTAGACTTGTTTCACCTACTTCTGCTTGATTATTCTTTGTTTTCCTTGAAGCCGAACACATTTCTCCACTTGCAGCGCACGTTGGAATGTGTTCATTCATCATTCCAAGATCATCAACGGATATTTTCCGCCTAAACCTCGACCGATAATTTTTTTTTGCCGTCCCTCTGATAAAAGCCTCTTTTTTACCCCAAACCTGGCATAGCGCTAACTGTCTATCGTTGTCCAACTTCTCCAAAGTAAATGTGAGTGTTTCATCTTCTTTAGCATTCTTTTCAATAGCTTTCTTCATAACCAGCGTTGGCAAAAGGTATCTTGGTAAAGGTTCCTGCCTCATGTTTTAACATACCAAATGAGGAGTGCAGCGTTGCCACCGGCTCCAAAAGGTACAAGGGTTGATCGCCCTCAACTGAACGCTGATTTGTTGCTTTTGTGAAATTGTCATACTCCCTGTGGTCCCGTTGGGGTTAGGGTTTCGGAATTACCTAATGAAGCAGCCATGGATGATAAAATTCAACAATGGCCTAGTCTTAAATAGATTTGAAAGATGCGCAGTCAACAGTACACTTTAAAAAGATTCATTCTTTTACTCTTGAATGTTTAATCCTGTTTATTGTTATGTCAATTTTTTCGTATTTCTTTTCTTGTTGTAAGTTAACATTTTATGCGTCGTGGGTACAGATCTCTTGACTTTCGGCAATGTTTGACTCATTCTGAAAATAATCCATTTTTAGACTTCTCATTACATTAAAGTTGTCGACCAAAACTTAGCCAAATCAGCCAATAAAATAATCAGCACTAACATTTAGTTAGGGTTAACTGCTATTTAATCCAATTATCCTTTATCGTTAGTAATTACTCACCTTAAAGGGTCTTACTAACTTTATATCGTCAAAGGTGATTAATAAAGGGGGTTTCATTAACTAACCGGCGATCTACCACCGCTTATAAAACTTATAAGACCTCTGATCGCAGTCTGTTTAGCGTGCAATTAAGCTTTCGTGTTTGTTCACAGCTGCCAAAAACACCAAAGGCTTATGGAAAAAGTTGTGGAAACCCCTGATAAATAACTTTTATCCCTGTAACTCCCACGATCTAATTGATAATTCTCCCCTTTAAGTGCTACACATTTCCTTGCAAATTGGTCGTAAGAATTTGGTGTTTGATCAGGTAAAGAACTCCTACCTAATGAGTAAGTTAGTGTTAACAACTGAGTTGAAAACGTAAATTAGCCACCGTAAAGGGTAAATAAGCTGACGTTTTGAGCGTTAGCCCTTCGTCTGTCGCTCTGACGAAAGGCTAACGCTCGAAACGTCAGCTTTTTTACCCTTTACGGTGGCTAATATACGTTTTCAACTCAGTTGTTAACACTAAATTACCTGCTATACTCTCCCACCGACGCAGCACCATAGTTTCTTTAGAAACTTATCCTTTCATACCTAATTAGTTTGAATATTCTCATTACCTGTTTGCTGGATAATGTATGAATATTATAGGGAGAAGTTACGCGATAATCACTTCGGGGAGTTCAAGAGCTAGGCGATAATTAACTGCTTAGCGTTGGATTAGTTTGCGTGTCCTTATGGTGCTATTGAGGGGGCCTGGCACCTCAAGAATATGAAGCAACAACGTAGTAACTACCCGTACTAAAAACAATCATGACATCAGTAATGTTGTGGGAAACAAACATTTAGATTTAAAATCCTCTCATTGCAGAAATACAAATTGTCATGAATGAAAAGCTCTATTGTTATTATCAAGATGAAATGTACAACCATAACTTTTTTCGTCTACGATTCCCTCTGAAAGAATATAGCTGTTAGAATGGTTTGACTTCACAAATAAAACGCAATTTGAATAAAGCTGGCATTCAGATCAATAAAACCTTTGAAAGGTTCGAGAATTTTGCATTTGTCAACTTTATCGATTGCTTCATATCATGGGCTCCTGTTCATATCCATCGTTCTAATTACTTATTGCACGCGCGCTTGAGTCAGTGTCATATGAGGTAGACATGTGTAGAATAACAAGCGAAATTTTTAGGAACCATCTTGCCTTGTGCTAGCCTACGTGTAGCCGCACCCTCCCCCGCTCCGTTTCACCTTTGGGGGGGGAGGGGGCGGCTACACGTAGGCTAGCCTTGTGCAGATCAGTCTTTCCGTGCCAATTTTGCTATGACAAACAATACTGGACCACTTAATTACGTCTTGTTAACAAGCCGCTTTTAAACCAGCAAATCCAATGTTTTCTCGTCATTACGTAAGAAAAGTATAGTTTTTCACGCTCAGTAAATTGCAATGATTACTCGTGACTGTGACATTGATTCTCTGAACGCGTAGCATTGTTTTATACTTCCAGAATAACTTAATTGATTTGTAGTGGTAATTTGAATACGTAATTACCACTAGGTAAGATCCTAAAATGAAACTCTTCTGGAACTTTGATTTTTGTTTTAATAGGGAAGCGTGTAACGTTCCTCCAAGCTCTTCGATTTCTGTTTGTTTCAAGATTCTTCGGACTTTTCGACTGAAAAACTTGTGTGATGAAAGGGTTCGGCTTGTAACGATATCCTTCTGTTAAGAACTTTTCTATATCTAGAGATCGTTGGGTTTCCAAAGCTTCTTCCTTCACTGGCTGGAATGAGAAGAGGGTCACAATTACTGCCTCCTAGATTAGTGCCAATCATTTGTAATGATACTGCAGTTTGGAAAATGTGATGAATCGTTTGACGCCTGAGCCATACTGGTTGTCCTACGGGATCTGAGCTGAATGCTTGGTCAACATCCGCCACAGACCTTCTCCTAAGGATCGGTTTTCTACAGCTTTTGTTAGGGCTAGGCGGCCACGAGTGTACTTCTGCGTTTTTTCCATCAAAGTCTTTTTCTTTATTGTTGCTCTGTAAGGAGTCAGATTCAGCCAAATGTTTCTTTTCTCTCTCAGCGTCTGTTATGTTTAATTTTTCTGGCCTCTGTGTCACCAGCTTACAAGAGGGAGAAATCTTTGAGAACTCTAGTTCGTCTCGCGCCTTTCTAAAACTAAAAAATAACAGCCGCTGGTTCAGAATGTGTCTTGAATAAACATCTGGCATACTTTCTCTTCGTAGTCGCCATTGCTCCTTCAGGAACGCATCCTTCTTCAAAGTGATTTCGTTTAGTGCATCACGTTTTTTTAAGTCTACATCGAACAGCCTTTTTATCAGTTCTTCCTCACAGGCAACATTTTTCTGCACTGCCTTTCGTATGTTCTTACTGAGTTTTATGTTAGGTAAGAAAACCTTTCTATTTGACAGAGACATCCCTTTCTCCAAAGGTTCAGTTCCGTGGTTTGTCAGATGTAGTCGAAGATTTGTCGTATTACGTTTGTTTGCTTTAAAACGCTATGTTGATCACGTACAATATATTTCGCACGTTGCCATTGGATGCGGTACACTCAAATAATTCCTTTAATGCAGTTTTCGTGTTAGTTCAGGGTAGCACGATTAATGAAACATTCAATCAACCAGAACAGCCTCTTCTACGCACCAAAAGACTGGATTACCCGCCCCGAATAATCATTATGAGAATTTTTTGGTTGCATGTTTAACTGCAGAAATGGTCGTCATACGAAAATGCTGATCTGAGCCCTAAAAGTTCAATACAATGACTGCATTTAACATGAACAATTACCCTTGAATTACTTCATTAGAGTGAGTTAAAAATTGGAACTCCGTTTAGGCCTGTTTTGTTTCCGAATCAGTAAATTACAAACTATTCTTTCCATGGGCGATTTTGCAATCTTTTCATTCCAACTGAAGTGCGCCGCCGAGTTTTTCACATCCGATGGAAATGGCGAATGAAATCGTTAAGAAGGATTGAGAAAGTAATAAAAAATATAGAACTTTAAACCATAAGAAATGAGTTCTTTTTGGGTTTATGTGCTCTTAAATATCTCGTTTTTACGCCAAGCTTTTAGCTGATGACCAAATGGCTGTAGGAAACTCATCACAAAGGAGGAAAGAAGCGGTCACATTCAAGCATGCACAACGTTTTTTGTTCATTTCCAACTGACTTCATTCCCAGGAGCATTTAAAAATAGTGCGAGATGTAGTACGCATGTACATAATGAACAGTTAACCGAAAAAACGTTGCAAAATAAGCCACTAGAAATGGATTAGCAGAGGGTATTTTGGAACTGCTCTCCCAAAACAAAATGCAGCACGTGCAACGTAAAGGTGCTGGGATTATTCACGTTTGCGTTCAAAATCTTTTGTTTTGAGAAATTAATAAAATTTAATTTGTATACCATTTCTTAAAATATACTAATCCTGCACATATATATGTTTAAACCACCGATGACCATTGTTAAGTCGTAATCTCTGTATTGTCATGAAGTCAGCAGAATTTTCTTTGTTAGAGAATAATGAGGTCTCAAGGGCAACAGAGAGTGGTCATATTTTAAGAGCACTGTGCACGTTATTGGATAATGAGGTGTCGTCTTTTTTTGTCAATCGGTAACCCAAAATAAATGTTGTTTTTAGTGATGCTATTAAGCCGTTAATATTAGTTTCAAACTCGTTTTTTTAAGTTGACATGTTATCTATATGGCAAAACAACCTGCATATTTTCAAATGATTCTGGCCGCATGTATCTTAGAGAGTGCTTTAGGCTAGCGCGCATGCCCGATTGCCAAATCTCTGACTCTATGTTTGAAATGCGAAATGACCGAGCGATAATGACAAAGGAACCATGGGAAGGTATCAAATTGCCCTAAAGATTACATCATCCGCTAACTGACGATTCACGTTTTTACCCATTTAGTATGTTAAGGTTAAAATCTCTAAGCAGAGGAATCAATCAAGAAATCTGGGACAAGTACCGTGTTTATTAATCAGCAAAAGCTGATTAATTACAAAGAGATATCTAAACGTCAATTCCGATCCACAAAAATTTATGCGTACTGGCTGAATGTTTTGATCAAAAGGGTAGTCGTACAACAGTTTCCTCTTCAGAGAAGTGTTTCTCGGTTGAAAATGGCATTAAGTTATGAAGTGAAGTGTGTCGTCGATCAAGTAGTTTTGATTTGTTGTCCACGTGCACAAACGTTCCTGCGGTGCCGTCGAAAAAGATTTGTAGCCTCATAGTTTCGCGATTTTGTCCAGAAATCAGTAACAACTTTGGGAGTTGGAAACGGCTTATCAATTTTAAGACTTTTCACTATTAGTTCTTCTTCTTTACATATAGCCTGTATTGGAGATGCTGGCAGGCTGTATCTTTTGGCCCTGACGGGAGGTAGTTCAATTTTGGAAGAAGCGAGGCTTTCTTCAAAAGAAGATGCTCTTCGTAGCCCCTGTGCAGTTCCAAGTTTGCGCCGACGGTTGCAAAGGTTAATATCAAGGCGTGCCTTCTCGTTGTCTTTCTTATTCGTCAAATCTGTGTGTTCGAAGAACTGACAATTTAGGTTTATATTGCTTTGAATTTCGCGTCTCATAATCATTTCTCTTTTGAAAGCTTTCTGTCGTCTTGATACTTGCTCGAGTGCGACTTTTTTCTCTTTCTCGATTCGTTTAAGAAGAAACGAAAGATCTTCATCGTTTTTCGCGTTTCTGTTTATGGCTTTTTTCATATCGGCGGTTGGGAGGAGAAATCTTGGAAGTGTTTCTTTCATGGTTGTTAAAGAATTTGAGACGCAGAAAGATATGTTGTTGTTGATCTACCTGCTCGTCAAGTAATGCAACTAGTCTGCATTGTAAATAGGCTTAAAATAGTTCCTTAAATAAACAGAAAATGTTTGGTGAGTATAATAAGCCATTGTTCGCTGCTTTGTTTTGGAAGATTAAAATGAGCTCAGAAGAGCTTAGCAACCTCCCTGGCTGGTCTTCACACTAATTTGTGAAGGTCATGAACACGGAAAAATTTGTTAGAATTCTGAGTCATTACCTGTAATGTTAAAAAATACTACTAGTGAGGTGAACGAGGATTTTTCATGTTAAAATGGTTCAGGCAACTTTTACTTGACAAGAAATTAAGCAACTGTTTTAAAATTCATATTTCGCAACCTAACCTCCATTAATTTAAGCTACGATCTTGCGAAATGTAATGAGAAGAGGAGGCATTTTGGTGCAACATTGACTCATATTTCAATTCATGCTCAGTTTATTCGCCGACATTTTACGCTTGCTGAACAAAATTATCCGGGAAACAAAGACTTCTAACCATTTTATGGAGGAAATGTATGGATGTTAATTTTGTGGCATACTGAGCTGATACCGCAATAGCCGAAACTTTATGAAAAGTAAATGCAGCCCTTACTGAAAATTTTAGTGTTGAGTTATTTGACAAGCACAGTATAAAATACAGTTTTCTCTGCTGAACTCTTCAATTACATACTGCGCTTGTGAAAGAAAACAATACATTTTGAGTACTCTCTATTGTAACATCTAAACTTAGTCAATATGTGTACTGTAATGTGCTGTACCTTTTGTGTTATTGTCCATTTTTGTATATGGTCAAACCGTTATGCACGTAAAATACCCAAACTACACTCTAGAAACCGTTCAATTATTTACTGGAAATGTGATTTATTCTCCGGCTGAGATCCGGCTGCAATACATCTTTGTCAAAATCACGAGTTAACCACGAGTGTGTTTACAGATAGAATTCGACGACACGAAGACTTGTTGCCAAATAATCAAAATATGACAAAATTTAAGAAACGAACTAGCCATGGGTTATACTTTTCCATGAATCACTGAAGTGGTCACGGATTGTTTACCTTGCTAACGGTCTTATTGCAACACACTTCCGGGTCGCCTGCGCTATCTGAAGATTTTCTCAGCTCACGTTTTTCACACGTTCCATTTGCTAACAAAGATGCAGCCAAAGAACAGATTTAGACGTTCTGCGACGTGCATTGAATACATAATGAGCCCGCCCTTCACTGAGAAAATAGTAAGGCGAAAGAATTGTTTTTTCCACGGATCCAACTCGAAAAGTGAACGTTAAGCATGTACCACAAATAAATGCACTTGCTCATGACTGCTCATATCCTCACTCGCTGTGAAACTTCCCAGTCCTGAAGTCTATGGTCAAGCCCTGAAAACAAGGTAAGCAGTTTCTTTTCAGACATGGAAATAAGTTTCTATCCTTTCAAGCTAATTTTAGATACGCCATTTATAAAGCAATCGATCACATATTGTTCAAGTGACATTTGTGTGAAGTCAATTACTATTAATTCGCAATTTTAAAAGTAGATAATTACATGTCTACGAAATTGCCGTACAGTTTACGAAGACAAATTACCGGTTTAGATTGGTAAGTAGCGAGTGCAAGTACACATTGTGTTTATAAAAATTATCGTACAGTTTATTCAAAACAGCGCTAAATTTGCCGGTACTTGTAACGTGTGGTACAAAGTTAGAGCTAATGGGATTAGCGATTACAACATAAAAAAAAACTAATCAAACTATGTGTTCCTATTCAACCTACCTTCCAAACGAGCGCTGATGCGGCACTAAAATACATATAAGATCCATCATTCGAGAAGAGAATTGTTCTTTTTTGTGTCTGAACAATACGCGCTTACAAGAATGCACTGTTACGATATAAAAGCGAGTACCGACAGCTCTCTAGTATCATTGCCTAACACATAAACATCCATCGTATTGAAACACACTCTTTATATTTCTGTGTACAGACATGAAAGACCAGTTGCCCCGTTACCTCATGCCTACAGCTGATATGAGGAAAGCCATCGATAGGAACACCAAACAAGATGAAGACCTATCGCTTGTATTAGAACAGCTTGACAAGGAGAAGAAGATGGCTTTGAAGCAAATTGTTAGAAGACAGGAAGCTTTCAAGAAGCAGATACTCAAACGGAGAGAAAGTTTGCCTCAAAAGATCAGCGCAGTTCAGGTTTACGGGAATGGACAAAAACCTGCTGATAGAGAACGACCACACCATGAAGAGTTAACTCAAACCAAACGTCCAATCCACAGAACCGTTTCTTTGGATGAAACCTGCAGCACTTCCAGTGAGCCTCTATCCGTGCTAATCAAAAGGCACAGTCTTCCAGCCTCACCATTTCCACGCCATAACAGTGCAGACTCAATCCACTTCACCTCTAAGCCAGGCGCTGTGCTATCTTCGCGTCAACAAACAGATAACTTCCTGATCATGCCCAGCATTATATATCACCAAAAGAAATCCTGGCAAGAATACAAAGAGGGAGACCCTAAAGATACGACAGTTGACCAAACTGGCACAAAATTACAGGGTAATACTTTTAAAAATGCGATTCGCAGGCATTCAGACGTCACCGCCATGACCGCTGTTGAAACGACGAGTAATCAAAGATTGCTTCAAAGACGAAAACTTAGTGAATACAGTGAAGTGTCTTCAAATAAGACGTACATTAATGAGTCCTTAACGAGACTGTAAACGTGTTTGTGAACGAGTATTTTTCAGTAGTTTTTCTATGAGGATTTTTTTTGTAAATAAGACTAGACTAGCTGAATGAAATTAAAGTGTGTTATGAATGACAAGTTCTGATACTTTTCGCGTTTTTGAACACACACGTTGTTTCTTTATGAAAGATCGAAACGGAATCGGCCTAAAGCGGTTGTGCAAATAGCCAAGTTAAATTCTTGCATTGCCGTAAATGCACAAACATTGCTTCCCAAACTGAACACCGTAAACGAATAATTTTGAATGAAGCAACTGAGTTCGCCCCTTGCAGCCTCCGTCTACAAACGCTTCATTTTCGACATTTGGAAACTATTCCATTTTCGGAAAAAAGTTAAAAAAAAAAAGATTTGTTGTGTGCGTGCAGCTGAATAAAACAAAATTCGAAGTGCTTGGAATGGATTTAACGAACATCCACTCGCAAACCGTTTTGGAAAGGAACAGGGAACTAAAGTATGGTGACCGAGATAGACACTAATATTCTCTAAGTCCAATTTTTACGCGCTCAGCCTCACATACCGCTGAGATCAGCAGCGTTGAAACTCCATCTTGAATATAAAGAGCGAAAAATAAAATAAAATCTCAGTTGAGTCCATGCAAGATTTAATTTTCACTTGTATAAAACCTGGAGTAGGATGTAATGGGTGCGTGAGCACCGCGCGCACACTCGAGGCACGTAAGTACCTCCGGCCTGATTGTAGTCCTTGAATAGAGAAAAATACCGCTTTCAATTCCATAGCGTTTAAAAGAACAATGCCGGCTACGAGATTAACGACAGAAGAGTAAATCACAATCTTAATGAAAACAATAGCGTTTAAAGCCTGCTACTAAGAAAAACGTGTAACAAACTCCTCGAGAGATGAAGCGCGTGAAAATCGTGCACGGTATGCGAGAGCAGTACACCCGATCGTCTGTATCATGATTGGTTTTGGATAACTTGACACAACTGAACAATCAGCCGTAGTTCAAAGAACATAAATACTGAAATAATCTCATCATGAGTCCAGCCGTTTTTCCCGATTAATCCATTTCAGGTTACGGGACCCTGAGGAGCCTCCTGGTTCCTCAGGATCAGGGTTTCAATCTGCATGCGAGAGTTTCTCATCCGAGCGACACTCTGAAGCTCCAAGCAGTAACTTCTTGTAGAGCAGCTTGAAATTGTTGGAGTGAAACTAATCAAATAGGTTCTTTCATGACTCGTTAAGAACAAAGATTTTAACTTAATGGGATTAAAAGCCCCGGGGACGCTAAAGGACATAACTGAGTAATTATTCACGCGCTCACTCGCTGTTTCTTTATGATGAGGCGATGTTTTAAGGGGGCGGGTAGGGGGCGGGTGCTGAGATCGGTTGTCCGTGAAGAGAAAAAACCTAACTGAAAACAGGTTATAAGTTATCTCTGAGCTAATAAATAAGTGCACAAGATCGGTTCTAATCTTTATTGGAAATTTTGCCTTTTGTGGGAATGATCTTGAGATCTTGAATCCCCTTTCCTGTAACCTTATAGAATTTCCTAAATAGTCACGCGTTTTATTTGAAATTTAGGCTTAATTTCATCGCTGCAGATTCATAAGTATAAAACTTTTCTTACTGTGCACTGCAAAATGCGACAAACTCTTTCAAATTGCATCCACCGCTTCAAGCTCAAACTTTCAAATACAATTAAGTATCACTGAATTTGAACTCTTTTCAAAATTACATGTCAAAGTATTCTAAACAATATAAAGTTATTTAGAGAAGTGAAAAACTTGAAATCTTTAATCAAGATTTAAGAGACTACATTTTTTATTCGAGTAAGGAATGTGAGCGTGAATACTACGGTTAAGCCCATTGTCAATTCCCATCCCGCCAAAATTTTCTCCTTAAGCTGTGCTTTTGAAAACGCTTTTCTAAGTAAAAAGACTGCAAAACGCCAGCTATGTATACGCCGTTATATGTGGAAAGAAAACGTTTTGAGTACGAAGCTTTGCGAATACGCTGACACCGAGGCAGTCCCTTAATATACCTGGGCGGGATGATTAGAATATTATGCTCGCATCTAGACAGTTCCAATTTAGATTCCTAAGCCATTCATAATGCCATCCATCACAATTTGTCAAAGTGACTTTGTTTGAGGTCAGTTATTGTTCGTTTGAATTCGTAGTTCGATAATCAGTAATATTTCATCGAATATGCCGCACAGGTCACAGGGAGGAATATTAACGGTTCAGTTTGGTAGGTAGTGAGTTTAAGTTAACAAAATCATGCAAAGTTATTGTGCAGTATACTTAAAACAGCACTAAATTTGCTTGCTTCCAGTAAGTAAGGGCTTTATAATACAAAGGTAAAGCTAATGAGATTAGTGATAATAACATTGAAAATTAATCAGATAACTACATATACGTCGAGGATCATTCTAGTGTAATTTCCACCGCTTTACTTTGACCAATTTCCTGCTTGCGGAAAAGGTATCTGATAGTCATCTGTGACAACATTTCCATCATCTTTTACGACATAAACAAGCTCTTTTTTTTTTTTTAATAAACCTGCATTCCTACAAAAAGATTATGCAGTACTGAAGCGCCGATAAAATCTTTTATTGGAGAGTTGAATTATTATATTTTGTTTCTGAACAATACACTAAGAAGAATGCATCTTCACCATATAAAAGCAAGCACTAAGCTTTGTAGTATCATCGCTTAACACCTCACACATTGTGAACGCACTCAGTGTATTTCTGTGTTCAGACATGAAGGACCAGTTGCCCCGTTACCTCTTGCCTACAGCTGATATGAGGAAAGCCATCGATAGGAACACCAAACAAGATGAAGACCTGTCGCTTGTGTTAGAACAGCTTGATAAAGAGAAGAAGATGGTTTTGAAGCAAATTGTCAGAAGACAGGAAGATTTCAAGAAGCAGATACTCGAACGGAGAGAAAGTTTGCCTCAAAAGATCAACGCAGTTCAGGTTTACGGGAATGGACAGAAAAATGCTGATAGAGAACGACCACACCCTGAACAGTTGACCCAAACCAAACGTCCAATCCGCCGCAGAACTGTTTCTTTGGATGAAACTCTCGCCTCTTCAAGTGAGCCTCTATCCGTGCGAAGCAAAAGGCACAGTCTTCCAGCCTCACCATTTCCACGCCATAACAGTGCAGACTCAATCCACTTCACCTCTGAGCCAGGAGCCGTCCCATCTTTGCATCGACGGAAGGACAACGTGTCGATCGTTGGAAAAAAAAGAACAAGCAAGAAAGCTTGATGCAAGAGAAATTAAACAACGAAGTTGAAGCCCCCAACGACTTGGCAGCCGAAGAAGCTGGCTGAAAATTGCAAGCACCTTTGGAGATGTTGTTAGTCGCTGCCATGGTGGCAGTTATGAACAGTAAAAGTTTGCTATATATAGCAAGACTTAAATGTACAAAAGTGGTTGCTTGAAATAATTTCTTAACGTGACTACAAAAGTTTTTTTAGGCACAAACCTTTTTGTAAATAAGACTAGATTTGCTGAATAGAATAAAATTGTCTTGAATGAACACTTCAGGTCCTTGTTATATTTTCAAAGTTTACGATTTTGTTTTCTATACCGAGGTACTGAAGGAACAGCCATGAACCAGGTTATTCTTGTCGAAGATGCGGGGATCTTGCTTTTTAAGGTAGAAAACCACAAAGCATTTCTTTCTGAAAGTCGGTAGTGATTGGTCACTTCCCTTTTTCAGCCTTCGTCTGTAGATTACTCATTTGTTAAATTCCAAAACTACTTAATCTAGGAAAAAAATGAATGGAAACATATAGATTTGAAATTCATTTATCGCAAACTTGTAGAGAACTATGAAAACATCGCAGTCCTCGATATGGGGTCAAACAATACTCAGCCACGAAACTGTTAGTGCGAGTGAGCTGACGGGTGGTTAAAATATTTCACGCGTCTGCCATATCGTTGAGATCAGCAATGTCAAAACTCTCATCCATGGTTAAATAAAAAGAATGACATCCACTTTTCACCTCAGTTGAGTAGATTTAAGATTTTTAAGCTACTGTTAGAAAACCTGACGAAAGATGTAATCGTTGCTTGAGTGCTAATGAATACAAGTCACGTTAGTCTGTCAGGCTTGGTACTAATCCCTGGATTACGGAAAGTTCCGCTTGAATATCAGAGCGTTCAAACTAACAATGCCTGACAAAAGATCACAGACAGAAGGGTAACTCACAATTTCAATAAAACAATAGTCTTATACAAAGGAAAACGTGTAACAAACTCCTCGAGATATAAAGCATGTGAGAATCGTGCAGTACGTGATTATTGACTGCACACCCGATCACCTATGTTATGCTGTTAATCCGTGTTAAAGAGAGGGCTTCACAAAAGATTTGAAAAATAAATCGTAGATGGTGTAATTATTGAATTCATCTCATCGAGAGTCCGTACACTTAATCTAATTGTTCCATTTTAGATCCACCCTAAGTAGCAATCAGAAGGCCCTGCTTATAGAAATTGTGTGCCTACTAACTTTTTGTTTTGAAAAAATTGGGTCATAACATTTTTATGTGACTCGCTTGGTATGCTTTTTTCGATGGGATGGAAAAGGTGCGAGGTACATTGGGCAAAAGCAAATTAAATATCACATGGTTACTCTTCGTATCTCTTAACCTCAGTTTATTGTGGTAAATTGTAGGACTACAAAGGGTGACAACTCGTTAATTTTCCACCCACACTCGCTCGATATCGCGTGCAAGCCTTTCTGTCGAAGGTAATTTTAAAAATCGTTGCATGTGGATAGGATAATTTTTAAAAACAGATCGAAAAACTACTTGCGTCCTGATAGTAAAAATGTGTACTCAGTTATTTGTGCGTTAGTATAGCGTGGAGCGATGAAAATTAACGTTAACTAAAAGTGCATGCCGGCGAGCTCGCTCAAGTCTTTGGATATATTTTATCATGTTTTTATTTCCAACCAACAAATACATTTAAGATACAACACTAACAGCTTTTGGGAGAACAACAGAGAAAATCGTATTAGTGCAAAGGTCTTCGAGCCACATTGAGCAAGCGACAATTTAGGCCTGCAATTTTAAAGTTACGTGCTGAAGAAGTCCTTCTTTGTTCTTTGCTCTCCCAAAACAGTTCGTAACGCGTCAAGGGAGTTGATTAAAAAAAAAAACGAAAATGGGAAAAAGAGAGGGTTTTTTGGATAAGTGTGGGTTTCTGATTTCGGTAGCTGCGCATTCCCGCGATTCAGTGGCCAAAAACTCCTGTGGGTTAAACTTACAGGATTTCGTGATTTTATGTGCATTCTGATCCAGTTTTATGCACTACAAGCTAGGACGTGGTACAAACTTGCTCAAAGTACCACTTGTAACGGAAAATAAAAGTAACAAACAATTTTTTATTCGGTACTCATCTTCCTTTGTGGCCACACAGGAACTCTTAAAAACCCACGCAGACCGTAACTTCACAACAGGCATTGGTCATAGATATTTAAAATAATTCCTTACAATTGATTTCCCGTACTTTTCTACTTTTTTGCTAATGCTTCTTTACCTCCCACTTAATGGCCGAATTTTGCGGGGTTTCAATTCAGAATTCTACACGGAATAGAAGTTTCATTCAAATATCTAAAATCGGATGTTGAGGCTTCGCACTTTTAACATTTTCATTTAGGTCAGGTCATACAAGGAGAGGACCTTCATGAAGCTGACTCTTGGTAACATAATGTCTCAGGAGTGGGTTTCGTGTATATCTCGTCTGAAATGACAAAAAAGCTAATCTTTATTGCAATCAAACTTGAAACAAACTGTATGTGAAATGAGGTTTTTTCAAAAATTTGATTTTATAAACTGAGCTGATCACGTAAATTGGCCACCGTAAAGAGTGTGTAAGCTGACGTTTCGAGCGTCAGCCCTACGTTGTAACTGTCGATCTGATGAAGGGCTAACGGTCAAACGTCAGCTCTACGGTAGCAAATTAATGTTATCATCTCAGTTGATAAAACTAAATTGTCTTGTTATACTCCTCCACCCACGCAGCACCACAGTTTCTTCCGAAACTTACCCTTTTAATCTGAATGTTAAATGGACTTAAGTGTACTGACGCGAAAAGTCTCGAAAAAATGGAAAACATCTTAAAACCGTATGCAATCGGACTAAGAAAAAATTATACTCCAGTAGAACTGAAGTCAGCGAAAATGAGCTAAAATTATAAACTAGAGGAGAGCCACATAGAAATCATCTTGTTGAAAAGTAGAGCTAAAGAATTAGATTCGAGGTTTCACTTAAAAATTTCATTTGCCAAACACGCTAGTCGATTGTGAAAGGAATGAAAGGCTTATCAGAAGTGAAGGAGGCTAACACTCAACCCACCAGGCTCCTCGCAGCATAAATACTTGATTAAAAGATATTTCATTGAAATGCAGTAAAGATGCAGAGCCTGACTGGCAGGCAGATAAACTGATAAACAGACATGCAGTCAGGCAGGCAGACTAACTGATGGGCATGCAGACAGACATACGGGTAGAAAGATGGACAGGCTGACAAACAAACAGCCAGACAGACAGGCAGACAGATGGAAAGCAAGAAAATACCAGTTGATATTCTCTTGACGAACAGGGGGACAGACAGGTAGACAGACAAACAAATAAACAAGGAGACAGACAGAAGGACAGACAGGCAGAAGGACAGACAAGCAGACAAACAAACAGGCGGAAAGACAAATAAGTAGACAGATAACGGGCAGACAAACAGACAGGTAGAGCAACAAACAGATGGGCAGACAAAAAGACGGATAGGCAGGCAGGCAGGCAGGTAGAAAGACAGACAGTCAAACAAGTATGCCTGTTGACACACAGACAGGTAGACAGACAGCCATACAGAAAGCTAGGCAAAGAGAGCTAGACAGATAGGTAGGCTGACAAAGTGTTATGTCTCCCTTGGAAGCTCCCAGGTGGAAACTTTATTAAGAACTTAGAAAGAATTTTATTAAGTTTCTTAAAAACATCTTGACATCTTACCTAAATACGATTCTTACAAGAACCTTAAAAGATCTTGTAAGATTCTTGCGCAAAGATTCTTATAAGAATTTTCAAAGATCTTGTAAGATTCTTGTATGAATCTTTGTAAGATCTTGCTTGGTGAGAACTATTCGAGGAAAATGACATCAAAGGCAACATTTGTAAAAGATCTTGCAAGATTCTTGGAAGAATCTTCCAAGACCTTGAACTATCCCCCTCTCCAAAGACCATATTCTACAAAATGTACTCAATCATACCAGTGACCAAAATTTTTTTAACCTAAAGAAAGAAATACATCTGAACAAAGTTATAAATTAAGGTATTCTTGTGTGTTGAAAATCTAAGAGTCAGCCAATTTCATTCTTGCTGATCTCCACTTTTGATATTTTCCTCCTAGAGTCAAAGCACTTTTGGTTCAAGGACTGCCTGATATTATTTCACTTCTTGTGAAGCTGTCTTTTTCTTTAATAGCTCCTGTTAAAGACAAAATTGAGAAAAGAGACAAAATAAATAATAGAATAAGTATCACATTCTTGTTCATCTGGGTCTGTTAAATGCCAATGTGGCCGATGAATCTTATTTTTTAAAAGCATTGGCAGATTAAAACTGAAAAAATAAGAATACAAAACCATACAACAGATTGAAACAACACAGAGCTTTTCCAGACAAAGAAAAATATACAGAAGAATAAAGCTGAAGAGGTTTAATTAATGGAAACACATTACCATAACATTTGAAGCCAAGTTTTTAGTTAACAGTTAACTTACAATTAGAATTAGTTAGAATCTGCGATTGGATTCAATTTTGTAATGGGACAATTAGACAAAAATGTAAAACTTTTGGCAATAGGAAGGTGAGGGAATTGTCAAGAATAATTAGTGTGATAGTGTAGTCTGGTTGTCTAGGTGAGTGTAGTCCTGAGAAGGACTGCTGTTGGTAATAGTGTCTGAAATTTTGACAACCTGAGCCGATGTCATCATCAGAGTCATGTGAATAATTGTTGTCAGACAAATGTTCTAGATCTGGTTTGTATAAACTGATTGGTCAGTTTTGCTGTTATCTTGTTGGCTGTAAGACTCAAGTGCTGTAAGTTGGTCATGATTGGTCGGTTTCAATCGCATGGTATAAAGTTAGGTTGTCCATTTGGTTTGTTTGTAATGTTAACATTGTGAATAAACAGGTTGTATGGTGCTAGTAGTAGTTGACACCTGTTTAGGTGAGTCTGTTCTAAGTTAGTGAATCAGCTTTCCAGAATCAGTAATTAAAAGTAGTTAGTGCTGTAGGTAAGGCATTGTGCATAGTCCCAGTCAATAGTGTGGTTCATAAGTCAATGCTGTCAGAAAGTTGAAATCACCTTTCCTTGTCATCCGCTTGTGTCCAGTCAGTCTAGTTGTGAGGTTTTCGCCAGTCTCTCCAATATAGAGCCTTGGCAGTAAGAACAGTAAATCTCATAAACTGCTCTCCATCTCTTCTTTGGTTTGTCCATGTCTTTCACATTTGTTAGTAACTGACATGAAAATAGAGGAAATTGGGTCAGCAATACTCAACCAGTCTTATACTCCCATGTAGCAAACATGGATTTCATGCTTTCAAGACAATTGCTGAGTACTTTTCAATAGTTTGCATTTACTCAGTTGTGCATACAGCTTATTGAAAAGCTTTTTATTGTGAAAATCAAAAGGTCATGAACACTTTTAACTGATTCTGGCAAGTCAATTGTGTACTTACCAATCAATATAAAATTTAGGATGAGCAAGCAAACCTCAAACTTACAAGCTAATCATTGTTGCCATTTGTGGTTTAGTTTTGATTTGCTTTTTTTCCTAAAAAAATCAACACTCCACCAATACTTGTCATGACTCAAAATGATGATCAGTCAATGGTCAATGTCTGGTCAAAGATAGGTTTATGTCTGGCCAACTCCTTGGATGGTCAGACATGTTGTCTGTCTTTTTTATGTGTGCAGAGAAGAACTCAATATTATTACAAACTAAGCTTAGGTCTAAAATACAGCTGTATCACTTTTATTGTATTAAATTTGAGACTGCATGTGCTATAAAAGAGTGGTACTTCCAGTATATTTACTTGTTCTCTAAGCTGGGGGGGGGGGGAGATTTATGAGATATAATGTAAGGGATACTTGTCTGGCTAAAAATGGATTGTGCCTGAGCAAAAATAGGATTGACCGGACAACATGACAGGTACCAGGTGAGAAATTATTTTGGACCTTAATTTCTGGTGTTCACAGTTTTCTAAGCTTCACAGAACTTTTCATACAACTTATTGATAAGCATTGTAATTGAATTACCTTAATTAATTCAATTGCCAAATGACCAAAAACAACCAAGTCCATTTATTAAGTGTATACAATTAAGTTGTAACTGATGAACTTGTAACACAAAATAACAAAAAATAGATATGACTAACGTAAATGGTTTTTGAATTATTAAAATTATAATGTAATCATGTACTAGCCTGAAAGTTATTTTAACTAGCCTGAGAAAAAATTTCCAAGGCACTTTATAAGAACCAATTCATAAATGAAGTGTTTTAATTAAAGAGCCACTTTATTACTTGTTATCAATGAGCTCTAATGTTAATGTAACCTTAAATAATACTTTTAAGTGGAAAGTTGTTGCCATTTGTAAGCTTTTCTTTTCTCAAAAATCTGATATCTTTTTATCATTATATTTTAAAAAATTACATCCAGTAGATTAGTCCTCTGAAAAATAAAATTTTGGGTGAGTCTCAATTTCACCCAGACATCAACAAAATTATGCACATTCCGCTGAAAGGACCATTTTGAGACATTTTGTTGTTTCAGATGAACAAAAAGATTGTGAACAAATTTCTCATTGGAGCCATCAAATCCATTTGGGCATGCAAGTTCTTTAAAAAAAGAAATACAATCCACCATAACAACTAACATTCTTTGAAATAAATCCTGATTGTTTCTATTTGTTTTGATTTGTTTTTATGTCAGAATACCTAGCAGAGCCAGTAGCAAGTTCTGTAAGGTAAGCAGTCTCTCAATTTTTCCTAACCTAATCCAAATTCATTGCATTCATATCTAATTGCACAGATCTTACTGTCAAAGTTGTTGTGGATACTTTCCTTCCCCTAATTCTAATATTTTAGATTTAAAACTATTCGACTTATCTGAAATCGAAGCAAAAAATTATAATGCCTTTAAATCATTGAACCCTCTTGAACCCTCCCAATTCACTTGTTCTCCATAATCCTGTTTCTTGCACCCCCTCACAATTGCACATAATATTCTCTTCACTGCTGCCAAGCACTGGCTGCCAATTAGAAATTCACTTGTAGTAATAATTGAGTGTGAAGAGGACCTCAGTGTATCTAATAATAATAATGATAATGAGGATTCAGTGGTGGACTTTCTATGAGGTGCCACTTTTTAGTTCACTCCTTTAGGGTGAATTGTAGTTTGGAAAGTTAGTTTTTGCAAAAGGAAGAAAACTGAAGAACTCCACAAAAAATTCTCAGAGTGAGGACAAGAACCAACAATGTACTCAACTCACAGTGGCCAATAAAGTAGGTACTGGTTTGTTTCATCTAACTTTGGATAATAAGCAGTTTTAATTTGCCAGAGTAGTGGTGTTTGTCTCATCAAAACAAAAATCACATTTGATTTTTCACCCTTCATTCAATGGAGAACCTTCAACTTTTGCCTTCTGACCTCTAGGTTCTTGTAGGTATCATTTTTAACCTTGTCCTCTAACATCTTTTAAATCAACCTGGACTTACAGACATGATTTGATACTGTTGATCCTAGTGTGACTCTTCCACAACATGAAGAAAATCAAGCTGATGCCCAGCAGATCTACTTCTTTCACAAAATACACCATAAGCTTTGTGATCTTGACAGAACATTTAAGTAAAACAAGATTATTAAGTCCATGGCCAATTTCACAGTATGATCATTGGGTATGTTGAAATGATTGATCAGCAAAAATATTTTGAACGCAGTAAAAAAGGAACAAATATTTTCTCAGCCTTAAAGAGATTTTATGTAAATTAGTTGTAGATTACAAGTGGAACTGTGCTGCTTGTAAACAAGTTACTCAACATTTGTATCTCAGTGTTCACATCCATAAAAATGACGATTCTCGAATAAATAAAATATTCAAAGAAAGTAGAATCCATGGAAAAACGAGTAAAATCTAACAGGAGCAAATATACAATGGTCGTACCCCTTCCTGCGTTCGTTCCTCTTCTATTCGTGGCATTGTTTTTCATTCTCCTTGCCGAGATGAATTAAACAGTTTAAAGTATCATCCCAATCGCTCTCTTAGAGACAATTCTCCAACATCAACGCGAAAAAAAATAAAGACATTTTTCAGAGACAAAATGGCGGAAGAAAAAGGCATCAAATATCGCCAGGCGTTGCTAGCTTGTGGAAAAATGCGGTACTTTTTGTCTGGGGCGAGGAAAATTGCCTTCCAAATATGGAGGCCTTGGCCTTATTTGGATTGGTTACACTTGTGGACGTTTTTCAATGATTGCTGGGAAAAGCTTTCGAAGCTCGCCTACGCCCTAGAAGACTGAGTGGTTCACCATTTTGGAAGAATAAATTCGGTAGTTTCAGTGGACTCGTAGCTCCATTCGGGGCTCGAGTAGTGAAAAGGACAACTATAGTTCCTTTTGACGCCATCGCTGGCTTAGGTTGTGACGATCGAAGGCAATTTGTTCTTTCAAGATGACGTGCTGTATGAGTGAAGAGCAGAAGGAGATCAGGCGAATCAACGCCGAGATCGAAAAACAACTAAGGCAGGATAAAAAGAATCAAAGAAGAGAACTGAAACTACTCTTACTCGGTGAGTATTTAATATGTTTTTCTAGTTAGCGGTCGTGTTCCGCCTAAAATCTGCATGAACAGCCGCGCTGTGTTGCTCGACTCTGGTCGCAAGGAAATGTTCGCTCGATAAAATACAGATAAAAATATATATAGAAAACATATGCATTTATATAGAAATTTATATACTTACGCATGCTAAATATACTTGTGTAGATATACTTTTACATACGCGATCCAAGTATTGCTCCGCTGGCTAAGCGAGATGTGAAGTAATCGACGAGGATCCAGCGGCCGATTGTTCCAGACTTTTTTAACCGACTCCATGTTTTGTTAGCGCACTCTCATATTTGGTATAAATGCTTAAATTTAATCCTGACTGCTACTAAATAAATTAAGACCTTCTTTTCATCCTGCATACAGAATAAGAAAGTGTAAAGGCTTTATTTTGGAGCATCAATTCCGAGTCCATATCGATCTAGGCACTCATCACGGTTGCGATTGTGTTTCCGTGGTGAAGTGTGGGTTTGGGATGTTTTTCTTAGTGAGATTTCTGAACGTGGGATGTGTTCTTTTCACAGGAACTGGAGAATCAGGCAAAAGTACCTTCATAAAGCAGATGAGAATTATTCACGGGCAGGGATACAGTGATGAAGATAAATTGGGCTATGTGGCTTTGGTATATCAGAATGTTATAACTGCCATACAGTCTTTAACGTTAGCGATGGAATCCTTGAAAATAGCGTACAGAAATCCAGCAAATTCGGTATGAATTACATTTTAGACCACTTTATGACCTTGTTTATTACATATACTGTGTTTTTGCTCAATTACTTCAGAAGTTACCCGCTCTGAAAACGCCTCCCCGGCGAATGGAAATTGATGGACTTGATTTTTTTGTGCGACTTTTGTTTTGATGTTTATACATTTTACACCGATTTTTATTCAGGAGCATGCAAAGACCATGCGAGAGGTTGACCCCAAAAATGTTACTACCTTCGAACACGACTATTACATAGCCACCAGATCTCTCTGGAGCGATCAAGGCATGCAAGAATGTTATGACAGAAGAAGAGAGTACCAACTTAGCGACTCTGCGAAATAGTAAGTCACTGTGTGCATGTCATTTGGAATATGTTGGTGTCTCGTTTTTGAAGTGAAATGGTCAGTTTTGCCCAAGAACAGTCACACTTTTAGTTCGATTAAACGATTGTTGCATAAATTTTTAGTTCTGTTACACATAGCTGGCATATTCACGCCAGATTCGTATTTTCTCCGATTCCATCTGGATTATCCCCTACAAGGTCTTTGTTTCGGAACATTAACTACTGCTGTCCGAATGCTCTGGCCCTTTCATCTGGTAGCTTTGATTTTGAAACATCAGAGTATTCAGGTACATTTTGGATTCAATGTTGGGTGCATCATTTGTGATATATTCGTCCGCATAAAGATCGCTTGTCAATTTCTGCACTAAATTGTCTGTTGGCTAAATGACGAGCAACGATGTAACAGATTTACAACGCTTGAATCTGCGATTTTATTCACCTAGTCCACAGAAGCTGCCATTTGACCCCTCAATCAAAGAAATTCGATTTAAAAGTTTCTGTCTTTTTATTGCGTCGAAAAACGCTGAATTGACATGATGTTTCATCGGGGTCTTTTCATGTGAGCGGTTTTGTCGCTTCTTCGTTCAGCAAAGTTGACTTACGTTTTTGTGCATTTTATTAGCATACGCTCTAATTCTTACTGCATTCTATTCTCTGTACTTTCAGTTATCTAACGGACTTAGATCGACTTGCCAGGCCCGATTACCTTCCGACAGAACAAGACGTTCTGCGGGCTCGTGCTCCTACCTCTGGTATCATTGAATACCCGTTTGATCTCGAAACGATAATTTTTAGGTAAGCTTAATTTTCCTTTCAACTATTAAGAGTGTTATTTGATTTCTAAGCAACGGTAGCCAGCCTTTATGTTCCTGTTGTGGCCTAGATGGTGTCATTGCCGTTAATCTTTATTCGGATTTTAATTTATGGCTTGTTCCTTGTAAGGAACCTTCATTTTTCTCCAGCAAATTCGCCTTAAATGAACAGGAAATTTCCCCCACACAGGATGTTAATGTGGTTGCCTGCTTTTCTCTTACATTTCTGGGTCTTGAATCTGCATAAAGATTAAATGAAAACGTTTAGTTAAGGCAAAGAATATTTTGCATTGGTAATGGGCTGGTCTGGAGTAAGATTGTGCAAACTATTTCAGTTGTATCACTTTGTTTACTTGTGACTTGGCCTGTAGCAATGGATGTAGAATTTTGCAATAACTCACTTTGCTTGTGTACACAGTGGCTCTGCATTTTGACTTGATGTATATGTTGAGCAAGCTCTTCCTTGGAAACAATGTATTCAAATACCCCCATAACCTTTATCTGAATAAACTCTTTGATTCTTGCAATGTTGAGTATGTAAAGAATTCCATTTATAATTCAAGCAGACGAGCTGTTTCTTGCAAATGTTGTGTTGTATTTGATTTGCAAATTTTGGTGTGGTTTTGTCATGTGATTTCACTGTAAACTACTGTTGTTGTGGTCAAGAATACAATTTTGTGGAAAACTAGTTCAAAACTGGAAAATTTTTTGAAACTTAAGCTTGGTTTAGTTTATTTTAAGAAATGAACAGTCATGACATTTGCCTCATCTGAATTATTCTGGAGACAGTTAAATAATTTTTTGCAATGTTTGTGGAGAAATCATTAATACCTAAATTGAACTTAAATAAGATTACTTTACAAACTTGCAAAACGTTTTTTCTCTATTTAGTAGAGTTACCATTGATTAAATCAGCAAAGTTTGCATCCAGTGATCTTTCTGTAGGAACAGGATATTGAATCACAAAATAGGGGTATCTAACCCCAACAAGCTTTTTGTTGTTGTTGGTCTGGGTGTATGATGTCAATTTCTCCAAGTATTCAACTTTTCAAACTGTTTTTTGAAGTCAAAAGTCTTTCCTAAGAATTTAATTGATATGTGAAATAGGAAAGACTTGAGAGCTCTTTGAAATAATGGTTTGGTCTACTTTTGCAATTTGCCACTGTTGTGATGTTATTTCTTTCTTTCTTCTTTCAATCTTCTTTTTGAAATTTTTAATTTTTGCCAAGAAGATAACTGTCTCCGGCAAGAAGAAAGAGTTTGGAGCTGTGTGAAAAATCTCTTTTGTTTTGTTGATGGATGATATTGCAATGATTTTCTTTGAGGCACTTTTGAGGAGTCAGCTTTGATGATGACTCTCTCCTGCACCCTTTGCAGGTTGCTTCACCTTTTTCTTGTCGGACAGATGTTTTCTTTATTTATTTTCGGGCATTGTTTTGGGTGTCATCTGTGTTCTCCCTCATGTTTAGCACAATAGAAAAAAAAATTAACAAATCAGAAGAGCAATTCCTTTTACCCATTGAATTTTCAAGAAAATTCCAAGTGATTTTAAAATGAAATGAGAGGTACTACAGGAGAACATTGCATCAGAGGGCCGGGCCTGAAAGATGTTCGTCACAATATGTTTTTATGAGTGATATGTAGTGGATGTGGATCTTGATCTGAGTGTTGTGATTTTCTTATGTTGTCCCTCCTCTTGCCTCCCTTATTTTGTTGTTGTTGTTGTTATTCACAGTTCTGTTTGGTTATAGACTATTAGTGTTAACACCAGATGTATTCTCTCTAATTTCATTTTTGAATCACAATTGGCTGTAGTGGTTTGTTACCTTTTTAAATTTTGTGTCTGTTTGATAGTTATGACCCCCCCCTGAGGTCTTGACTGTCATGTGTGGAAAATCATTGTTGTTTTTTATCACATCATTCTGTCAATTCATAGTAAAAATGAGAAAGCAGTTTAGGCTGTTTCTTTTTGTATCACTGCAACTTCAACCCTTTTAAAGAAATTTCAAAGCTATGGTTGTCTTTCAGACATCTATGGAGCTTGCAAAAGAAAATATGTGAGCTGGTGGGAATTTCTTTCAAGCAACTGGGTGAAAGTGTAATTTTTGATTGTTGATTGTTGATTAGGATGAATCTAAAATTAGTTTTTGTGGCTACTGCCTCCTACAGTAGGTGAAGCCACATATGTAGTCAAGATGAGTGAGTGAGTGTGACAATAGCATTCTGATCTTGACCCAATTTTGACCTGATGTTTCCTGGTGATACTTTTTGTTTGTTTCATATTATCTTTGTAGTGCGATATTGGCACAACTAGCAAATTATACAGATCCGAAGATAGAATATTTTCAGTTCTTTCCATGACACTATGAAAAACAGTGGTGCACATGGTCACATAATTTAAATCAAAACTTTCCTTGCAGACATTTCTCAATAGATGTGATCTGCCCATCATGGAAGCTCTGAGGAAAATGTTTTCTTTATAAAGAGAGAATTTTACTGTTTGAATTAGTGACTTATGCTGAAAAGAGCTGCTAAATTTGCGAGGCAAGCAATATGATACCTTGAGTTATTCAACAGAATGATGGAACAGAGGAATGGAGGATTGGTGGATTGCTGTAACATCTTGAGACATGGAATGACAGAAAATGCCTCTTTGTATGAGACATATGTCCCAAAAAAAATGGAATTGCTAGAAAATAAGTCATTTATGATTGACAGGCAAAATTAAAAGAAGCATAGATAATCACTGTTGGAATCCATCAGATAGGGAAACCATGAGGCTATTGAGTTAGCTCCCTTAAAATTATTATCATATTACTTTTTTATCATTATAATTATTGTTATTATTATTATTTGTCACCATTTAATTTTTGGTTGATGGTCAATTAGACAGTATATTCTTAAATCATCTTGTGGAACATGGTACTCATAAATATACAGAAGGTTTTCTGTTTTGCATGTGAGACAAATATTCTGCAACACTACCTTGTAGCACCATTATACAACCTCTAATTATTTCCAATGCTATGAAAATTGTGCTATTCCAGTAGCCACATGCAGTCTGTGTGTATTTTTGCATTGGCACCCAATAGGGGTCAAATATTTTTGTTTCAATCACCTGATGGATTTTTGGTTTTCAAAAATTGTCGAATGCAAAAAAAGTTTTTGTCTTGTAGTGAAATAGAAAGATTGTGCTGTTAAAATCTTTTTTTGCTTGCAGCATATTTCTACTTGTTAATGCTCACTAAGTGGGTGTCTTAAGGGTAGCAAAATGCAAAGGTTTCAGTTCTTGAGTGTTGGATTAAATGAAGAACATATTGACTAAACTCTAAGTCTGTGGCTTCTTTGCAACTAGCATTCTGATATTGCTTACTAATAATCAATTTTCAGTTACATGCACATGCAAAATTTGGACTATTTATGGTCAAATGCACCAGAAGATTGAATGCAGTCTGAGAGCTAGTTCATGATTAAGATTGTTAAACTCAAAAGTTACTTATTCTTATTTTTATAGAATGGTTGATGTTGGAGGTCAGCGGTCCGAGAGAAGGAAGTGGATTCACTGCTTTGAGAATGTGACATCAATTATGTTTCTTGTGGCTCTCAGTGAATATGACCAAGTCCTTGTAGAATCAGCCAATGAGGTAGTGTTATCTTCTTTGGTCTCTGCCTTTTGTGCAGAGGTAGTAATGGGTGCTGTGCATCATGCTTTGATAACGTCAAGAGTTGAAATACAAACATAACTGAGACAATTATACAGTCTAATGGGCTATCAAAGCTGCAATATTTTTCAGATTGCATTTGTGATATTCACTTGATATTACACTAGTTTGGTTCATCTTACTAAAAAGTCTTTGTACCCTGAAGGCAACAGATTCCAAATGATGTTAATTTTCCATCAGTTTGGGCTATTGATTTCTTAATGGATCATTCATTTTCAGAGTGCTACATGTCAGCTAGAAATGTCTTGTTCTCTATTTATTTATTAGTGATGATTTAGGGAAATTTTTTACTTGACCTCTGAATTTCCCACAAAATTTCACTTGTAAACCACAGTGAGCACAGTAACAGTCTTATAATGAAAATTCTCTTCATCAATGCTCCAAGCTGTGATCATGTTGGCTGCCAAGGTGGCAAAAAATATTCAGTGACTAGATTTGCAGCTTAAATTTCCAATTCATACATCCTTAAACTTTGTGCTCAAGGAATTGTGCACATATCACATTGATGGACAAGAAGTCAACTGAGAAACTTTGTTCTAATTTTCAACTGACCGGAACTGCATTATTTTTCATTAAAAGGGAGTATCATATTGTTCCTTCTGTTTATCAATATTTTGAAAAGTGCTCAAATGTTTTTAAAATCAATAACCTTGTTCTTTTAATTTTTCAGAATCGCATGGAGGAAAGCAAAGCGTTATTTCGTACTATTATCACATACCCATGGTTTCAGAACTCTTCCATCATATTATTTTTAAACAAGAAGGATTTGTTGGAAGAGAAAATTATGTTTTCGCATTTGGTGGAATATTTCCCTGAATTTGATGGTATGTAAGCTGTTCCTTTATTTGTCATTTAGCTATACTTTCTTGTAGGGTTGTTGTTTGCCAGTGACAGAAATGGAAGTGTAAAAAGAAAGGAGACTCCTGCTGAGCATAAACAAATGGGCTTGTACATGCACATGATTAAAAGCAATATTGAAATTAATGCCCCTGAATTATGTTGTCATCATTGTTTGAAGTGGGTGACCCAAAAGGCCAACTGATATAGATTTTTTAGGGTTCATCATGGACTCCAGCAGTCTAGGGTGTAGCATTACAAAGGTCTAAGTCATTATACTTCTTCAAGTGTTTTCCTGTTTCCAAGCAACTGAGTACAGATGGGTACCAGAATCAATGAGAGTGCTATGGTGGGTTTCACCAGTAATACCTTTTTCAATCTTGGTGTGAAATTTTGAAGCATTCTAGATTTTTGTTGTCCCAGTTATGTCTTCAGGTTTTTGTTCCCTGTTCAATTTGGTTAATCTTCTCTATTTCAAGCCAAAGTCATACCTTTCAAGCATATTTGTTTGGTTGAGAGTTTTTGGTGGTTCAATATTTTTCAAACCAGTTTGATTAACATACAATGTAATTTTGGACTTGTAATGTGAAAGAGTGTGCATCAAAGTAAAACTGGCTTGAAAATTTTTCAGTAGAGGAAAAATTTTTTACTCCAGGGTAGTACTCTTACCCCTTTGGTGGTTTTTACTGATAAACTTATTATTTTATGAATTTAAGAAGTCTTTTTCCGATGTATATGTGTTAATCTTTGTTAATCTTTGTAATAACTTTTGTTTTGTACAGGACCCCAGTGTGATGCACAGGCAGCACGTGAGTTCATTCTTAAAATGTTTGTGGACCTGAATCCAGATTCAGATAAGATAATATACTCCCACTTCACATGTGCCACAGATACAGAAAATATCCGGTTTGTATTTGCGGCTGTAAAGGATACAATACTGCAGTTAAACCTAAAAGAGTATAATCTAGTTTGAATAGAGTTGGTAAGAGATCTTATAATCTGAATTAAAGATAAGAAGGCAAGTAGGCTTTGAGAGATTCAACTTGGGAATGAAAACTGTAGAAAATCACAAAATGGTTGAATAGAGATTCCTTTATTTAAGATTACTTGTCTTCAGCTGATTCTAAGTGAAGTGCTTTTGTGTACAAAATACTCTAAAACAAAAGTTTCTGTGTGAGAATATAACTAGGATTCAAGCTGTGAAGACAAGTACAGCACTGTGAATTGTTTCCAGTATATTTCAACACAGTTGAGCATTGTGTAATTTGAAGGTAGTTAAGCAACTGGAAATATTTTCCAAAGTGTTAGATATATAGCTAGAAAGTGTCTTGAATAAGGAAAAAGAAACATTAGTTTGGCTGTTAAGTTTTCACCAAGGCTACTCCCACCTCCCTCTCCCTAGTTTTGCCTCTTGGATCAACAGTTATGTTGTTTTTCGTAAGAGTGGGGACAATTTCTTGTTTGTTCCATCCTGCAAAAGAATTTTGTATTGTTAGCCTAAAGGAAAAATAAACTGTTTTCTTTTACTAGTCTTTCTTTTGCAAGCTTTTGAAAAGATATTTACAATGTTCACTTCCAGAGATTTTGGTGAGAAAAGTATTAATTACTTGCCTTCAATTGGCCATAAACAAAGTGTATATGATATCCATAATTTAACTGCTAATCTTCATCATATTGAACACCCTTCTTGTGTATTTGCTTTCTGGGTAAGCTGGCTTCAGCCTGGATTTCTTGAACTCTTTTGCCTCTCTTTTGTCACTTTATGATTCTTTCAACTGAATTGCTGAGGAGGTTAGTTTTTCATTATTGATAAGGTGTCTTGGGATTTGTCATCTCATCATGGACTCTACAACTTTCTTTCCTTTGTGGTCCTGGGGCATTTAGTATCATTATTTTTACCAATGAACTGCAAGGCTTAATAGAAAAGTAATTGTGTCTCATCATTTTAAAAGTAGAAGCAAGAAATTAAATTACTAATTACATGGTTTGGCTGCATCCCTGTGTGAAGAATTAGTATAAAATACTCCTTAGTTAGAGAGGAGACAAACTTATTAACCTAAAGTAGCCATGTAAAGTTCATAATGGTGAAAGTAGTATTCTAAATGAATAGTTTAAGAAAAACTACTAAAGTCGCTAAAAAACAAGGAAAAATTTCTACAGTAGGTATGTAATAAAATTTCCTCAATGAAAACTACATATAGACCCTTAGAGAGATAATCAACATCTAGTAAACAACTTTTGTTAAACCTTGAGTTGCTTCTCCTGGTATTATTGCTAATTATGATATCTTCAGATGTAAATCAAGAGGAAAAGCAGTCAGTAAGTTGCCAACAAGTAAAGATCTTCTTTTGGACTTGACTTTGTGATTGTATGAAGAGGATTAAATCAAACTCTAACTATCCTGACCTTGGTAACGTCTGTTTTTCCATCAGTAAAAGAAAAACACTTCTTATTGCCAACTTAGAGTTGCTTTACCCAGAAAAATTAAAGTATCTTTGATTTTCATTCATTGTTACAGTTCCCTATTGTAGGAGTAGTAGTTGAAATAGGAAAGGCAGGTTTTTTTGTTGTGAATTGTAGTATTTTGCAGGAATACTTTAGATCTATGGTGAAGGCTAAGTAGTTTTCGTGACAAGGAGTGGTGAAGTTACAATTAGATTAGCAACTTGTAGCTGTTGATGTATACGTAGTTAGTGGAACTGTTTGGCAATAAGATGGGTTTGATTGACCAGCTAATTCGAGAGTTGAAGGCAGAAATGACATCAGGGTTGTACAATTGCTGTTATTGGTCACAGTGCCCCTGGGAGTAGACATGGTGGGTTGCCATGGAAACATCAGAGAGAACACCTTAACTTTTTAGATTTTTATTTTCTAAACAATTAACGTTGACTTAAGACATCTTTCACGCGTCTTTCTGTTGCGTTCATTTCGATTATTTTCCATTGTGGCTGACCGTTCTTGAACTATTAGAAAAATAGAAAAGATATAAATTATTATTGTTATGGAGCCAAATTATTTGGCAGACAATTCCAATAAAATTTTTAATTCGTTCATGATTATGTCAGCATTGCATCTAGCAACAAAAATATCTTGATTTGTCTTAGCTGGATCCCTGTGGTAACAGCCCTTGTACTTATTGTAGTCAATTGCTGTATGTATTCATGTATGTATGTATGTAATTGCAGTACTTTTATAAACTGTTCATTTCTTTTCCGTTGTGATCAACGACCACAAGTGCTTGTTTTTAAGGGCCAGTGAAGTCACTACTCATCTAGGCTGACAGACTTTTTATTGTAAATTTTTCTGCAGCAGAAAGATTAAAACATAGCAAAATGACCAAAAAAAGAATGGGAAAAACGTGTTGTCTGGCTGTTTCTATCTCCTTACTTTATTTGTTAGTTAGTGCGAAGATGTTCGTTCTGTTCGCAAAGGTTTGTTTGCGAAACTCCTAAGACATCACATGAATATCACTCTTAGCAGCTTGGTCATTGTGTTTTGAGGTAGCTGTGGGTTTCGGTTACACAGGCTATGGGCACAAACGCGTTGTTCGTGGGACGAAAACAGGGCCTAGAGACTCGCGTCAACGCGGATCAGAAATAAATTCGTGAAGTATTTCTAAGTTTTGAAGAATTTTTTACCCTCGACCAAAAGGCAAGCTCATCTCAAACGCTTCAGCCTGCGAACAGGCACTCGTTCTTTGCGGTGAGGCACAAGCGTATCTTTGCCCGCGAGAAAGTTGGCGTAGGCCTCTTGTCGCCTCTAACGCTTGTGTCGTAGAATCGCGTGTGCCGTGGCACCAATGATAAGGGCTTGCTCTCAAGGTAAGAGCCACTTTTGACCGAGAGACGTCTAGCTTGGAACGACCTTTAGTTAGCGAAAGCACCCTGCCCCCCCTCCTAGACGTCGATCCGAGTCAGCGCTTACGCTATCTTAGCTAGTGAAAAACTTTCCCTCAGTCTGGTGCAGGTTGAACAGTAGCTCCTTTGGCTTAGTCCCTTTTCCACGAGGTCAGTTGCACCCGGTCACGTGGCTGTGCTAAATGTACTTTGTCGGTCTATAGTTACTACTTTTTATCCAATTAAATCCACATTCCGCATCACTTAAACATAAAATGAAATTAATGAGCACGTCTTTTGGCTCTGAAGCTTGCGATGATGGCGAAACTTGGTGGAATCATGAGTGGCATAGTTTCAAGTTGTAGTAGGTTTCGTATGTGATTATTTTTCCAAAACAATTTCGCCTTTTAATTTTGGGGTGGGAAAATTTCACTTACTAACCACTAGTTGTCTTGGTTTTTCGAAATGTGCGGTGCCTCAACTTATGTGGATTTATGAGCAGACTCTGACTTCAGCGAGTGCCGCCAGTTGCCTTTCTGTCGACCACAAGTTCTCTCTTGTCTGGATATTTCTCCTTGTTCAATATCAAATTTACCTAGCTTCTGTGTAAGCGCCTCATCTTACATCTTCTCAAGAAGTAAAAGTTGAGGGCACTTATTATTTCTGCGAAAACGCAGGTATTTCAGATGGAAATCAAATGCAACATTTTCCACAGAACAATATTCTGCAAAAAGTTTGTTTTTTGCGCTTTTGCTAAGAAGGCCTTAAAGTCATGCACGCCTTGTTTTACTTTGTTTTAGGAAAATATAATTCTTCTCCTTTTAATGGAAAATTCTCACAGGTTTTACAATACATATATAAAGTGCCCTGGGTTACATATGAGGCAATCATTCTAATCTCTGCGCCTGCTCCTTGGGCCTAGATGCTATGTTCATTCGCACTAACCAGATTGAAAAGAACGGCACATTCGTGGAGGATATGTGCCATAAGGCACTGTAATATTCTTATCATCCCCTTCTCTTGCAATGAACTGGAAATCAGTTTCCTATGGTCCCTTTTTATACTCTGTTGGTGACGACAGTTCTCTTCCCCCCCCCCATTCCCCCAGAAAACGATGTGATTTCGCAAGAAATCCTCATCCCCAAGGGGTCTCTTAGTAACCCACTGTCAGAGCGTCTCTGAGGCTACCAACGGAAGAACTATATTTAACAAAAAGTAAAGATTAACGTTACTCATGACAATTGATTAGAGTCCATCCGTGTAAATCATTTATGCAGCTTAGCGACTGTTTAAAGCGCCTTTTTGCCCAGATAGTCGACCACGTTAAATAATTCTGCAACCTTTCCATGGATTTTGGAAGTTTTCTTTTTTTTCCAAAGTTTTGCTTTGTTATGTAGGGAAACTACAACAGAATCCATTTCCTGCCCGCCTTTAAGATGTTAAGAATATTAGATTGAAACTTCAAACTTTTTCGTCCTTCGAACTTGTCTCATTTTTAAAACCCCACTGACTCAAATACACGGTAATTTTCCTTAATGGGCTTTTTAAAATTCTTTTACCCTTTGCTAACTAGATTTCAATGCACACCGGTTTTCTTGAACTGCTTTTTACTCCTCTTATCACAGGGGGGCGGAAGTTCCTGTCAGCGTACGCCTGTGTCTGGTTCCTTTGGGCGTGGTCAAATTTGTTGGAGAGGAAAAAAATATATAAAGCTAGAGAATTAGAGAAGGCAGGAAAAAGGCCAGACCTGAAAAGAGTTCAAAGAAAAATGAAATGTACTGGAACCGGCCCATGGCTTATTTTGGCACTGAAAGGTTGTAAAGCTGGATATAGCTTATTTTTTTGGTTCAAACTAACGCCATTGTTTAATTGTCGGTTTTTAAATGATTAGAAATTTATCTCTTCCCCACCAAAATTGAAGGTAAAGGAGCTTGTTTCTAGAATCGGATCGAAAATAACCAGTCCTCGCTTCTGATATCAGAAGTACTCCCATCTGACGACCGCCCATGCTAAGAACTAACAAGTACTAACATATGAACTTCATCCGCCGCAGAGCCTCGTTTCCATACTCAACGCTGATGAAATTTTCTGTAAAATAATGTACTTAAAACATGCCTTACTCTCCGTAGATGTACAACGTTAGCGGTCTTGCGTAATGTTGACACTATTTCAACTTCACAGCCGCCGGTGTTTTATTTTACTGACTGGAAGGGACAGTCATAGTTGTAGCGTATCAGGTGGGCAAACCTGATCGAGAAACGTGCTTTTCTGGAGCCTAAGAAAATGTTTTCGACGGGCGCGACGGTCAAGATTCGCCTCGGAGAGATGCGAAATTATGGGATATCATTGGAGGGGGTTCTCTGAATTGCGGCTATGTTCGCTAAAACTCCTATCGCCTGGATGGGCTTTAAGAAATCGAACGGACATTGTCGAAGGTAAATTTCCTAGACACACCCAGAGGCTGGATTATGCCTCAGAAATCTAATAGTCAACAGTTTGAACACACAGAAACATTTCTCCATTAGAGCGAAATGCCTTGCTACAACTTAATTGGAGGATGGTGGCCAAAGTCTGAAATTGCGTGTCGCAAGGGCTTGCATCGAAGGAAAACAATGGCGAGGGTGGAATTCTGTTAGTTTTTCCGGTTCTCTGCCAGATATTTTTCGGTCGTGGGCCTGGTGTGTATTTTTTCCTATTTCTGCGATCGAATTTTTCAGTTTTTCGCTTTTTACAAGAACTGTAGACCAAAATATTGTAAATTTTCCCCTCCCAGGCATCCAAGATGGCTTCGTAAGTCACATGACTTAACATTTGGCGGAATGGTGACGTAAAAGGGTAAGTTGGGAGAATATGATATGTGAGAGTTCTAACGCATATTATGTCGCCCGTTATGTTTCAAATGAGAAGAGCCTCTTCTTACAGGATTTCCCATCTTTGTTTTCCATCCTAGTTCCTCTTAAGAATCATTTTTACTCAGAGATGTGAGATTATTTTTCTTCAAGATTCCTCTAGTAAATTGTTGCAAGGCTTTACTTGTTTTGATTTTCATCAGTGAATCTGGCAATGAGATTTGTTTTACCCTAGGACTTGTTTAAATATGCGTAAAATATACATTTTTATACCTTTCAAGTCTCTCGTGGATAGGAAAGCGTAGTATTTGACACCTGATCAAAGATGCGTTTCTCGTTAGCAAGTTTGCATGGATTCAAAATATTCGCTACTACGCTGGAGCTTAGCAGCGTCAATCTATTGTACCCCCTCTGGGGAAATTGTACGGTGGCGCGAGGCAAACCAACTCGTTCGATTCTGTAGAAGGTGCAATGGATAATGCGACTCCAGCGACAACGAACAACACCAGAATGGAAAAACGGATCGCTTTAGAGTGTGGCAAAAGAAAGCCAGATGAGGTAGAATCGGTAGTCTTTTGAGGGCTAAGGATTTCTTCTTGGGAAATTAGGAGCCTTTAGTTCGATTAGCAAGTGAAAAGCGTAGTAAATCGACTAATTTTTTGAGTCGTCCCTTCTCCATGTGCTTTTGTTGTTTTGCAGATTGTCGAGCTAATCTTGGATAATTGTTATTCTACCAACGTCGTTGGGCTAACAGATGAATTTGTCAACTTGGAGAGGCTGTCTTTGATCAAAGTTGGGCTAACAAATTTGAAAAATTTTCCCAATTTACCAAATCTTACTCGGGTAAGTGAGATTTTTTTTTGGAGATCAGGAGCTTGTTGCGGGTGCAATTTAGCAGGGCTATTCTGAACGGTCATTGCACCTCACAAGCTGTTGAAGATTCTCATATTTTCAACTCTGTTTTTTCCCAGCTGGAACTCGGCGAAAACAGGATAATGTCAGGCCTCCAGTCTCTTCAGGGATCTCCGAAATTAGCACATTTGAGTCTTAGCAATAACAGGATAAAAGATCTCGAAACTTTAGAACCGTTGGTGAGTACAAAGTTTGAGTTATCATTTGTGTGCGAGTCGCATCCTATCCAGGGCCGATCAACTATGTTATCGGACTTAAGATTAAAGATGAAGCTGTTATATTTTGCAGTTGGCTGCTTGGTAATTTTCTATTACCGCTAACACATTTTTTTTATCTCACTAGTCAAAACTACAAAATTTAAAAAGTTTGGATTTACTTAACTGCGAAGTAACAACGATAGAAGACTACAGAGCTGAAATATTTAATATGATACCATCCCTGAAATATCTCGACGGCTATGACAGGTAAGTAAGGGAAGCGGGTGCAAAATATATTTATGGTTGCACTTTCCTTCTCTAGCTTGTTCGCTTTGGTGCATTTCTAGTTAAGAGGTCGCATGAAAAATTGGCAGTAATTTGCCTTTCTCCTTCTCCACTAGATTCGGGAATGAAGCAGAGGACACAGATTCCTCCGGAGAAGAGGACGGCGAAGAAGGTAAAAGCCACTGTGCCCATTTCTCCTAAATTATTATGCTACTTGAAGGCACCTAATTAATGGGAAACGAAACTACTTTTAACATCCGCTAAAGTGATATTTTTGAACTGAATGCAAGTTTGCGAGGTGAACCCGCGGTTCGGCGAGTGCCGCGCATTAAAATATGCAACGATCGGATAAAGAAGAATTGAGTGGAAAGCTTCAGACACCACATTGAATGGATTTTTGTAGATTTTCGCCTTATAAACGGAATATGTCGTTTCCCCTCTACATGTGAACCGTCTATGGAGGGTTTCTTGAATATTTAAGTCATACTTTCATCTGTGTGGTAAAATTAATGGACTCGAGAGCGGGTACCACGCTGTAAATGGAAATTCCCGCGCATTTGGAGGCTCGAAGCTATTTTAGGATTCTGTTTTGGTCGCCGTTCGACCAAAGCGATCATTTCAGCTGACTTATGGCGTAGCAACACGTACACTTTTCGTACAATCGTCGATAGTTTAATCTCTCAGTTTTCGTCGTAAATTGGATCAAATTTCCTTCCAGAAAACAGGGAAACTGAGGGCCATTATAATATTTTAGAGTGGCTGATTCTTAACAGAGCCGTTCGTTTGAACATCAAATGGTATTTGATTTCGTTTTAGAGCCTTTTGATGGCTAACGCTTAATTGCGAATGTCTTCAGAGTGAAAGCGAGAGAATGCCACAAGTTTACCCGAGAACTTTTCAAAATTAATTCTGAAACAATCCTTTGCCATTAGACATCAGAACGGTGTAAACTTCATACTGAGTTGTACTCCCATTTGTTTTATGCCTGTGTTGTTTTTGAACTTGAAGGAAAGGCCCAGGGGATGTTGTGTTATTCACAGAAGGAGAGAGATACTCCATTAATAGATAGGGCAGATAGAATCACTCTGGCTAAATGTGTGTCAGTGATATTCCCCAAGTATATGTTGAATTGCCCACCAATTCTGATGGCCTTCCTGAGAAAACAAGTTTTCTTTGGTCCTTATTAAGTTCTATTTCAGCACTTGCACTGCAAAGGTCTCTTCCTTTTGGGAAAGCAGAGAGTGAATCTTTTGAAGAAGGAAATATGACACTTCAAATTTTGTTGGCCAGTATAAAACTAAGCCATCTGATGTACTAATTCTCTTTTTGCTTGTGTTCGAAAACTTGAGAACCAAGAGCATTGAACTGTCACATGTAGCAAACATGAGACAGAGATTGTTTTTAGTATAAGAGGAACAAATGAGAATGCAACATTAACAAACTCGCTCCCCTTAAAAGGCCTTGTTAGCTGGTAAGGCAGGGCTAAAAATTGGCAGTTGCATGGTCGCCAGTGGCGAGTTAAAACTGACCAGGGTCACCAAAAGTTAAGGTTTGAATGCCTGATGTGTGACTATGCTACAGAATTTCGAAATGTTGCAATATAAATTATGCAAAGCACAAAGTTAGAAATAGAACTCAATATGTAATTTAATTGGACTACCTTTCTCTTTGTTTCTATGCGTGGACTCTTAAGATCATCCATTTTAGTGAATTTTTAGTTCTGAAGTGGAAATTCTGAGCCGTTTTAACAGTGATTTCACGAACGATCCACATTCACCACAAATGGGCGCCATTTTGATTTTGTGATTGCCACATGACTCTGGACTTTTGTGTTCTTTCCTTTTAATTAACACTTCGTTAAAAGCCATGGGGCATTTATTCAAGTTTTTCATTTTAAACCAGAGGAAATCGGGGGCATTTTCATTTTGGAATGGGCCACTAAGACTTCAAGGAAACTGGCCCGACAGGCCACCAAGCACTGAAGTTAATTTTTAGCCCTGGTAAGGTGCCACAATGTCACTGTTGTTCAATAGTTACAACAGATCAGAGAACTTTTTGGCCATCAAAAAGATATCTTCGGCTCAATTCTGGTGGCATAAAGTATTTTTAATTCAGATGTAAGGAATATTTTCCTGTTTTTACTATTTTCCTGTTATTCTAATTTTTAATGGAAACCATGTATTGTATCTTAAATTTGATTATGTTGACAGATGATGAAGGAGAGGAGGATGATGATGGGGATGAAGATGATGACGATGAGGATGGTGAAGGTAAGAAAACTCTAATAACCTTTTAAGAATACTCCAGCTACCTGCCACATGGCTGAGAAGACTTTGTGAAATTGCTCTACAGGTGATCAAATTGCTTTACACCTGAAAATCTCCCCTGCCTTTTCAATGTACCATATTATTATTGCCAAGTTCTCATTTGGATAAGATTAATTTCCTACTAATGAAGATTTGATCAGGTCAGTGTAATATTTCATCAACTTCCATCTGGAATTGAAAGGTGTTATTGTTGGGAAGAGGAAAGGACGTTAACCTTTTAAGCGCAGAGGGTGACTGACTTCTAATTTTTTCTTACATTACCACACCTGAATCAAATATTCAGCTCAGGAAATGATCAGCAATTTAATAAGCTTCTGTTTGTCTAACAAATTCTTATCAGTATTGTTGGAAATGTAAAGAGAGTAGTGAAGAGGATGAACACTTCTGTTAGAGTGTATAGTGTGAAACCAGATGATGGAGCTTTCTCGTTTTTTCTCTCCTACTCTGATCTGCTGGACGTTTAGGAGAGGAAGATGATGAAGATGATGTAGATGATGAAGATGGCTCAAGTGGTGATGATGATGAAGAAGGTGTGGAAGGGGAAGGTAAAATTTCAAAATGTTTTACTATTTTTAAATCTAATAATGAGCAGAATCACAGGATTTAAAATTGACTTCTATAGTTGCAGGTTTGGAAAGACATTTAGAAAGAATTTTGGGGAAGAATCTAAAACATTTGGTTGAAATAGGGACTTTTGTTAATTTTCCACTATGGATTCCAAACATACCTTGTGGTGTTTGAGTGTCTTAAAAAAGTTTATACCAGTCACGAGTCATGTTTGTTTTTCCCAATTAAGGACCAAGGTGAAAACTCAAGTTACTTGTATGGCTCTGAAACATGTATGCAATATTAATATTTCCTTGTGCTCTTTGCTCTTTGAATGATTTTTGCTGGAGATTTGAGTATAGTATTGGCTGGATCACCTTTTCCCTCTGTTCACTTTATAACCCTCAATTCCCTTAACCTCAGTATCCTTATTTTCCTCACTCTCCTCTTTACATTTCCTTTGGTAAAGACAAGAATTTGTGTAAAAGTTTCACTTAACTCCACTTTCATTCCATTTCCTATTTTTTATATATATATATATATATATATATGCACAAGATATTCCTTTGACCCGAAAATAGCAGATTCTAATAAAGGCAGGTCAATTTTTTTCCTCAACTAAATTATATTTAACTTAATTAAATTACACCGGAAATAATATAGACATTAAGAAATAATACGTTTAAAGACATTAAAAGATACTCAAGAAAAGACAAAGTGGAAAATGAAAGATGGTCATTGTAAAGGAGATAGAGTTCTGGAGTTTCTCAGTGTACAAAAAATATTGTAGAACTGGTCCAATTGTTTTGATTTTGCTGTGTCGGAATTTTAGTATTATCTCATCATGCTCCATATGAGAATCTTCAGTCTCTAGAATATTGAGGAGAGCCCTTTGTTTCTTTTTTCCTAGACAAATTTCTTTATTCATAAGGTATCTTATGTGCCCTCCAGGCACAGTGACACCCATTTTTTGACTGAGTTTAGCATCAAAACCCTCTTGATGATACTTAGTTAGCTTTAGAGAAAAGTTTCCTTGCAGGTTAAGGTACCCAAGGGGGCAACCTTTACATGACAACTGTGAAGATTAAACAGTGAAACAGCTACAAGATTTTTTAATTTCTGGTTTTCATTTTCTCTTTTTACTCAGAGGGTGATGAAGATGAAGATGATGATGAAGAAGAAGATGAAGGAGAAGATGAGGAGGAACCAGGTCTTGATTATTTACAAAAAGAGAACTTAGAGGTAAACACCTTCTTACTTGTACATGAGTCATTTACTAATAGGATTTTTAAAGGTTCCTTTTTTCAGAAGGGCCACATATGTGTTTCATTTCAGAAGTATTTTGATGTTTGTGTTAAGTTTAATTTCTTAAGTAAGTTATGTAAAGGTGTTAGAGTCCCAGTGAACACATAGGCCAAGGGTGGCTGAGTAAGGTGGTGTGCATTGAATGCAAACCATCTGTTTTTGTCAAATCTAGGATGAAGAAGAAGGTGAAGACTTCAACCCAGAAGAAGAAGATGAAGAAGAGGAAGAAGAGGATGAGGATGATGAAGAAACAGAGGAAGCTGAAAGGAGAGGAGAAAAAAGAAAGCGAGAAGATGATGACGATGATGAGGATGACTGACGCAAAATATCTTAGCAGTATGGAGCAGCCCACTCAATAGAGAAAGAGCTCTTTAAGTATAGACTTGCCAGCAATGTTGCTGAGGCCCTTATTTTAAAGGGCTGGAAGTGTTCTCTTGCAAGGCCTCTAACAGAACTATTCCATAACTTGCAAGTGGTGTTTTTCATTCCACGAGTTCTGACTGGTTCATTTCCTGTTTTGTAATCCATAGTTCTAAAACTTGTCAGAATGGTAGTGAGATTTTTCCTTTGTTGGACTTGGTCTGATTTGAATTTGTATTTGCTCCAAGAGTCAATGAACACTTCTTGTTTACTGGATAGAGATCAACATTTAACATCCTTGTTTGTAAATATGTGTCAGTATGGCATATCATGGATAGCTTTGTGCGATGACTGCACAACTTGTTGGTGCACTTGTTACTTTCCATAGTATATGGTACAAGCAAAAAACCTTTTGTTTTATGATGTGTTCATAGTTAACCACAGTGAGTCGCTGGCCTGTAGATAGGAAAGAGCAGTTATTGTTAACTTTCACTTCTGATGACATACATTTTTGAGAGGAAACATTTTAAACTTGCTTGCATCAATAGTTTTGAAAAAAATTCTTTCTTATACTATCATCTATTGTCTAGGCTTTATCAATTATCATTAAGTACCAGTAACCAAAGCATTGGTGCTTCCTTTTGGATTATTCACACAAGTTCATCTAAAGAGGCAGTAGTTATACCCATTCAGACCCGCACCATCAGTAAATCCACTTCTGTACAAAGCACTTTGAAAGTTATCTGGTTCTGTCATATATGTGAACATTAGCAAATAAATCTTTGAATGATGTTGATAAGAAAGGATTTGCTTGCCTGTTTATCTCTGGTCTTTGCTAAAGTAAAGACCCAAAATAAGGCATTTTAAATCTTGCGAAGGGTCGTGACAGTGCGTGTTTCACAAGTATACTTCACTTTGGAGAATTGGGATTCGAAGGGGTCAAGGAAAATGGCGAAAGTCATGGAATTCTATGATATGCATTTCAAGTCATGAAACTTTGATATGGGTTGTAGATTGTTGTGGAATTTGAATGTAAAAACATTTTTGAGACGACAGAGAAGGAAAAGTTCCTTGGTTTCTGCATTACCTTTGAATCAACTTCGATCGTGGGTCACGGGGAGTGTCGAAGACTTACTGCTCATACCAAGCCCCGGAAAAGAATTTGTTAATGACTAAACAATTCTTAAAATTTGTGCCAATTAGCGTTAGTACAGGGCGTGAGGATTCTTGGTAAGTTTGGAACTGCGGATGAAGTATTCGAGCATTCTTAACATCAGTATGCATATTCTCTATACTGTAACTCACACATTTTCCCAAGGTTTCGATAGAGAGAATTTGGGTAACGATCGAGAGCTTTTTTAGCTTGTGATCATTTCGTTTATTCTCGTGACCTTGATGTGTGTTTCAGGGGTGAAATTGTAAGGAGAAATTAGCTATAGGGTTAAAAGTTGGGCGAGGAGAACACACAATTGTGGAAGTGAAAGGAAAGCTCTAAAACACTCCTTTCCTTCCCTTAGCCCATCGATTAAAAAGATGCCCATGTCATTTCGCGATTGGAGTCGAAAGTTCGCTTCTCACTCGGTTGATTGCACCTTTCTTGGCAGCCTTGATTCCTACTGAAGGTGTCCTTGCGCCAAAATCCTGGTCAAAAGCCCTCAAGACACTTTCGAAATACACAAGCAAAAAATCCATGTGGCATGCTACTTTAATGTGTATACACTGACAACAGTCTGGTAGGATTGAAAAACCCCTCCCCCCCTTTCTCCTGAACAGTATTGAAAGCGTAGCAAGTTTGGGAGAAAGATTGCAAAGAGGGAAGGAGATTGTGTGTGTGTGTATGTGTGTTTGGGGGGAGGGGGGATCGGGAGGACTGCAAAGCTCGAGCGAAGAGTAGCTTTTAAAAAGTTTCTTAAGACTTTGGCCCTTGGTTGCTTTCAGAATTCAGCGTGTCTCTCACGCTGAATTGGCAAACTATCTTTGAAGAAATTTAAATATATACGGTAATAGAGAAAATAAAATCGTGTTTGCTTATCTCCTATTTACTTCATTAATGACTTATTTTCTTACAATTAATTGCTTCCTGACTTAATTAAGGAGGAAAGACCATCCGAAGCTGCCTTCAAACAGTAAGATATCAGGTTCTTGCTACAGTATTGTTTATCTAGACACTTGTGGCTGAGACCGGAAGCCACTACGTTCCATTCCCATCTTATCCGTCTCGCGGTGCAGTCAAACAGACTAATTTCGTTTGGCCCATTCGAGTGGGCGGGACGGATATTTAGAGAAAGCGGGTATCAAGCATTTTCCGAGCTTTCTTTTTTTTTTTTTAAGTGACAATTCGTGGAGGGCAGGATAGCCCACCTAGTAACCACTCTCTTATACTTATATGATGAAGTCTTCAGAATACCCTCCCCACCCTTCTAATGTGTTCCTTGGAAACGCCCCAGTTCTCCGAAAGTAGTGCCCGCACTTTCAAAAGCTAATATCGGTGACTTGACCAAATAAAAGGGTCAGTGAAAGCATTTTGGGAAGATATAAAGCTTCTTAGCATTCGTCAATGCTTAGAGTGCTTCTTTCCTTGAATTACTATGCAAAACGACAGCGTGACAGCCCTTCTGAAGTCAAATCTGGCAAAAATGTGTAAAGAAAAACTTGTCGTTAGGATGATAATTAGTTCAGAAATCGAGGTAAGTTTATGCATCGTCAAATATTTGAAGAACAAAACAACTTGTGGCTCAGAAACTTCGAGCAACTGTCAATGGCGTGACGGGGTATAAATAGGGCGTGCACACTTGTGCATGAATTATTAACCAAGATGGCTTTCAATAAACAACAATACGAATCTCTGCCCGGGAAAGACGGAGGTACTCCACCAGTGATGGCGAGTGAAAAACCGATTGTCAACCAGCCAGCCAAACTTTCCCCCACGGAAGAATATGTTCTCAACCTGGATCCGGCCACAGTAGCAAGTAAGGTTTAATTCTGGTGGTATGATTTTACGTGATACAAACATCTCCAAACAATCACAAATCGCAATTAGGGCATTGGCGTTTCTCGATCGAATACCGCACGCCATGACATGCCTGGGTTTCACACGTATTTCTTTCACTATCTTTACTTACCATGTGAATAATAGTTAGTTAAAAATGTTTGAGAGACCGCGATCCTTACATCAAAAACAATAAAGGGATTTTGATGTCGCTGTTTATTCTCTTTCAAAAGCTATTTCCTTGAGCTGTTGATTGTTTCGCTGTTATGGGCGTTGTTCAACAGTACTCGGTATTCGAACCTCTTCTTTCAAATTCTAATCTGAAATTCTCACGATGTGTTCAACTCAATTTATATTTAAATTTCAAGAATGACTTCTAGCAAAAATTTGTCGCTCGCTGTTGTAGCTGTATTTCTGATCGTGTTTCTCTTTGTCCCTGACAGCATTAGGCGATTCAAACCCTAATCAAAGGTCGATCGATGAGCGTTACGAAGCCAGTTTTTCACACTTTCATTCTAAATTAATCGACCCAAAAATCCTTCCCAAAAGTTAGGGCAGTTTTCCCCATACTGGAAATAAGAATTTGCATTTCAAGTGCCTTCTGGTGTCCGACAGTTTTGCTTCGCGTTGTTTGTTGGAGATCAAACAGAAGCATGCTCAATGTAAGATTAAGTATTCTATTGTTGTGTCCGCGCTATTTCTGCCATCGAAATAGATTCGCGCTGTGGTTACTGAGTGAAGTGAAATCGAAATGAAAGCTTCTTTTTATGTGACATCTAGAACAAGGTTCAATCTAGAAATTTATCGCACAGTTCAGGTTTCACGATCTTATTGTAGGTAGAGATCCTAATACATGTAGAGGACCCTATAAGATCGTATTTTAGATTGACTTGAGAACCAGTATCCATGTAAAGATAACGAACAAAAACAGACAAAAATGAGCAACAGGTTAAAAATTATGTTTTCAACATTACTGTTTAATTTCGACGAGCTCGCCAAGTACTGAGAGCAGCTTTCTGGGTGATGCCAAAATTTCTTCAAGTACAATAATAATTGAGTACCTAGGAACTGTAACTCATCCCTCTTGAACGAGGAAAAGTACTTTTTACTCAGATGCGATCACTTGTGCCACTCGTGACATTCTTGAAGGGGCACATCAAGGAATGATGAGATCTGTTGCACCATTGTGAAATATTTTGGATAATTATGTATTGTATGTTTCTTCTTTAGAAATTAAATTTTCTTTCATATAACATTTTTCAGGATAAATTGATTAGATGCTGTTCATGCTTTCTTTCCAACAATTATATTGGAATTGGCTACAGAAGCCTGCATTAGGAGATCTTTAATGGGATAAATACATATGAACACTTTAACTGAGTATCCCTGAAGAGGGATTTTCAGCATCAACATCAAAATACAGAAAATAAATAAATAAATCACAGAAAAATATCAGAAATTAGCTATTTACAATGATATGTCCAAACTTGTCCTATATTGCTCATTAATTCAGTAATTAAATGTTTCTTAAAAGCTCTGGTGCCATTTACTTGTTCCAAGTTCATGTCCAGGCTGTTTTATATTTTTGCACCACAATGATAGAAGGCACACTTACTAATGGCAATTCTGCAACTTGGAATTTTAAGGCTGTTCCTATGGATAGCAGACCACATACAAAATTTGTTTGAGAAATAGCTAGGTAACAGACCATTGAGACATGTATGCATCATGATTAAATCATGAAACATCTTGCAATTACAGCAATATTTGACCTTAAAAGATATTATTCAGTTTAAGTACAAGATAATTTATAAATCCTCTGGTTATATTTGAATATTTTTTGTGCATGAAAACAAAATCATTTCCACAAGGAAAATTTTCTATGTAGAAATGATTCTGCTTTTGTACAGAAAACAAAATTCATTTCTCAGATATGAAACTTTTTACAAGAAATGTGAAGATCATTTACTGCATGGAGTTATCTATCCAGACTTTTTTTAAATTTTACAGCAGGACCAAAGGCCCATTCAATAATTTTTTAAATTTTGATTCATAACTTAATCATGAATTTGAAACTCCTCTGTTATCTTCAAAATTGTTTTCCTAGTTATCAGTTTTTCCTCAGTTTTTTTTACTAAATATTTTGTGCTTTCTCTCCCATTGCAGGTGTACTTGCATGTATTATAGAAGACAAACTGAAATGAAATTGAAATCAATAGCTTATAATATGACGATCAACACTAATTTGGTGTTGCTTGTCAATTTTGTCAACAGCTTGGTCTGTAGAGGATGTGAACAGGAATTTTCTTGAACGTGCTGGATTGGGTTATATGGCAGAGCAGTTCTCAGTGAACAAGATCACTGGAAAATGTCTGATGCTTTTGACAGAGGTGGGTTTGAATGATATTTGGGACATGCTAATCTTGCTTCATAGGTGGCTTTTGTCTATGTTTGGTTACTGTCTTTGCTCAGAGTGGTTTTTTGAGGGTGTGTTGATTTTCTAGCCTGGGCAAAAGCTGGCTTGTTAAATTCTTTTTGGTGTGAAAATATGACTGCATTTCTCCCACATGTTCCACTGTGAAGTGAAGTAAATCTACATTTTTCATTTTTAATTGGCTGTAAATCTCTCATAGCTGGACCTTAAAAACTTATGGAATTGTAATTAATTTTTTACTCTCTCCAGGGTCATCTGCATGAGCTTGGCATCACTGTTCTGGGAGACAGACTTTATCTGATGGATCTGATTGGTTTATTGAAGAGGAAAAAGAAGGAAGCCGAACTCAGTGCTTCCAAGTGGTCTGGAGTTACACCAGCTCCTGGAATTCGGTACAAAGAAGACTGTGGAGAATGTTGTGTGGCGTATTGCTGTCCATGTTGTTTGGCCAAGACTTTCTGGCGTGTCACAGGACAAGGTGTATTCTACAAGCGCGAACCACCCTGTGGACTGTGGATGGAAGGTTAGAAAACAATTTTTTTTTTGTAAAAATATATATTCATTTCACATATATGTTTTTTCAGAGTTTTTTTTTGAGAAAATGCTTTTCTACTGACCCTAAGTAACAAAAGCTCCTCGTGTTGAACTAATTGGCGGAGTCCCTTGTGTTCTTTCAACTAATTTCTCCTTACAAGAACACCACTGAATCAAATATATAGGTAGGGAGAACAAAGGAAATGATCACCAACTTAAGAAGTTCTTGATTGTTAATTAGACAAATTCTCCTAGTCAGCACCTTGGGATATGTATAGAGAACAGTATGGAGAATATGCATTTTGCTGTTAGAGTGTAAAGGGTTAGACTTTTCTTTCCCAAAATCCAAGAAGCAATTCTCCTGATCACTATTAATTATCCCTTGGGTGCTAGACAATTTTATCATCGTTAGTATCCACCTCCCCACCTTGTGTAATTGAGCTTTGTGATTCTCAATAGATGAGTGCTTGACAGTCTTACACTTGTAAGAAGAATTTTGAGACATCTCTAACTATTATTTAATTAGCAACAATGTTTATTTACATGATAGCAGAAAGTAGCCATATGTGGTCATTAAAGATCTATCAACATGCATCGCTCATACTTTTTTATTTGGTTTGGGCCATGAAAAATTTTAGTGAAATTGTTGTATTATTGAATGGTTTCAAGTTTACTTAGACAGGGAATGTGATTTTCATGTAAACTGTGCTTTCAGTTCGAACAGAGTACATGGACTATCGATTCTTCAAGGATCTGGAGTTGAAGGAAACTCGCAAATGCTTGTGCTGCTGTACTGCGTCCGAGCTGGAGATGTACGTTGATGACCATGACTCCAGTGCTGCGCAGAAAGAGGGTGAGCCTCCCAACCCAGGTGCATTCCATCCTCATGTGCTGCGTCACCCAGAGGCAGCACAAGTGGAACAGATCATCAGAAATGCCTGGAACAAAGCCCGATTGGTTGCAGAAGGCTAGGGTTTTCTGTCATGTCATTTTTTAGTTTTGAGTGGACACTCCATTTTTTTCATCTTTCTTTATTAAGACAATTAAGACTGGCTGGCCTGTGTCTACAGAAGAAGTTTTGTTTCTATATTTTAAAACATTATGTTTATCTTCTTGTTGATGTTCTCTTGCTAGGACAGAAAATTGCAAAAAATAGCTCCTTTGAGCAATTTTAGCCTCGAAAATTTGTACACTCAATATATTAGAGATGTGCAAAGTAAAACCACTTGAAAATGTTCATGTTTTACTGCAAATTCTACATCCCTATCTGTGTTCTTTATTTTTATCCTATAATTTGGATACAGAGCTAGGGAATCTCTTTTCTTAAACATGCAAAAAGACAAGGTAGTGAAATATTTTGCATGAAATCAGTGGTCTTGTTAGTTTTAGTAGGTGTAGTTGATACAAAATATAAGATTCAACTGTTGTGAAGAATTAAACAGGAACCCAAATCAAGTGAGTAAGGAAATTAAAAACCGTGGCTTCAACTCTTAAACATGATATAGCTGATGTTTAGCAACCTTCCCCTAAATGCAATTCATATCTCTTCTGAGTAATACACACCTGTTTCCTTGACACTTCTGATCTTTATGGTATTCACTTTGATTTATTATGCACTTGAATTTTGTTCACAGATCATAGGTTGCATTTATTTCTTTTAGTGTGTGTATCTGTTCATGCAGGTAAAATTGTTTTGCCTGATAAAGGAAGTGCAGTAAAAGTTCTGGTGAATTAATGGAGGTGACTGAAAAGTGTGGAAATTAGGAGTTTTTTCTTGGGATTTGGGATGTGTGTCTCCCCTAAGGAATTTTTTTTTCGCCCTTAACTTGAGTGCAAACAAAATTACATGTCTGTATTCTCAATGAATTCCTCCAGGAAGAATGTATGGTATGTTTAGGTGTAGATGGTTGTGTGTAATCTCAAGTATTCAATAAACAGCAATTAATAGTTTTATTAAACAGCTTTTTGTCTGTCATTTTATTATTACTTCTCTTGCACCTCTGAGAGCAATACTGCAGTGTTGGTCAGTGAATTAGGGGCCTTGGAGCGAATAACCACAAAAATTAGCTGTCACTGTGCTGACTGAAACAACTTTGCCATTCCTTTCCTGCTGCTCTTTAATCAGTTCTTTTTATCTTTCCCATCATGGCTTCCCGCTTGGGTATGACTTCGGTTAATGGAGGAATTTGCAGGGAGGGTTTCCATTGGAAGTTAACTTTTGAGAACTGACGCTCTGTAGACTGGGTGTGATTTCCTCCCTCTAACCCTCCCCCCGCTTAAATCTCTGTTCCTGGGGGCTTAGGAAAATGGACTATGCTTGATGTGCAGATCATCCCATAGGGAGAACCTTTCTCAGGTTAGGAATGTATAAAGTGTCACGATTTAAAGACGTGCGAAAAACCTCGAGCTCTGATAATGAATGTCTCAAATTTTCCTCATTTGACGACCGGTGTATAGAATTCGAGCGCTTTTGTTCCAGTAAAGGGAATCATAAATTTTTACCGGGAAAATGATTCAGTATAACTTTATTACTTCTTTCAGACTAATCGAAACAGATTATAAAAATGAAATAGACGGTTGAGAATCCCACAATGCTTCTCAGTGGTAGACGAAGACTCTGCCCCACACTACAGGGGTCAGTATTGCACAGCTCCCCATCACAACACTTGTACTCGCACTCAAGCTCTTTCTGTTTGCTATTCTTCATGTCCTCTCTTTCTTTACATTCCCTCTGAATTACCGTGCACTTGTGTTCCATTGCGCATTCTCGTGTATAGACACCATTTTTCCAATCACAAAAGCGCGCGCACTTTTTGTGATAGGCACCTAAGTTGGAGCAGTTATACTGGGTCATCTGGGCATTGCATTCTTCCATGGATGATGCCTTTGGACAAGAATAGCACAAGTGCGAAGAGCCTAAAAAACCGACGAAAAATAACAAATGGCAAACTAATAAACACATCGACTAGCCAACCAGCCGATTAATCAGGTCGTTTAGTCTCCGTTCTTCCTCATTCAGTCAATCAGTCGGTCGGTCAGTCAGTCAGTCAGTTAGTCACTCTATCAGTCCGTCAGTCAGTCAGTCACTAACGGTGCATGTACTGCACATCTTAATTCAATCCGTACACAATAGCAATTGCATTCATGTTAGTTACGAGAAAAAGTAGGCCGACGTGATGGAATCCAGTACAATCACTTGTTTTTTTGAAAGTCCAAAACTTATGCCGTTTTTGATGTATAAATAGGTTATACGGTGCAGTGCGTGATTTCTGTTTCAAGTGTACACTCTCCGAATCTGAGCTTTAAAATGAATAAAATTGCTTAATTTCTTTAAGATAAGGGGAAATGATGCTTTCCTCGGCCATTTTGAAAATACTCGAAACTTTAACTTGGCCAAAGAAAATTGTTTCGAGTAATAAGTCCTTAACACGTGAAGAAGGATTAAAAATGATCTTGTCGAGATTTTAAGAAAAAGATTCGTGAGCTGCATGTGAATAACCTGATAAGAACCTGATAACGTGAGTTATGTGACTCGTCATGCTTTGAGATGATTTTAGAAAAACCCCTTACACTCGAGCCTGGGTTTATGCGATTTCATGTAAAATAAAACCATTTGAAACCAACAAAAATTGACATGGAATGCAGTACGGACATCAACGCCTTTCGTCTCCCCATCTTTTTTTCCTTTTAATTTGGTTTGTAAACCAGAGATTCGATGCAATGCTTAAAAGTTCAAGCCGTTCCGCTTCTAAAATACAAAAGTGCTAAACAAAACTTGGACTTGCAACAATCCCTAATCGGTCGGTTTGAGTTGATCTTGTCCAACATTCAGATGAGGATTGAATGATGGAAAATTCTATGTTTACTTACATAATGGTGACAGTGCTATGAGGAACATTATCACGCCAGGGAAAACTCGACATATTCGTAGTGACATCCTCGATGTTCGGCTGTTTTTAAATGGCAAATGTTTCGGAAAATTGAATGGCCTGTGCTAGCTGGTGCAAATTAATTTTTAAACGCCCTCTTACAAGGAATCTATCTTTGTCAAATAATGTCCTCATTAAGCGGCAGTAAAATCATTATGAGAACGCTTGATGAACTTTCGCCGACCAGAAAACACTGACTGAATACAAAAGGCGATTTTTGATTCTTTTTACGTTGTTTTTGATTCGTTTGGAATCGCTTGTTTCTTGTCTGTTTGTTTGATTTATTCCTTTGGAGCATTCTTTACTTTTAACTCTTTTAGCCGAGTATCAATAAAAGTTAAGTTTCTCATTATTCTAAGAATGAGTAAACTTTTCCTTTCATGTTTTGACTTCGAGTAGATGGGAACAATCGCGGCACTACCAGAATTGTTAAATTAAAAATTATTAAAAAAGGGAAATGAATCTTTGGCTGTTCTGTCAATTTTAAACTTCAGGAAAACATGATTGGAATTTCAAAATAAATGAAAAAGGAATTAGGAAATTGAAGGAGATAATTTTTAGGGATAAATGTAAAGCTCATCGTCATTATTATGTGCCGTGGGCAATATTACCCCTAAATGCACTCAAAACTTTTTTTAAAACAAAGCTGAAGGCATTCAGTCATGACTAATCTAATGGCCTGTGTCACAGTGATAACCTTTCTAATTTTGATTTTGTGATCAACTACTTCATGTCGGTCTGAAATAACATCACCTTAGTTATAAGAGTTCTGAGTTATTGATAACTTTCGACTGTCGATGATTAGCATGCTTGAGTGAGTTGAAACATTAATGACCAATCACATTCAAGGCGACAAAAATGCATCTTTGAGCCACGGTAACCTCGACACTACCAGATGGCCAGTGACGATTCACCGTGGAGATAGCTTATGATGAAAGCGAGAGCAACGCGTTTGTTTGTCGCAGTACTGACTTATGTTTTCACAGGTAAGGAAGAATACTTCTGCAAGCTATCGAAGAAAATGTGTTTTTCTTGACTGAACGCCAAATTTTTAGTTCTTTCGTCATCCATTAGCTGCGAGTTATTTCAACACGTTTCGTAGAAAGCAGTTTCGACGGAAGTTGTTCAAACTGTTAACTTCGATGAATTGAGACCAGTTCTTACACAGAAGGACAAAAATAGTTAACTTCTGATGGGGGAATAACACGCCGAAGGGTTAATTGCTAAGAGCTTGCATGCTAAAGTTGCGGCTTGTCTATAACATACGTAGGAACGGTTTCAAACGGAGATATCGTGGTTGTAATATATCCTGACTCATTCATAGTTTAGTGAGAGTCTTGCTGATCGATTTACCTGAAATAAAGCGAAAAGACGTCAAATTTAACAGGAAAAACCAATTCACCATGGCATGGTCATGTTTAATTCAGAAATTTAGGAATTGCTCAAGAGTGAATAAGCCATGTGAATGTGTTTGTGGAGTTGCTTATCAACTTCGGGTCAATGAAGTGGTACGGAAAGAAATCAGGAAAAGATGGGCTTTCTTGTTTCAGGGGATTAATCTCAATGAAAGACCCGACGGGGTGCGAATTAGATCCCTTTTATCAAAGTTAAACTTTAAAACGGTAGGTTGCCCGTCAGATTACTGAAATATTCATAAAACAGCAGGTGTCGATATTTGCGAAAGCCAGTTAAAATCGTTTTCTTGTCTATTTATATATTTTGATGGCTTCAGTGGAAAGTCGATGTCCAATTGCTTCAGTTTGAGAAATATCGGATGCCGCAATATTCCAGCATAATGTGATAGTAAGTGATATCAGAACTGCAAGTAAACTCGTCAGTTTGTGGGTTATGCTATGTCTTAATTTCGATACATTGATCCTCACGTGTAGATATGTATAGGTCATGTTGGTTACGATGGTCACGCAAAGATTGCGGTGAAATGTCTTGTGTCATATTTGAATATATTAAAACTCCCTGTTGTGCTCTAAGCAAGCCAAGAACATGTTTAGCTTCATTAATAGTTCAGTAAAAATCTGGTAAGAAAGTAGAATCTAGAACGAAAGTGAACTCTTTTCAAAAAGTTTCGGCAAAATGTCTCTATGTGCCTTGCAATCACGCCGTTCGAATCAAGGAAAAGCCTACATCTAAGCATATCGCGGATAAAAGGGGTCTTTTAATAGCAAACCACCACAGCGACGGCAACGAGGACGTGGCAAAAACAAAAAACCTATTAATGGGCAGAACAACTTGAGCTCAGCACGTGAGTTTTCAAAACTTTCTACATTCTTACTCTAGGTGCAAAACAACAACATGGGATCAAGAAACCCCCCGAATTTTGCGCGGTCTTAGAGCGGAAACCCCGACGGCAAATGATTTAAGTCTCCTTTGGGAACCAAACGCTGCTCACATCCGTCATGTAAAAGTTGAGGTTTGGCGCCGTAAGAGATGGTAAAGACATTCAGCCGTTCGCGAAATTCTAACTTAAAATACGAATTTATTTTTTAATCGACGTCTATTTTGACGTTGCCGTCCTGACTGCCTAAGGTCCCCTCATAAAGGAGGGAAGCACTGCTTCACTGTATCTTGAGTGAATTCCGCAACATTGGCATCTTTCCTTCCTCCGCTGCTGAATATTATACATCTCCTTTCACTCAAAACCATCCCTGACTTAGGCCGAGAGCAGTTTTACCGGGCATACTGTGCATCTGACTACGCAGTTTTGTCTTTTTTCCCAAGGTGCATATTCATTTTATTCTTTTGTACTCGTTTCAGAAAGTGTTGTCGCAGAGAGAAATACGGCCTGTATCCAGAGAACGGTTGATTATCACTGCTGTCGATTTCCATTCCGCTACAAAGGAGTAAAATACAAGAAATGCACGAATAATGGGGACGCCAAGGGCCGCTTTTGGTGCGCCACTGAAGACGTTAGACATCGCAGTAACGAAACTACCAGTTGGGGCTACTGCAAATGTAAGCTTCCTTTAAATCTCATCGATCCAGTTAACCTAGATCTCAAGAAGGTATTCTCAGAGGAGTAAGTTTTACTGACCTCACTTGTCTTCCCTTCACGCAGTGAGGAAATCGCAGTGTCTTGTAAAGACTACAGATGGAGAATGTTGCAAATTCCCGTTTAAATATCTTGGTAAAGACTACATCAGCTGCGCAGCCACTGATAATGATCCAAATGGTGAATACTGGTGTGCAACAGAGAATGAATTTGACAGGAATCTGAGCGGATCGGGCTGGGGTTATTGCGCAGGTCAGTTTAACCTTCGCAATATACTGATGGTTTCTTTTTCTTTTGACAAATAACAGAATAGACTATCAAAATGATTGAAAATTGCTTACAATCGGTCACAATAAAAATAAAACACATACTTATGTGTGTAAGCCATATTTTTATCACCATTCGCTCTGACTAAGGGCTAACGCTCGAAACGTCAGTTTAGAAACTCTTTACTCTCTAAAGTGACGTGTCTGAATAAATAACGATGTCTATAAAAGCTAAGTGTGCGTTTATTTGGTATGTCTAGCTACTCAGCCTTCAGTACAACCACATCTTTATGGCCATGTAAAAGGTACTAACTTTAAACAAATACGCAGTTCGTTAGGTAAAAATTGAAAGCTTCTTTTTTTTTTTAAAGAGACCCAACCTCGTATTGTTAAATTACAGGGTCAACGTGCTTTTCATGTCGAAGTAATACATCTTGGGCACATTGTAACAAAAACATCATCAAGAAGATATGTCCTTATAAGTTTGAACATTGCAATGCCATAACTAAGGAAGAAACTCACAGCTGGGGAGAAAATTCGAACAAATCTGAGATAGTGACAAAGACGTTTACAAAGGATTGCTCTTCAGACAGTGACTGTGCCAACCCTGACCTTTACTGCGACGGCCATCTTAACTGCTTACATCAGTGTTGTCATGGAAACTTATGCAACGCAGGCAAAAGTCAGAGGGGCTATCTTCAAGGGATCATTGTTCTATCATTTGCTGCTGTGTTCTCGATCAACTTTCCCCTGTTAAGAGAATCTGAAATAGGAAATGGCCATTCCTAGGTGTACGTCGATTGTATTTATTCACGAGAGCACAAATATTGTTTGTACGACTTTTGATAGTAAATGTCACGAGACAGATTGCGCTTGCTCACTGAAGGAAGTCATCGTCTCTTGTAGTCGGCAGTTCTCCGTTTACTTGCAAGGGAGCGCCATCGAATAAAAGTCAGAGATTCGATAACAAATGACTCTTGGTCAGACAAAGGTTTTACAGTTTTGAAAATGGTTAGTCTCCAGACAAAGCTTTTGCCTATTGCAAATCAAAGAGAAAGACAAAGGTGCCTCAGAGAAAGAATCCGTAAGCGAACTGGAGAAATCACAAGTGCTCGAGTGGACATAAGCTATAGATCTATGAATACGTAACTAGAAAAACGATCAGTCTTAGCTCATTTCTAGTTTTAGGGACTTACAATGGCTTGGATGCCTGGCGCGGAAACGTCAGTTCTTCTATTAAAACAAAGGATGTCTTCTGGAAAGAAACCTATCTATAACTGAAGGTCAAATGTTGTTGACCGTAACATGTCATAAGCAGTCGAGATGTTTCTTAGTTATTGAATATACATGATTGTACCAGGCTTGTGAAGTTCGAGAAACTGCTGAACGCGCTTTTCTTAAAAAGCAATTTTAGCAAATTTGCAGCCATTAATAAATTTCAATTATGGGGCAATCTTCTTATGGGTACATCTTCTTTTACTATTTAATTTCTTGTTTCCTTAATACTAGGGAGAACATTGTCTTGTCTATAAGTTATTCTGATCGTTGATTTTCTATTCGTTGCTTATCATATCAGTTTTGAGGAGGTGTAAGAACAACACACAGAAGAGAAAGCAGAGCGCGTGAAGCCAACGAGATGAGGATCCTTTTGAGCCGGCGTTACACAGGTCAGCTGTACAACAAGTGACGTCACAATCCCCAGTCCTTCTTTCTTTGACCTCTTTGCAATTTTTCTCTGCTTTCTGACACATTCTGATGTTGGCGCATCCTTTGGCGACCTGGAATGAATTGCGACATCGATCATATTCCTTTCAGGCAATTAGATCATATTCAAATGGAGTTCTAGATCCAATGTACCCAAAACTTTGGTCATTTTGCGCACCACAATTGAATGAAATAAATAGTTTTTTGACTTGCGGATTGTGTACAAGGAAATAAATGATCCTCGCTTATGACCTGCACTTAAAGAAATTTGATTGATTGCCGCTCACCTGCCAGAATAATTTCTTATCTCGCATCATGCGCATGCTTTCACTCCTGATTAACGCACAAAATGGGAGAAGGGAGGATTTTTTTTTCTTTATCGCTAGGGTAGTAATTCTTCATTTGATCAAAAATAGTTACGATAGCATATAACGTTTTGTATTTACTTTGAATCAAGCATTGCCGAATGGATTCGAATTCTTAGACTTGGCAGACAAACACTAGAATTATACAAACACTCCTTAATATGATATTAATGATTACATTGCTTTTAATTCAAAGTAACTCCTCTCAAATACCTGTCCATTCTCATTGTTCATTATCTCAATGCACCTGTCCTTCAGTAGTGGTTCCACAGGGCATTTCTCTTCTCCCATTTGTTTTCGACAGTCACCGCCTTCATCGCATGTAAAACATTTGATACCTGACAGTTCTACAATAAAACATCAATGGCGCTTAAGGGAGATAGTTTAAATGAAGATTTAGAGAAAGATAAGGAAAAAATTACTGATGGGTGAATTGCGATGGAATCAAAATGAGTAAACAGAGCGGTAACCTAATGTGTATTGCATTTTTGATTGCTCGACGATTTTGTCTCACACCTTAACAAAGAACGTTGGCATTCAGCTCTAACCAACGTCCACTGAGTAAACATGCAGAGCCGAGTTGTTTTAAGCATGATGAGGGTTAATCGAGAGTACTTTCATATTCTGTCATAAGGCATTTATATGCAATTAACCTGGGACTAGAGTTATCCTCATTACAACCCCCTCAGCCCAGAGTAACAAGCAAAAAAGCAAAAACTAAGACAGTGAGCTATACAGTGACCAAACACACAGTCTCGTTCCCAGGGTCTCCTCTTTTCGAAAAGCGGAGATGGCCTTGGGAATTCGGTTCACCTAAATGTAAGGCGAGAACCCATGAAGTTAAGCTCAGTGTAGCCAGGAAAATGTTCCTTAAATAGAACACAGAGTTACTTCATCCCAAATTAAACCGCGGCTGTTTTAAGACTTTAAATGAGTGAATCATTGAGAAAAATGATTCTTTGCAAAAGAAAAGAAACAAAACAATGGATAACAAAAACATTGGCAGAATTTTTATTCATGCGTTATTTTCAAATTCTAATTTTTTTATCAGTTCCAATTCCAAATAGTTTGCTTTGCTAATTGAAAACAGCCAGGACTAAAATGATGTTCAACAATTTGAAATAATCGTGAATTCGACTAGTGTTTGATATGCGTCAGTGTCTAGCAAATCTTATTTTAAGGGATCATGTCATTTCAAACCTGTTTTTACATCGACCAGTTCTAAAATGCCTCCGTAGAAATGCGAGAATTAATTTAAGTCTGAGCAATCTTGAAATTACGTCAACCGTACAATTCTTTTACCATAACAGTCTTGAAACTTAACTCGACTTGTCTTCAGCAGTTATGTCGTTTATACTTCAGCACAACCTACTTACCTTTGATGGATAAAAGCACGACGCATAACGATGCAAGCATATTTGCCATCAATTTCTTTTCGTGAGACCCTCTTAAAAATTTAGCTGTCGTCGATGATGCGACACCAGTTGTACGAAAAGCTACGTTTCCTCTCAGATTATTTTTTCCAAAACATCTCAGCGTGATATAATTAACGCGTATTCTCCACAAACAGGTGCAGTCACCGACTTTTACAATTCCTGAATAATTTCACAGCGGTTGTCCGGCTTCACATAGTTAAAAAAAATTTGAACCCTGCATGGAAGAACGGATAAAAGTCTTCCTGTTAGAAACTGGCATAGTGTTATCACAGGAGCCGGTGTCAGGAGCAGGCCTCATACGTTTTGGCTTTAGTTTTTTTGGGGTTGGAGTTTCGGTTTTTCTATCCCCCCTCCTAAAAATACCCAGTCTATAATCCACAGCGGTTTTTCCCTCAACCTGAGTTGTTTCACGCTTAGTGTTTGCTTTTATTTTTTTCTGTCTGTTTGTGCTTGTCTTGAGGAACACATGTTCCCATTGGCTTAGAAGACCAGGACACACACAATTTGCTCCAAAAAATGGAGCTATAGCTAAAGTCCAAGTTTTCGAGGCATAGAAAGCGTTTGAGTCATGCAAGTGAGATTTAAACGCGTTTAATGTGCACGGTCGTCCTCAATTCCAGTGTCTAAAAAAGCGCCCTGTAAAGGAAAGAACCGATCAAATTTTAACAAATCACTCGATCTAATGTTAATTTAGAAACGCATTTTTTTTATAGTTAACTGATGAAGTATATTTTATTTGATGTTTTGGTGTGTAGCATCGCTAAGTATTTTTACGGATTTTTGTTGAAATACAAACAACGGGTGAAAATACTCAGCAATACTTCACACTCAAATGTCTAATACGTCCTTTATTTTTCAAGTGCTTTATTTCATGCGCATCTCTTATAAGGCTGGAAAAGCGGAGCAATTAGAGAGGGTAGCAAGCACAGCCGACCGGTTTTTACGGTACAAAATAACCAACTGTACAATATCGCGTCATATTTGTACACGGTCAGCTCGTTATTCGTACTCTGCTTAGTACAGCCGGATAATGAAAACACCTTTTCGGTATTACAATATGTAACTATTATCATTACAGACGTAATAACTTTCCAAGCTTATAATTCCTACAAAGTCATTTAACATTTACATGCACGACTCTTGAGGAGTGTTGTAAAGTGCCCCCAATGTGTTTCGCAGTTTTGCAAAAGATATGGTTCTTTTGGGAGGGCCTCAAAAGCTGTAGGAAGTGTTTCGTTGTCAACTCACTGCTTGACAAGTTTAAGACGGAGCTCGTTCGTTCAAATTCTTTTATTCAAATTGCAAAGTAAGGATAAATAAATTAGATAAGCCCGAAGAACAGTTATGGAACTTAAGTTTACGTAAATTGTTTCTTCTTGTATCTACTGATCTCTAAAAAATTCTCGAGCTGAAAAGTTGGGTCATAAATTTAAGTCTGAGGGTCGGTGTCATGTTATCATAAATCAGTATATCATTTAAAATTTACCCCTGGGCAACGCGCACGAAAATACTCTAGTCGTTGCAGGAATAAATTGATTAAAATGATCTTTTAGTGTTATATTCTCTCACTGTTTCAAAGATACTAAAATAGCTATTCACCTCAGTGTCGGTGGCCAGCGGAGGGTATTTGCCTCGACGCTTCGTGGTTCGGTGAATATCCGCCACTAGCCACCCCCAGTCCGGTGAGTAGTTGTTAATTATTGCAAATTTGAGTTGTGGACTCGCTTTCAAAAAATTTGGAATATTAGTTTTTCGTTGACGCGTCGTGTCTGCTTATTTACATCCGCATTTTTAACAAAGATGCACTAACGCTCGTACGGGATATAAACAAAAGTAGACTTTTCTCGATGTTAGTATCCAGTCCGCACCAATTCAGCGGTAGAGAAAGCCTGGGAAAAAGTAATGAACTGAAGTGATATAACACACACAGTTACGCAGACGGAATCCTAGAAAATCGTGGAATTTCTTCCAGGAGAGCTTGAAGACTTGTAAACAAACATGAGGTGGGAAAGAAAACTCGGACGAGCGTGAAATTAATTGATGCCCTCCGATCCTTGTTTTTCTGAAGTATATATTCAAGAAACCTCCCACCTCAATATGAGTATTATAACCAGCAGACCTAAGAATGTGCACGTGTTCGACGTAATGCCATTGGCAACGGCACTGTTGCACAGGTCTTGATGGCAGCATGTAGTTTTGCAATCACCAGAGTTTTCGCATGCTTTCATCATTATATCACAGCCGTCTTCATTGGTACAGCCTCGCTCTATCATATCCCCTTCTCTTGTTTCACCTGTAACCTTCCTCCAAAAACATCGATTAGTAGGATCAGTACATTCTAGAATCGTCGAGATGTTAGTGCCTGGTTTGCATCTTGACGCTATATCAAGGCAGTGGAAACATTCCCGCGTCCAGACTGAAAATACAGAAAATAATCAAGTTTAGATCACCCTCTACTAATCAGGAGGCCGATCACAAAGGTACACTAAAAATCGAATTGACTTTTTCTACTAAAATTTACATCAAAATAGTGGGTTCAATTCTGGAATTCTCTGATCTAGTCTCAGAGTTTTGACTATTTTTGTTTAATAAAGAAAAGTGTTTCCTCGCAAGGGTTTTCTTACAAACAGAAAAAACTCCTAATCTTCATGATTGTTTTTTTCGGCAATTCAAAGCTAGCTTCTTTAATATCTTAGATATATCTCCTTGCGATATGTGGACACCCAATTGTGTTGGAAGATTGGCGCATCATATTTGGGTGTTTTCTGCCTTACAAATAACTACCGATTACTATCTATTTATTACTCAGCTAGGTGGGGCCGAAAGTAAGCTACGATTGTAAAATTATCGCTTTTAATATGAGTTAGGTAATAAATATAGATATTTAATAAATGAGATAAGTACACATAGTACTTTTCGTGCACACTGATTGGCTGGTTCGGAAGTAATTAGTAATTCACTACTGTGGGTGAAAGTGGTTGATATATCCTTGACCGCTTTGCAGCTCCGTAAGCATCCACCACTATTCACCTCTAGTTAGCTCACGTTTAGCCGCACCCTTCCCCCAGAGGAGTAACGGAAGAAGGGAGGGGGATAAGGCTACAGTACGCTAACCTACAGGTCGGTCATTCTGAAATACCTTTTGCCTCTTTTTCAAAACGAGGCCTGATGCTCAACCAGTCGTATGTGACTGAGTTTTATTTGCATGTGAATGAAAACCTATTATCATATGAAAGGATGAGCACCAGGACTCGCTTTGAAAATGAGGTAATTCAGAAATGGCCTATTGTTAAACATTATTTGTAATTGTAAATATATAGACGCAAATATAAACATTTAAAAAGAAATAAGATCATATTTATAAAGACACTAAAAGCAGCTGAATAATTTTGTAACACAAATGGGGAAATGCCAGATATTTTCTAAGAAAATTAAGTCAGAAGGCAAAGTACTCAAAAGGAAATAGAAAGATGTTTTCTTTCTACAACGTGACTAAAATGACAGCATCATACAAATTTAACTTTAGAGGAGTCGCGAGTCAGAAAGGAAGACAGAAAATATTGAAATTATTTACTTTCAAGTCTAGACTCTGAGGAGCAAAAAAAAGAATCCATGCGGATTTACATCTACCTTACATCTGCTCTTCCTTGGGTGTTTAATGTTTTTTTAAATAGAACTTTATGTGATTTTCGTGGCATTTAATTGGTAGAAATCAACCAACGACTGGCAACGTATTAGTTTTCAGTTAGCTGTCAAATGTAATCATCTTTATTTTGGTGTCGTGAACTGATGCAAATTTCAAAGAAGTATTTAAAAAAGAAAGCAAAAAAAGATGGTAAATGTTGTTTAATTATCGCGTGACAAGAAAACACCATGATAACAATTCAACAACCAGTACCGCTGAGACACTTTCAACATTTTTTAAAGTGATTAATTTATAATTATGGTCAAAAGCTTTCCTTAAGAATATTTATATAGTCGTATGTAAAACTAGTTAATAACATGTTCATATTTTGAACTTTGCCAAGGCATTTGGTCTACTGACTCTTCTCTCGTCCTACGATGCATTTGGAACAAATTGCGTGACGCACGAGAACATGCAAATTTTAGTCTAACAATGATATCGAAGATCGTCTTTGGAGTGCTTTATTTTTCAAATGGAACTTAAGCTATGCCCTCAAGCCTTGTTCATTTGGCAATTTTAAATAGTGCGGTTTGTGTTCGACCACATCACGAAATAAACTTGTCTTTGGGGGAAATATTATCTCGTTAAAACATACATTCGCGATATGAAATTTTTATAGGGAGCGCTATTTAGGTTGAAACTGAACGATGTACACGCAAGTAAATGTATACAATTTGAGACAGATCAAAACACTACAAAAATGTTTTGTTTTGCGTAATATTGTCCATGTGGAATGGACAGTCGATGAGAAAAATGTTTTGATGATTCGACGTAAAAGCGACACGTTTGTAGTGGCGGTAGCCCGTTATTGCAAATAAATAGTTCTGCATTAAAATATTTAGCCATGTTATTCAGTGTTTCTAAGGTTAGTTATGCAGATGGATTCTGTGCTTGTATTCTACTGAATAATAAACAGCTACGCATTTGAAAATGTTTCAGTGATGCCGGTGAAATGTGCCATTCAGCGACCGAATTCTCAAATTCTATAGTCGATCGCTTCACGTTTCCAAATTTCAGATAGGTTCTCTACGAGCACGACTATAACTAAAACCTGGACGACAAAAGTAATTTACGCACTTCAATCCATATCTCTCAAGAGGCGCTAAGAATATTATTTCCTGAATCAATCTACAAACTATCGGCATCAGACGGACTCTAACAGAAGAACTCGCCTTTACAAGCGTACCTACCAGAAATCGGTATCGTTACGAAACAACACAGCACCACAAAGCGAACCATCATTTCTGATATTGCCGCTTGGCCACCAGGTTTGTTACCGCTGCGGTCGAGCGGCGACGGCGTCAAATTTGCATGCTCGCGCTCTTGCCTCACAGGCAGCCCAAGCTTACGATGGGCGGATGTTTACGTTTTTTCACGTTATGAGCAAAACGTGACAAACGAAAGGCAACGGATGAAACGTGAAACAAGAGCTGTCGAAGTTCTTGATTCCTGGCTCGTTGTATATTTAGAAGATGTGTAGTTGATTTTTATGGGGAAAACAGATTTGGAAGTTGATACCTTGAACAATGAATGGCTTTGATTAAACCTTTGTTGTTTTGACGACTTGCTGTCTCACTCCTCAGGCCAAACCGAAGCTATTCAAGCAAGTTATGGATTTTTAAATCTGTGAATGTCCCGGGCATGCATGAGAATTAAATGAAGAGCAAACATTAAAGGAAGTTTATTTCCTTTAAGAAATCAAAATATCTGCCCGATCGAGATCCGGTTTTCTCTTAGGTCCGCAGGCTTCCGTAATGACGTTTTGGATTTTTTTAAACCGGTCGTTACGTAACTTGAGTAAACAGGGGTCTCAGCAAACAATAACATGAGGCTGGGTATCCTGTGTGACGTAATTTGTCATGAGCATTAACATTAAAAAGTTTGTGAATTGCATTATCTAAAAAGGTTATCATTTTTGTCGGAAGCCGTTTTATCCCGGCATAGGGTAATAAAGACTTTGACACTAAACCGCCATGCAGCGTGAAATACATCAGCGGCAGTCACGGTATTAAAAGATATAGGTCTGCGACGCGTACGTAGCACACTTCTACTGCGAGACCACGGGGAAATTTAACTGTTTATGTAACCGTTTTACAAACTCAAAAAAAGAATAATTCAGCTTTTATCTGACTTTCAATTGAAGAAAACAAAAACAGTGATAAGAAGGGTCAGGTTTAAAGAAAATGAAAAGGCTTCCTAAACATGTTCAAATTATCTAAAATAATGATTAGATGGATATACAGATGATATGTTTCAATGATTTCATGAAGTTTTTGAAAATGAAAAATTCAGAAAGCGATGATCGAACATCCTCTATGGAAACAAAGACAGCAGACCTCGGAAGACTGGTTAAGGTGAATTAGTCGAGAGGGAAATGTAACAGTTAAACTGAGTAAAAATTACTTTTCCAAAACGGTTTCGGTTCCATCCAATCTCAGTCACTGGGAAATAATTATTTGATTACCAGCTTTTATCCATTTTCACAGGGCTTCAACCATGCAAAGATGCCATTAGGCATGTAGGCGTCATGCCAAATGTAATTGATAATTCTTAGGAGCCCTCTTGCTGTGTATTCAGATCTACTCAAATTAATGTCAGATATTACCCAAGAAATGAGGTTGTGAATCAGCACCGGAGAAAACTCTGGAAGAGATGGCAACCACGCCACACCCATTGAAATAAATAGCCAAAAGAAAATGATAAACTAAAGGAGTAAGAAATCTTATTTTCTTTCCTTGCTAATGAAAGAGAGAAAGATGTTTCTTTTCTTCTTTTCCGGCATGAGCGCGGAACAAAGAAAAAAGTCCGAAAGTCTGAGGTTTGACTCCTCATGGGGACTCTAGTCCCACGTTCGTCACAAGACATAAAACTGGAAAAGAGAATATCAACTGATACTGATGTTATCTTGAACTGGCATCTACCTCGATGTATTGGAGATGCACACAGTGTTATTCATAGTGTTATCATCAGTATAAACTTATGTTTGTTACCGTATATGCCGCAATGAAATAGATCAGCGACCTAAAATTGTCTTTAATAAAGCCGATACAACGACAATATCAATTTTTCAGTTCAAACTGTCTCTTTGAATTTGTTTCTTTCCGCCCTGCTACGCGACCGACGTGAACATAAACAGGAAAGTCAATATAACATGCGTGTATCATAGCATGTAGCTTGAAGAGTTCTAAAATTCACACCTGTTTTTCTAGATCAAAGGGAAGTTTGAATAAAGCTTTTCTAGAACGTCAATCTTCAATGGACGGTGGGACGATTTATTTTGCTTTTTTCCCTTTTCATTTGTTGTTTCATTATTGTTACTATTATTGATTTATTTAAACTTTTTAAAATTCGTGTATATATTTTATTTTCAAACGATTTCATATTTGAACTTTTCTGAGATAGTTGTTCATAAACAAATAACTTAAACAAGAGGGGTTAAAGAATGGAAAGTATTTCGCATAACTCCCTGCTATTCGAAAATAAAACCGTAGTCCCAAAGGCCATCTATTGTTTTCGCTACGTTTTTATTTCCTTCATCCAAGAACTGCACGCATAATGAAGTCTGGGGCTGTGCGAATTTAAATTAAGGAGCAAACATCAAAAAGGTTTTTGCTATGAATCCAATTCTGACATCAAGTTAGTGATAGTCGATAAAGACTCTCCTCTGTGGTTAACAAAGCCACCGATATAATTTTTGTTTTTTTCTTTATTTTAAAAGAGTAAGCGAAAAGTGAGCCAGGAGAAAATAAAAGGTCTGTAAACAGCCAATACTTTTTCCTCGGAAACAAAAAAAAACCAGATCTGATAGTCCCAAGCAGAACTCTGGCAGTTTCCAAACGCTTAAGTTTTTAATCTCTTTCAATAAACGTTGGCCTCCACGAGAGTGTTTACAAACGTGTTGCAACCACCCACAGAGGGCAAGTAATCAGTCAGCTCCGGCTGGAAATTCGCAAAAGTCAACAACTGATGTTTCAATTCAAACCGATTAATCATCGCGCTACAGAAACCTAAGGCAAACTAATTACCCCAACTTATGTGTAATACAGGTAATTTAGTGTTAACAACTGGGTTGAGAACGTAAATTAGCCACCGTAAAGGGTAAAAAAGCTGACGTTTCGAGCGTTAGCCCTTCGTTCAAAACAGTTACCAAACAAAAAATAACTATACATTTGAAAGAACTGTTATTATGTCATGTTTTTTTTTAATTTTTTAGAATTCGATTTACACGGCTCTACAGTTAAAAGAAAAAACAAATAAATACACAAAAATAGTCCGGGTTTTGTTCAACTTGGTAACTCAGTTTAACTTTCAATCGCGATTTGCACCAATGAGGTTTCTTGGCAGATCAGCTTATCTATCAGTTTATATCAAACGCACACTCATGGAATAATAGACGAGTAACTCATGCCTCATGACCTTAATTATGAAGGCTGAAGACAACTCATGGTCGCTCCAAAGACAAGATATTATTTAGACTACGAGCAGTCTCTCCCTTAAGGCCAAGTAATTAAGTTGCGTGTGCGGATTTTTGTTTTTCTTTTGCGTAAATGCATTGTTAATTAACTTGCAAATGTTCTAAAATCTTATTGGCTCATGCCAAAGACGTAAGGAGAGTGGATATCAGTCAAAAAGTTTAGTTCAGGTTGAATCTCTTCGAAGAGGTAAGAGACAACGACGTTCAACGCGAAAAAAAGGCGTTAAGCCAGACAAGATGAACATTTATATGCTGTTAGTTCTGATGACTGTTTTGGGCACCGGTGAGTTTGTGGTATGACGTTTGGTTAAAACAGGGTTTTAATTTCAGAACACAGTTTGTATTAGCTCCGAAATTGAACACCTATATTTCAGTTGAAATAGTGTACCTTGGTGCACTGATATTCGTGAGGAAAATTTGACCATCTTGAAATCCTTTTACTATGTCAAAATAGGCGCAATTAAGCTTTGCGAAATATCCATGGTTGAATCGGTCGATTGCGGATGGATGTGATAGAGATCAGGGCCGGGTTGTTGAAAGCTGGTTAAGATAACCAAGGATTAGTGTGAAACTGATTTCAGATCTGAAAGCTTTATAAGAAAATTCAGTCGAAATTATTTTTGTCTAGAATACGACTATTTGATGCTATCAAAAGAACACAGAAAATTATCCCAAAAAAGATTTTGAATAAAGGAGTAAAGAAACCCAGATTGCAATTTAATCTTGGGTTAGCGCTAATCGACCTTCGAACAGCTGGGCCCAGAACTGTACCTTCTCTAAAGAATTGTGAAAAAACTGTTTAGAGGCTGGTCATTAGAAGCTTGCATGTATGACGGTAAGTAAGTTGTACGCACCCATTTCGAAGCAAAGGCTGTTATGCGTGCAAAACTCTGATCACAGTAGAGAGGTTGACACCAGCATAAAGGACTAGAAAATAAGCATTCACTGATTTAGTTCAAATGCGCGCGGAAATCTTTCATTTGATTTAACTGAAAATCATCAGGGAAACATTAATTGTGCGTTGCGCGGTGACTGGTAATCATGGTAACGAACACAACAAACTCAAGCATCAACTTTGTCTAAAAGTTGGCTAGACTTTCAGTGTCCATACACAGAATAGTGACGAAGTGCAGTTCTGGCGCATTACACTGAAGCAACTAATTCTTTGTCGAGGACAAATGCTTGAAAATCGAGATTTTCGGCTGAAAGAAGTTTCTTGCGTTTTTCGGCAGATGCTAGTCGTTATCAATCATTTAAGAAATGGAAGGACTGACCCCTGCTGTTTCTCAGATCATTCAACAATTGGCTCATACTTCAGCGTGCGTTCATCGAGATATAAAGCACGCGGAAAGTTTGGAGAGCACGAAAGATGAATAAGAGTTGCTCGAAGCGTGGCTGCGAGCAACTCTAGCTTCTTGAGTGCTCTCCAAACTTTCCAAGTGCTTCATACCTCGATAAACGTACAGCTGACGTATGAACCAATTGTTTTATAACATTTTCAACCCGATGGTTTAAATGTTGTAAAATTTTTTTTCTCGAGGGATTTGTTTGCTGACGTCATGAGCGTGCGCAGTAGGAATAGTTTAAATGTTCTAAAATTTTTTTCTCGAGGGATTTGTTTGCTGACGGCATGAGCGTGCGCAGTACGAATGGTTTTAATATTGTGAAATTTTTTCTCGAGGGATTTGTTTGTTGACGTCATGAGCGTGCACAGTAGGAATATGAAGCACGCTCACGTAATTGAATTTGATTAGACAAATTTACGCGGTATGTTATAAAACTACTTGCATTTAAAGTGAGAGAAATGAACATGGGTATTTCCCTTTTTATGCGGCCAATTTTCGAGCTTTAAATACCAGCCGTACTTCTAATGCGGTTCTTACATACTCCATTTTAGCTTATCATGCACTTTTCACAAGTGATATTGTAAACCAGTTGCTGCTCGGTGGTGCCTGAGGAATTCCAACTGTGTTCGGAAGCGATAACGAAAATCTCCTAAATGCGACTAAAACTGAAAAACACAAGCGATAACGAAATCTCCCAAATGCGACTAAATGCCACTAAAACTACGAATACAAACGCGAAAAAATCGTACGCGTAACTTGCTTACGACTGATTAACGTTAAATGTCTCAGCGCGGGCGCGCCAAGTGCACGACACGCCAGTCCGGTACTTTCTTCTTAACAAACTGAGTCACCTGCAGATTATTTTCAGAATGCTGTGCACAATTTTGATTGAAACGACGGGCCCGGGGTATGATTGCTTTTAGCTTCCTCACTGTAGGGGTGTATTTAGCACAGTGAATAAGATTACTCAATCAAAGAACTCGATAATCAAACAAAAGCGAATACAAGCAGCACCTCATTTATTGGAATCAACACGCAAACTGACTTCTAAAATCGTTTTTTGTCCATACGCGTAACCCCAATGGAACAACTTTTGGAAAAAAAATAGTCATGCTATCGTTCAATCATTGCTTTTCAATTCAAACTCGCCCCCCATTAGAGAACTTCTTATGTGCCGGTCAGGGAAAATTTTAAACTCACAAAGAGACTTCACGTCCAACAAAACAGGCATCTGTCGCAGACATAGATTCGTTTAAATTTAACCTTTCAAGTTTTCACCTTATTCACATCTCTCCACACTTTCAAAAATGTCTCTAAACATTTGATAGTAAACCGTTTGTTTCCTAATCATTAAAACTGGACAGAGCCAAAGACAAAACCGTTTGTTCTACTTTCCTGTTACAGGTCATGGCCTTAAGTGTTTTAAATGCGGTGGTAAAGAGGCCGACTGCACCAAGAAAATATTTGAAGGGAACAAAACAAAATACGTAGAGAACTGTTCCACTGGTCAGGATACGTGCATGAGGACCTGGGGCCAAAAGGAGGATGATGACAACAGCTACGTCTCCAGCATGTGCATGGAAAAGCAAGCCTGTAAGGATTTAGAAAAGAAGTGTGAAGATAAGGAGCTGAAAGATGAAAATGACAAACCGTTGAAGTGTGCCGTCGCCTGCTGTAGCACAGACGAATGCAATGGTAGCTCCGAAGTCTACTTCGGCGTGACCTTTTTGGCCGCCTGTTCTATCTTCGGCCTGGCACTGATAAAGTGAAGTAGACGGCAAGGCGCTTTTAAAGCAACTCCATTGGTAGTATCCTATACGTACACATCAGGTGCAAGTTTTTTAGTAGTCTATCACAAAAATTTTGAAGGCATCATTCAAAATTGTCAGGTTGTCTTAATAAAGCTTTTGATTCTGCACAGAAAATACTCTGTGTAAAATTTTCTCTTGGCTTTGCGATTAAAGAATGCCAGCATTTAAACTTAATCTATTAACGAATAGACAAGCCTTGACTGTGCTCTGTTCTGTCTTAAAGCACGCAGGAAGCGGCTAGAGCACGAAAGAATTGTATGGAGAAACACGAGACGTAGTCAAGTGTTTCTTCCTACCTATTGAGTGCTCTAGCCGCTTCCTGCGTGCTTTATAACAGAACAGGGCACAGCCAAGACTTATCTATTTTTTTTTTATAATAAAGAATTCGTTAAATTCCCCACGCATTACTTTCAATTTCAACAACAAAGTCGTCAGCATGCTATATACTCTCATAAAGCACGCTACAATAAGCCAATCAGAATCCTTGTTAGAATGCTTCAAATGATCTGATTGGTTGAAGAAGGCTAAAGCTGTCATAAACGTCAAACCATCAAAGTTCATAATCTGCGATAGTTCACAAACTGAAATAGTTTGGCTGGTCGAATTTAACACATTTGCTTGACTCAGGAAGCTTTTTTTTCAGTCTTAATACAGAATCTGAAAGTGGAATGTCCAGTGAATTGTGGCACGTAAAAACACGCAAGTTTTTTTACATGATAAATATTCTACTAAAGGCGTTTGTTTTATGAATGAACGACGGCTGAATTCACGGGAACATTAAGATTTCTCGGGATGACAGCGCCGTAAAACTCGGCTGCTGTGAGTGATGTGACTTACTCAACGCATCGGAAAGGATATCAGAGCAAGCTCTTAGTAGTTCACTCGAAGGGCGGCCGATTTAATTTCTGAGGCTTATTTCACTGCCATGACCGGAAATCGCCATGATGAGCTAGCCGCGATGGACCTCAGCACGATTGCAGTCGCTCTGACTCTGTCATGATTTGTATGAGTTTTAACAGTTCCAGTTTGGTTACATTTTTCATCATTACTGTTTTGTTCTGTTTTGTTTTTGAACATAACTATATATACTATATACGAGTGTAAGCTGTGTTTGATTCCTGTTACCGTACGTAGGTTTACAATCTAAATGAGCTCAAAAACCTTCAAAACTCGGACTGTCCATTTCCTTTTCTCTTTCAGGATTTTCGTCTCCGCGCTTGGCAACCGCTTTACAAACCTTCGTTTGTTTCTTCTGTTGCTTCTTGTCGGGTCACTTTGTTCCGAAATTTCACTTTCAATAAACGAAAAAAAGCTAGAGAGAGGTCCGGGAAATGGTCGGACATAAGTTTAAATTGGCGGATGGCGTGACAGCTTTAGCTCAGCTCCGTGTTTTGTACTCTGATAGAGCACGCTCTTTCAACCAATGGCAGCGCGTGTTACATGCGAACTTTATTATGATAACAATTAAATAGGCTGGAATTCTGTTTCTGCCCAGACTCCTTTTGAAAGATCGAATTTAGCTGAGTTTTCATTGGCTTAACTGAACGAGTTTCTCTTGACTGGATGCCTAATCTTCTGAGTGAGAAACACGGAAGACACCATTTACGCAGTAATTTAAAGAGTTTCCCTAATGGTCGCGGGTCGCGTGTCGCGGGTTTGATAAAAAGTCGCGGGTTTTGAAAAAGTCGCGGGTTTTGAAAAAAGTCGCGGGTTTGAAAAAATTCGCGGTTTTTCTATAGCATGCCTATAAAAGAAAGTCAAAGCACTGGAAAAGCATTGGAAATAAAAAAAAACCTAGTTAACAACAACAACAAAATAGTAATAAAAACAAAGAATACAGGAAATCAACCAACTATTATCAAAACTTTACTGTAGGGTGATGTTGTTGCATTTTGAGCAGAGTCGAATTTTGCACTAGAAATGTCATCTTTTTTTTTTGAAACTCAAATAAATGTGACAAGTTTTGCAGACCCACATTTACCTGTATATATCTTTACCAAAACACAACAAGTTTTCTCATATTTGGCATAAAATGTTATAAATTTGTGAAAGCAATTATAGTTAGGTCGCTTAGCGTAATAATCGTTACCGGCCGGATAAAAGTACCACTGTTAGGAGCCTTACTTTGCCTGTTCTGGGTCTGTGTTTAAAACATTGCCATGCAAATATTTAAAGGGAAAAATCTGGCAAGATAAATTTTATGGCCATAGGTTTGGCCTTTATCAGAAACAAGGTAGTACATTGTATAAAACATAATCCCTATAGAAGCAAACACTCAAGAAAAGTGTCTGTGGCTTGGCCTTGCCAATACAGTGATCCAGTGATCATATTATTGGGTTCAAATTGTGTTTGATTACTATTGTCACTCTGAAAGTAAAGTATAACTGTATTAATCCAGTTTTTTTCGGCTGACTCACCAATATCAAAAGATACAAAAATTGTTTTAAATTTATTTAAACTCAAAGCAGGCAAACCTTTTTTTTAACAAAGTGTTGTCCAAACAATTGCTGATAATTTTTTTTTGGAGGTGATGGCCCTTCTGTCATTTCAACTTTAATGCTGTGAGTATCAGGGGACGACCTGGCCACATCTGCATAGCTACTACCACCATTCTAGAAGAAAAAAAGAGAAATAAAAGCTACACTACAATCTGCAGAATGCTTAAAAATGCTGAGGCCATTTTTTTTACCTTTTTCCAAGGCTTGATCACAACATAGTGGTCTCCACTATGACCAAAGAAAAGAGTACCAATACTGACTCCTGATTGTGGTTCAATGCTCTTAATACAATCTTTGGTGTCATTCTGAAAAATAATCAAAGTGTGGACCTCAAACACTTTTTTGTAGTGGTGGTAAGGGTAGGGGGTGGCCAGGTTGGTGAGGGGTCAGAAAAGTTGGAGAAACAATACATTTTGGTGCTGTTTCTGATGGCAATCACACGAAAACATTGATATCTTGGCCAACCAGATTACAAATATGTCTAATTTTACAGGCAACCAGAGCTTTTCAAATTTGAATTAAACCACTCTTTGCCATGTTGCCACTTAAGACATCACAAATGTAATGTTTAATCATAATGGTTTTGTACTTGAAATGTAATCTTTTTTTAAAACTCAAATAAATGTAAGAAGTGTCGTAGACCCACATTTAACAAGTTTGCTACATGTTTTGCATAAAATGTTATAAATTTGTGAAAGCACTATGCAATAATGACAACAACTTACCCCATGTACTGTCACAATAACTATCTTGAAGTTAAGTACGTTAGCCAAAGCAGAAATCACCATGTCAGTCACATAATTCTTCTTAAGCTTTTCCAGTGCTTCCAGCCAGGTTTTCGGCTTCACTGTGTCCTGGAAGTCGACCTCACACAAGAAATCGAATCTGTCCAGTCCATTTTCCTGCCAGATTACATTCATCATATGAGAGAAAGAACATCAATTACAAAAGGCTGCAAAAAGGCTGCCCTAGATCATGCATGTTGGTTGATCTAAGTTTCGTAAAATAATTATAAAGTTTATTTCCGCTTTCAAATGCTGCTGCTTATTGAGAAGTGATAAATAATAAAATAAATTTTCAACGCACCGTACATTGCTCTTGTTGTTGCTTTCAATTAAGGTTTTTTCACACAATTACAATTTGTTTAAGCTCGTATATATGCGTTTTTTTGTAAACATAGCAATATAATTTTCTCAACTGAAATCAAAGCTAAGTTCTTTACTAAGTTCTTGCTGACTCTCCATTCTAGAATGCGTAATTTTACAATGCACCGTCGCACACTATCATCCGGGCTCTTGCTTTTCAGATCAAAAGGCGGGAAAACCGAAGGTGCATTCCATTTTTACAGTCTGATCAGTGGGACTAACCAAGATAAGCTATTGCAAAATTGAACATTTTCCGATAAAAAACCAGGCCAATCGGTCGGAATGGTCTTTGCATTCCGTTCCTCAGTGCCACGTGTGTACAAACCAGTTTATGGAAATGGAAAGGTAAATTCCGATACGATCAGGGCAACCAGTCAAACGATGCATTTTATTAACACTAATTTCAAACATTCGCTTTAATTTTATGGACCTTTCTTTGCATCATCAATTTAAATCATGCTTTTTTACAGCATCGTTATTTAAAGATGCCTTTATTTCGAGAAAATCTACCTCGCCGTCAGAGTCAGTTGACATATTGTCATTCAGTTGATTGAAAACATCTTTAGATTCGTAAATTTAACGGTGCTGAACGTGGCTGTTTTATTTTGTGAAATTTTAACGCACAGGCTTGAAATTCACTACGAAATAGTTCTTATAAACACACGCAAATTCGCGTTAATTAAATAAATAAATGTAAACTTAACTTTGCGAAAATTCGCATTAACGCGTAGATTTTGTTCTTCGTTATATTCCTATAATGCAATCTTCTGAAAACCCGCGACTTTTTCAAAACCCGCGACTTTTTTAAAACCCGCGACACGCGACTTGAAACCCGCGACCCGCGAGCCGCGACCATTAGGGAAACTCTAATTTAAAAAAGGAAATATTTTTCCCTAGCACCCTGCCAGCAATTTGGAGCCATTTTCAAAAACGTATGAATCAAATTGTTTCGTTAATGTAATTTTTGATTGCCTCTACTTCGTTAGGATTTTAATAAGATTGCTTGGTTTATGGAATTTTTGATTCCTTAATTTGTGTTGCAGCCGCGGCCGGTGATACAACGCAAAAAGTACTTTTTCTCCAGTCTCAGGCCTAGTCGAGTGCTTGCTACACACTACTTTAATTGCCACCACTTAGTAACAGTTAATTAGCAAGGAACCCCTGTTTAGAACAAGGAACGATCTTGACAGAGGCACTTATATGTAATTTTGATTGCGAAGGAGAAGCCTTTTAAAAAAACACAACAAAAATCATTTTACTCTGAAAAATTTGCCCGCCGGTTTAGAGGGTAAAATTGTTGTCGTTTCACACGCGAAGGGTAAACCCACCTTTTCAACGAATTCCGGTCGTTAGATATACGTTTTCTCCTATCATTGTCTTTCATGATACAACTGGAAATAAATAATTGTTGTAAAACAGCGAATTACCTGGTCGTCTCTCTGTTTAGTTTTAGTCCAGTCCACTTTTTTTTTCG